CCGTCCGCTTCTGGTGCGTTCTCCGTCTGTTCCTCGGGCGCGACGTCCTCGAGCTTCGGCGAAGGAGCACGCGGAGCAGCGTCCAACTCCTCTTCCTTCTCCTCCGTCGCCGCCGCAGGGGCTGGCGGTGGTGGCGGCGATGGTGGAGGTGGAGAGGATGCAGTGGCGCCGGCTGCGGCGCGCCGCTCCGCAACCACCGCCAGCAACGCAGCCTTCAACTTCCGGTTGGGCCCCACAAAAGACTGCAAACTGGAGGCGGACACCACCTCGCCGCCGCCGCCGCCACGTACCGCCGCCGTAAGGTGGGCCATATCATCACCGGTCATGTCCGCCGCCTCAGCCCCGAGCAGCGCGCGCGCGGCGTGCACGAACTCATTCGTGCCGACTTCGCTCTCCGACGGGGAGAAGTTCGACTCCCAAAAGCGCAGCACGTCGGCGTTGACGATGTACTCCGCCGCTGCGTTCTGCTGCTTGCACAGGTCGTGCACGATGCGGCAAATCTTTGGGGTGTCGATGCCCTCCAAGTGTGTGCGCATCTTTCCCTCTTTGTAAAAGGCAAAGTAGGGCTTGGAATGCTTCTGCCGCTGCTCCAGAATCTTCGACCAGTACTCACCGAGCGTGTCGTGCGAGAACTCCATCCCTTTTGGGCGCGGCGTCGCCTTGGCATCGTCGGGGGTGCGCAGGCTCTTCAGCACCGCGTTGCATTCCACGGAGAAGAAGCGGAGGTGGACCATGTCGCCAGCATCCGTGGAGAGGCGGCGGAAGGTTTCGCTGAGCGCCTTGCAGTGACCCCACTCGGCGTTGTAGATGTCCAGCACCGCCACACCGTGCTGCGCCTGTGAGATCTGCAGCTCGCCTTCCAGCTGAGAGGCGGTGGTGATGTTCTTCACCACATCCTTGTGCAACTGCGTTTGCATGATGTCCACGTGTCAGAAACGTGAGCGGCTGAACGTGTATGCAGAAAATGTTCTCTCGCCGCAAAAAACAACCACAACAATCGACGCAGTTCTATCGCGCTACAAAAAGAAAAGAACCCAACAACGACAACGACGGCGGAAGGCGCTTTGAAATTCAAACGACCACTTTTGTGTTAAATGTATGGAAATAATGTGAGGAGCGAGGCGGGATTGGAGGAGAAAAGAGAGGCGAAGACGGATGGGAATAGGTTGGGAGACACACAGGTATGTGAGGATGAATGATCAAAGGAAGCAACGAAACAAACACGTTTGACCGTGCAGAACTACACATCCCCACGTGAAGAAGAAAAAAAGGTTCTCCTTTCTTCATTTGTCAGAACAGTATGGGAGGTCGCGAGAAGCGCACGGAGTGCGAAGTACAGGAGATGCGTTGTCGCGACTCCCGGCCACACAGTATAATCTTTATTATTATAGTTAAATACCTTTTTTTGGGGGATCAAAAGCTGCTCGTGTATGAGCATACGCAAGTGAAGCGAAGGATAAAGGGAGGTGCAAATGGGAGAAAAAACAAATAGCACAAAGCAAAGAAGGAAGAAGGAAGGAGTGAAGGGAAACCAATAACGTACATACCAATACACACGTAAAGCAAAGGAAAAAAAAGAAATGATGTTTGAGAAAGATCGAGAAGCCCTGATAAGGGCGGAATACACAGTCAAGAGCAAGAGGTGGCAGTTCAAGAGCTACACGCCGCTCAGCTGCACGCGCATTGAGGTCAATAACGAGAGCCAAATCTGACCTCCTTTGCGCTGCACTGCAGACACGTCAGTATTGCAGGTGCGTGTGTCTGCAATGGCGGAAGAGTGACGGGTTCAACAGAAACGCGCTCTGGCGTTGTGGTAAGTGATGCCTGACGAGCCTGCTTTTTACGTGCCCGTGGGGTGCTGGTGGACCGCGTTGGCGGCGTGTGTGGGCGAAAAAGAGCGTTTGTCGGCGAAATCGACCCACGGGAAGCGGGGGAAGAGGCGGACACCACAGCCGCCTCCATCGACGGCGTGCGTGAGTGGAAAGGACGGGGGGATCGAGATGGAGGCGTGATGGGCTTTGTGGGTTGGAGAGTCGGTACATCTGTGACAGCGACCGGCTTCTCTGGCAATTCTTCTACCCCACCACCACCATCATCATCACCAACACCATCCCTTTCATTGCCATACTCATCAAGCTTTTCGCCGTCGCTGCTAACACCATTGAAGGTGCTGTCCCTCTTCTTGGTAGTCTGCCATAGCGTTTCCAGTTCACTGAGATGCATTTGTAGCGTGCCAACTGTGATGTCATCGTCCGCTTGCGAGTTCGACATGGTGTCATATGAATAACACAACACGAAAAACAAGCAAACAAACACCTCTCTCCGCTAAAAGTCAAGGAGGAAAAAAAAAAAGAAGCTCGAGCGCTCGTTGAGGACTGCTTGTGAGCGTTGAACCTCTTTGTAGCAGAAGGATCCCAAATCATAGAAAGAAGAAAAGAGGAGGAAGAGCTAGGACACTTGCTGGGAGAGATTCAAGAGGCGAAAGACTCACATAAGTGACGAAGATGTCCACTGAGAACGAGAAAAAACGTTTAGCTTGGAGTGACTCAGTAAACCGGATATCAACTACTGCTGAACAAAAACGAAGGCGTTGACAACTGTATTCGTAGATGGCACTAGGTTTTCTATCAAAGTGTGACAAGTGGAGACAAAAGCCCACTAACTCCGCAGGGGAAAACGCAGTACACAGTATCTTTTCGTTACTTTTCTTCTTACTCTCGCCTCATCAGATCATAACAGATGCCCACCCCCAAACCCCCCCCCCCCAAAGACACACGACTAGACAAAAAGAGAGGTGGAAAAAATACGTTAAACTCACGATGGAAAGCCGCATCACCTTCCACAACAACAACTAATAAGACTCGTCTTCACTTTACCGAGAGATATTTTTAAAAAACGTGCACCCTGTACTGTTTACGCGTTGCACCTGCAGTGTAGAAAAAAAAAAGCAATCGTTGAGGGGAAGAAAAGAAAAGAATAAAGGAAAGAACAATCAATCACCTGGATAATTCAGCAGGTCCACGAATTTTCTACACCGAGGGCTCAAACTAACGAACGGGAGCTTAAGTGGCTCTCCCAGTTGTCCGTTGCCTCACCGCGGGTGGCATCGAGCACACACACACATAGTCCACCCTCTCGATTCACGTGCGGATCATCGCGTCCGTTCATCTTCGATCTTCTTCGATCTTTTCTTCTTCTTTTCTCTTTCCTCTGGCTTGCCGCCTCCTTATGCCGACACCTCAGGGTTAAAGAGGTGATAGCGGACGGTCGGCAGCTGCTCGTTGAAGCAGGTCTCGGTTCGGTAGGACAGCGTGTTGTTGCACACAATGTGGCCATCCGCCGACATCACCACTACACCACCCCACGCCTCCTTCGAGTTGAGGAAAGTTTTGCCGGTCTGGATGGAGATGGAGGCGCCGGTCTTCTCCTTGTACCACTTCTCCAGCTCGTGGATCTGACGGTTCACCTCAGCCGCGTCCTCCTGACGGCACTGAATGACGGCGTCAGTGCGGAGCGACAGCAGGGACTGGTGGATGAGACTTGTCAGCATGGCCTTGTACTGGGACGGGTCGGCGATCTTCGCCATGATCTTCTGGCGCGTCTGCTCATGCAGCTGCTCCATGATCTTCGCCCGCTCCTCCATTACACGCAGGCGCTGCATCTTCGAGTAGTTGGCGCGTGCCACACGGCGGTTGACGTCGACTTGCTTTCGCTTCTTCTCCGCGGTGGCGCGGATCTTCGTCTTCTCCGCCTCCACAAGGCGCATCTTCTCCACGTCGTACTCCTCCTGCGCGGCCGCGTCGAGCTCCTCCGCCTTCTCCTGGGCCTCGCGCTCGATGAAGTCGATCATCGATTGGATCTGGCGTGCCTCGCTCATGGTGCTGAATTAAAATGCTGCGTGGGTTAAGAAAAAGAAAATGAGAAAATGAGAGTAAGCGGGCGATACTAGAAAACAAAGCAAAACGTTGGTTTCAGCTAAATTCACAGAGAGAGCGTTTTGAGCAAAGGAAGAGGCTGTGCGCGTTGTGGTGAATAGAAAAGACAGAGAAGAGACAAGATGGAACGAAAGTTGAGGACGACGTTGCCGTGTGGAGTTGACTACTCGAGTCAAGATTCAGAAAACGCATGGTGCAACTCCGTAGCATTGGAAGAGAATCATACTCCTCCTCATCTTTCATCTACCTTCGCTGTTGTAGAGTTTTTGTTTTCGTTCCTCATCCCTTTAGTCGACTGGGGGGGGGGGGAAAGATAGAGAAGAAGATTTTACGCTGCTGCTAAGGTCGTAGAAGCGCAGCAGAGAGCCAGTGACCAACAATAAACGATCCCCAATTGCAAACGACCGCATAGACACACACAAGCACACACGGAGAGAGAAAAATAATGTTTTTCCGTCGTGATTTTGGATAAACTATTCCAGTTCGGTATTTGTGATGAAGGCGACAGCAGCAAACAGCTGCTGGAAAAAGAAGCAAATGCAAGCATATCAGTTTTGCATGCAAGCAAACCAATAGAAATCCGCAGCATGCAATTACGGCTACCCAGGAACACGGTGTGCAGTCTCTCGCATCCGTGCACACACAGACATCAATTGGCTTTCCATATTTTTTTTTTTTTACAGCACACTCTGCGTTGACTGGCGGCACTGGGCCCAGCTCATGATGAACACCAGCGGCGCCGTGACGGGCAGTACGTGGCTGCGCCACAGTCGGAAGCGCATACTGTGCGTTGTCACCAGCATGGCATAGAAGGCCCACCCGGTAAAGACGATCAGAAGGCTTCTCGACGGGACGGTGCGAAACGGGGTCATCGCTGCGCCGCATGTGGCACCAAAGATGAGCAAATAGTTGTGAAATGTGGTGAACCAGCGAATGCCCTCGCCGCAGGAGAAGAAGACATAAAAGCACATGCACCAGCTGGCCACTGCGTAGACCCATAAGAGGGTCTCTAGGAGTTCAAAGAGCATTGTGCTGCGGGTTGAAAAGGAACGCTTCGGCAAACACACACCAATGAGCAAACGAAAGAGGAAATATGTTTCGGTAGGAGTGCGGAAAGCCTCTCACCGAAGTTCGCGCTGACGCAGATTTCAGCATGATCCATCACACACACCGAGGGACACATAGTAGAGGCAAAAATGAGAAGACAGAAAAACATATAGACACACATATTGAGGTGAATTGCAGAGGAGCTCGTCACCGTTACCATCATACAACCTTCCAAAGGCTACCGCTCTCACCACGGTGAACAGGTTTGCTTGGCTCTGCCCAGCATAAACGTAGAAACGCGAGGCGACATCATCGCAACGGCGAATTCCCAGAGTGAGAGGCGCGTCATCGGATAGATTCGTATTGCATGAGTTTATACGTTTGCGACGTAATCGAGGCAACAAAGCAGCATACAGAAGAAAGAAAGAGAGATGGGGAAAAGAGGGAAGGAAGAGGTGGTGACCACCACAACGGTACTCCGCACAAACAATTCGCAGCACCACGTGTCAGTTCAACAGAGAAAGGAGACACACTACGCGCTGTCCTCTTCCACGGTGTGCTGCGCCTGCTCGAGGCACATACGCTGAATGAAGCTACTGCGACCTTGCTTTGCACTGGTGTACTTGGCGAGGACGGCGCTGCGCTGCCGCGTACCGCTGCGCCAGAACAGGCGAAGCGTCTCGAGAGCGGACTTCTCAATCGTCTCGGAGGGGAACTGATGGAGGACGTGACGGCCCAGGAAGCGAGGACGGCGGGCCACGTCGTGTGCAGCGACATCGGGGAAAGGGTAGCTGTCGATGCTGATCGGGCATACCTCCCTCTCCGCGGGGTGTGTTTTCTTGTAGGCCCCAAAAAAGACGCTCAGCGCGGTTTTACCGTTTTCTTCGGCCTCGCCAATATGTAGGAGATCTTCCTCGTTGATGTCCGTGTCCACCATGGCCGCCGCCGCACCTTTGGGTAGTGCGTTCAGAGAGGAGGCGTTGATCGCCGCCAGACCGTCGCTCGGCACCGCCACCGCCACCGCAGGCTTCGCCGCCTCCAGACGCTGAATGTCCTCCTCCAAAAACGTTCGAGCAAAGCAGAAATACTTCCGCACGACGGCCTCCCAAAAGACGCGCTTCGTTTCCTTATCCACGACGCGATCGCGGAAAATTGCCGCGAGGACGGGGATTTGCCGCAGGACGTCGTTCTCCATCTGTTCTGTGATAGGCAGCAACTCGAAGGTGTCCCGGTCCACGAGTCCCTCCAGGGCTTCAAAGGCCTGTTCGACGCCACGCTGCCCCTCTGCACTCACGACCGCTTGCAGCTCTCTTTCGTCAAGCATACCGACATCGACCGCGGCGCGGCAGATGCTCGACGCCACCCAGTCCTCGTTCGACTGTTCCGGCGGTGCTTCCTGGATGCGCACAATCGACTCGATAAAGCTTTCTCGCTCGTGCATGGAGGCAAATTTGAGGAGGTACGACACTCCGTCCGCCACCATCTTAGCGGCTGTCTCATCTTTGCGAGAGCGGAGCAGCTGACTGACGTTGCGAGCCCCAACGTGTGTCGCCTCCTTTGCGACGGCGGTGTAGAGAAGCACGATGAAGTCGCCCTTGATCTGCACCGTGCACTCCTCGTTGTTCACCACTACGTGCGTCATGAGAAAAGGGGAGAAGAGGAGAGGGAAACACACGACTAAAATGTGCATATATAGAAAGAGAGACAAGATCGGAGGAGTACACAGAGAGGAAAGAGGAGAAGAGTGACAAGCACTTCCAGACCAAACCACATCTCCAACAACAGGGGAGACCCAGAGGGGTGTTTTTTAGTGTTCGTGGCGGTGAAAGCGCATCTGCAGGCTTTCGAGTCCCTCCCCCTCCCCCTCCCCCCACCGCCACACACACAACACTTTGATGCTCGTCGCGGTGCAACTTTTCCTGAGCGCCAGTGGAAGGCTCACTTGTCAAGACATATGCCCACGGTAACATCAGGATGGTGCTCAATCGACCATTAAAAAAAAAGGAGGAGTTTCTGCTTCGACTTTACACTACAGGGCGTTTTTTGGGGGTATTTTTTTTGACATTCGAACATCAATTTTCCACTGGAACAGCGCTATGTACATACGCCAGGTGAGGGATATAACAACCCATGGAGGAGAAAGGATGCTCCGTGTAAGCTACATCAGTAATGCACCTACGACAAGAAAGAGAAGAAACGGCAAGGGAGGGCCACGAGACTATTGGTCATTAAATCGAAAGAAGAACCGTTACGTTCGCTCCGATACGCGGAACTCCCGCACGTTACACAGGCCGTGCTGCACCAACAGACGCCGCACCGCCTCCGTGTTTCGTGTGTCCACCACCAAGGAATCTGGAATGGGCACCTCCTCAACGGACTCGTCCTTGTGAATAACGCTGATCACCCGTCGCGGGCCGGCGGTCAGGTAACTCGACGTGGCCGGCACCACCCACGCCTTTTCCACCGCCTCGCAGAAGCGCTCATCGGAGTCTTCCGCAGGGGATATATCGTTGTAGTACTCGACGAATTCATCCACCGTGACAGTCCCGATCTTGCACCCCACCCGCCCGGGCCAGCAGTTCTCAAAGTCTAAAACGGCCTCCTCGCGCTGAATCAGTCCGTCCACCACATCCGGCAGTGCGCCTGCGTTGAGGCAGAAGAGACGGTGCATCTCGAAAAATTCAACGGAGCCTCTCCCCTCGATCAGCAACTGCTGGTAGGCGTAGATGACAGATCGCAGCCGCGCCTGCGGCATCGTGCCACGCAGCTCCGACAGCAAATCTTGGGCACACACCACGTTGTTGCCGGTGGCGTCGAAGCGCTTCATGAGCACGTCCGCCTCGACCGGTGTAAGCCGCACGCCGAGACGCGCAATGGCGCTGCGTAGGCCGTTGCTATCCAGCATGCGACGCACCCGCTGCTCCTTGCACGCCACACCGAGGGCGATGGAGAGGGAGCGGAAGCCGATGCGGCCGCCGATTTGGAGGGCCCCTTCGCGAATGCGCTCGAGCAGCTCTGTCACGCCGCTACCAGTGGTCATGGACAGCGTGTTCGCCGCGACGATCGCGCTCTTCGTCAGCGACTTCCTCGGAACCACCACTGTGTCTCCCGCGCCAAACGTGAACAGGTTGTCTGGCTTGGTGACTGCGGCGCTGCGGGAGCGGGAGAAGTGGTCGGCGACGTACTCGCACGTGACGGTGTACTCCATGCCGAACGATGTGCCCAGGTAACCGCCGCTGCACGCCAGAGGGAGGTTGGTGAGGGAGTGCAGGAGCACCACCGGCTCCCCAACCTTCACAACGCCACCGTTGTGCACGTCCTCGCGCACGGCACCGGGGCGTGCCACCACGAATACGTTATCGGCGGTTGCGTGGAGGGCAGCAACGGCATACTGCGTCTGCGACGAGCGCAGGCCCGATTGAATGGAGGACTGCACGTACACAAAGCCGTCCGCACAACCGTTCTCGTTGGCGAGGCGGACACGCTGGCCGTAGTGCAGGACGTCGGGACGGTTTGTGTTGTATCGAACGTTGTGTTCGTCCTTGCACCGCAGCAGCGTCCACGTTGAGCGCACCTGAGGAACGGAAGCGGCGCTGGAGGCGGTGAGGACGGTGGAGGTGGCGCTGCCGCTCGGCAACACATCCATCGCCAGCGCGGCGTGTGTCTTCTCGTTCACAACGAGGTACGGCATCCCAAAGCAGACGTCGTCACCAGCCGCTGCGGTGATTTCAGTGGGCTGCTGCAGCAATTCTGCTGGCGTGGGCGGTGCAGCAGAGGTGGCCTTCGCATTTCCGTTGTCTTGGCCTGCTGCTGACGCAGAGCTCTTGCGACCTCGGTAAAGCTTCAGCTGGTCCTCGCGCAGCGTCATGTCTTCGTACCAATTCCCCACCAGTACACCTGGCGAGTACTTCTGGACATTTCCACGCGTAAGTCCGAAGTCGTCCATGATGAGAGCTGGAAAAAAAAAGACAAATTTGAAGCGTGAAGAAATGCGTCTAAGCTACCTCCTTTTAGCTTACCGCGTTCCTTTGGAAAATACAGCGGCCCCCACGAAAGAAACGGAAAAGGTGTTGCGACTCAAAACAAACGAAAAACACGAATAGAGAAAACAGGCGAAATTGAGGTAGCGTTATCACAGAAGATTTCGGGGCGAGTTGGAATCGTCTCTACTACAACCACCTTGTTTCAATTAGGTGGACCTCTTTCATTCCACTTCTTTCGTTCGGCGGTTAAAGGAGCAATCCATGCTACTTATCCGAGTGGAGATGACACACATCAGCGTGCAGTCTTTCCGCGACAGTCGTGCGTCTGGTGACTGCATAAATCGGTTTCCCGAATCACTCTCGACTGTTCATGCAATTGTTCTTTTCATTTGGAAATGTTCTTTTTTTAATGCCTGTGAACGGAACAACACCAGTAACGGAAACACCACAACACGTCACACTACCACCTCCCCTTACCACCACCGCTGACAGCAACAACAAAAGCAGAGCGAGCCTGTAGCAACCCTGCTGCCTCACCAACGTGAACCAAAACACATAAAGCGAGGTCAGCGCACACGCACTACAGTTTGCCGCATTCTACAACGAGAATGCTCTCTGCAGGTGTGCCGGCAGCTGTGAGGGGCACCGCATCCATCGCCTCCACCACATCCCAGCCGTCCACGACACGTCCGAAGCAGATACACGTGCCATTCAGGTGCGGCGCATTATCCGCGGTGAGAATAAAGAACTGCGACCCATTTAGGTGCGGCGCGCTCACCGCCGTGCCCAGCAAACCCTTTTTGTCGAACTTCGACGCCTTCACCTCCTCCGGTGCGTCGAAGGTCTCCCCGTAAATCGAGAGCTGATGCGTACCTTTGCCTGACACGATATCTCCTCCCTGCACCACGTACCCCTTACTCACGCGGTGAATCGAGGTATTGCGGTAGGTCAGCTGCGGTAGGAACTGATCGCTAAAAGACGGCTCAGCGAGTCCCTCAACGCTCGAGACTTGCGGAAGGACGTTCTCGCCGGTGCACAGCTTAAGAAAGTTTTCTGCCGCAATGGGGCACTTCTTTGTGAACAGCTCAAAGCTAACGCGGCGTGGCGTTTGGTGGCCAATGGCGATGTCCATGAAGGCGTTGCCGGCGCCGGAGGCCAGTCTCCAGGTGGATCGATGGAGCATCCTATGAAACTACTCCGTTGCGTTGAGTAGAGGGAAAGAGAGAGAGCGGCCCTGTTTTTGTTTGCATGTTTAACGTGACGTGACGAGCAGAAAAAATAATAAAAAGAGCGGAGATGAGAGGAGAGGAGACGGTCATCCTTGCTGTGTGTGAGAGGGCAGCTGTCCCTATGGCTCTTGGGCCACGCAGCGATCTTACTGTTTGTCGCCCTTTTCTGTTCACAGAGGCTTGGGTCAAATGCAGACGCAAAAGTTGTGCGACGCGTGCATTTAATTACGATCATCTTTTCCTTTTTTCCCCCTGTTTGCTTTAGTGGTGAAAAGAGTGAAAACACGAGGATTGGGCAACCAACACCACGAGAAAACAAACGTGATTTATTCATTACGGTGTACGTCTATGAAACCAGCAAAGGTATTCTATCGAGTGCAGCGGAACGCCCTGAAACGAGGGCGGTGGTTAGGAAAGCTACCCTGAACCTACTTGGCCTTTTGTGGCTCTGCCGGAGTCAGGTGTTCCGCATCGACAAACAAACTAACTGTGCGTTGTGCGAGTGATTAAAGGCAAGACAACGAATAAAAACAGTGGAAACATTAACAAACAAAGCCTCCCGTTTAATAAATCTACGCGGGCGTATGCTTGTCATTGCCCACTTTTCTATGGACACTTTCTATGCTCAGAACAACACGGTCGCCTTGTCGATTCTAACAGCGGGAAAGGGTAAAACAAAAAAGAGACACGTAGTAATGACCACATTGCCGCAGCGCTTCACCTCCAATATTTTTTTTGGGGAATTTAAGTGTGTTCGCTGATTTCTATGAGAAATGTGCCGTGCGAGAATAGAAGAAAAGAAGTAGAAGAGGTGAGTCGCGAAGACTTCAAGTGGAAGTCGATCCGTTGGAAAGAAAATGATGAGCCATACAAAAACGAGGCGTCCATAAGAGAAAGTTGCCTACGACAACTCAACCCTTGACACACCCTCTACACCGTCGACAAGCGGCGCCTCAATGCCGCAGCGCAAGATACGTCCCACAACGTCATCGCTGGCGTTAAAGAAGTCCCACCCCGGTTCACACAAAACTTCACGCATGTTGTCCCATTCACTATATGTGCTGGCAACAAGGCAGTCTTGCGGCTGCAGCGCCATCATCTCCTTTCCGCGCAGCTGCTTCAGCTCCGCGAGAGTGTGAGCGTAGAGCGGAAACGCCGGGGTACCGCGGCTTAGTTTCCACCCGATGAAGTGGTTGGCGTGGAGCACCAGCGGTGCTTGGGGCGCGGCAAACAACCGCGGCGCTGCCGGGATCGTTTCAAAGCCTCGTTGCTGCAGGTAGGAGGCTAAAAGACGGACCTTCCTCGACGGCTTTGCGTCTGCTCCTCCTCGTGCATCGGTTGAGGTCCACCGCACGCGGCTTCCGTAGCCCAATTCTACACCGGCAAGTCCACTGGGACGCCTTGCCAAGAGAAGCAAACGTGCGCCGTCGGTTGCTTGCATGATGCGTGGGATCGACGAGACACGAGTGGCCTTCGACGTCGTCATTGTCGACGACATCAGAGACGGGGCAACGCTGGCGCGTAGTTGATGGTGGCTGAGCTGCAAAACAGCTCCCAACGCCCAATGGGTATCGACGAGCGTCATTACTCTTTTACCTACGGTTTAAAGGTTTGAGTGTATGGTGTAGCGTATGTGCGTGCGTCCGATTGCTTCGCGGGAATCAGTCTTTTTTTTTTGTTGGTTGAGATGACCGAGATGCCGGAAGGAGCAGAGAAGCACAAGTTGGAGAGAGAAATAGCAAGGGATGAAAAAAAGAAGCCCGACACCACAAACAGAGATCGTTTAAAGGCGTGCATCATGTGTGCTAGAGGCAAACGACGCTACCGGAGAGAGAAGCGGGTCTTCTTTGCATTATTACAGCGAACCGACAACAATAACGTGCCGATGTAAGCGCGTGGCTCCGCAACGCCAGCACTGCATAAGATCCCTTCGCTTGTCAACCTGCGAGTACTTCATGAAGTCGCAATTGCACGAAATAAAAAAGTCGGTGATACGGCCACCAAAAAGGGAAACAGAGCCATCAAATAGAAAGACAAGAAAAAAAAAACATGCGACTCTGGCTTTACTTCTTCGCCGAAGCCCTTGAGTCACAACAACGAAGGCGAATACAGGAAAAAGAGGGGGAAAAAAGTCAGAAGAAAAAGCGTCGATATCACGTAGTCCGACTATGAGCGTCAAATAACAGAAAAGGGAAAAAGTTATCTGTTCAGCCGCGTAAGGAACTGAAACACACTGACCACCTTGACGAGGCATAGAACAGCACAACACTAACAAGACTCAAACCACAAAGCACACAACCGCGTTCCCGTTCATCTTCGTTCCCGTTTTCCTCGTAGCTGCAAAGTTGTGTTCGCAATATATATTACTCTGCCACACTTCTTTCTCACTGCCACATTGGCGGAACATCCTTCGCAGGCTCGTTGGACTTCGTCACGGAGAGCACGGTGATGCGGCTGCGGTTCGGACTGGACGATGTTTTGGACGCAGAAGAGCCCCATCCCTGTCCATGCGGGGAACCGAACGGCATTCCTGAGGGATCGGTGGAGGTGGAGGAAGGCGGCGGCACACCCATATAGTTGTTCGGAGACGGCTGCTGCTGCTGCTGCTGAGGCATCGGCTCTCCCCACGCAAACGGTTGCGCCGGAGAAGGTGCCGGCTGACCCCACGAACTCGGCAACGCGTTCTGCGGTGGAGCGGGCTGGGACGAACTCGGCCCACCGCCCGATGGCTGCTGCACCGCTCCCGTGGGAGGGCCGCCGAGGTGGGCAAAGACACTCGCATCGCCCAGATTCTTGAAGGGATCGTTCGCGTGCGTGGGGTGGGTGGATGTTAGTGGTGCGCTGAAGTCCGCTACCGGTTGTTGATGCTGCTGCTGTTGATGTTGCGAAGGTGGTGGCCCCGAAAAGGGAGTCTGCGCTGCGCCGTTGTAGGCGGCGTATGGGACTTGAGTCGGCATTGGAGGTGCATTGAACGGCGCGCTGTACCCGAGGTACTGCTGCTGCTGCTGCTGCGGTGCCTGTTGCTGCATTGAAGGCATACCCGGCGCAAAGTTACTGCTAAAGTTACCAAAGGCATTTGGTAGGTTTCCGTACGTGGTTTGTGGCGGAGGTCCGCTAAAGTTGAAGAACTGCTGCTGCTGCTGCGAAGGCGGCGGCATGCCAGACGAAAATGGCTGGCTAGCGTAGGTGCTGTCCACGTACGGACTTTGTTGAGGTGCCGCCGACGGTGTGTAGGAGGGACCGCCAAAGCCGGCAAATTGCTGGGGCTGGGCAGAAGAGTAGCCGCTGGTCGGTGCCGAGGTGACTGGCGGAGGTGCGGCAGGTGCACCAGCAAAGAGATCATCCACAAGGCTTGACACATTCTGCGGAGGTGGCAGCGGAGCGGGGACCGTTGGCGGAGGCGCCGCAGTCGCAGAGGACGAGGGTGGTGGCGGCATGGCGGGTGCCTGGACGGGCGCTGCAAACAAGTCGTCGAAGACGTTGTCCGTTGCCGGCGGCTGCGCACTCGCCGGTGCCGACGTTACTCGCTGTGGTTCTGCCGTGGGCTTTGCCGGGGCTGATGGAGGGGGTGGAGGTGGAGCCAGTGAGGTGGCGGCCGCTACTGCTGCTGCTGGTGCCTTTGGCGGGGCGGCCAGGGCGGCCTGTGGGTCCTCCCACGCCTTCATCAGACTGGCGTGGGCAGCCTGATCGCAGTAGCGCCGGTTCACAAACGTGTCCCGGATAAAGTCCTTCAGCGCCAGCACGTCCCCGGAGGCGGGGTACCTCCCTTTGAACATGTTCAGCCACACCTTTTCCGCGGTGTCGTTTCCGCCGAGCATGAAACGTGCGATCTCGTCCTCGTTGAACTCGCTCATCGTGATGCCCTTCACTTTGTGCTGGAAGGAGCGATGCACCGCGCTGCAGCTGGAGCAGACGAGGATGTTGAAGTCCGACACGACGTAGAGGGGACCCCGCATGTCGCAGTCAAAGCAGTACTTGTTTCCGCCTTCCTGACTCAGCTTCCGCAGCGTCTCCTTGTGGCGCTCCGCCTTCCGCTGACGAATGTTCATGGTCACAGGGGTTCGTTGTTCGCTAGTCGATGAACAAATAAATTAAAATATACGGTAAATACTGCTTCGATTTCAAGTTTAGTGCTACTGGAAGAGAAAAAGAAGGAACGCTAGGTGCTGCTGTAATCGCGCAACGGCGCGCACACACACGCACAGAGGAAGAAAATCTGGTTGTTTTTGTTGAGTGGTAAAAACGAGGTTGTATGCTTCCCGTACCGCAGGAAGGCAAACGTGTTCCTAGGGGGAAAGAAGAAGAAGAAACCACCGTTGTATTGCGTGGGTGACGTGTGACGAAAATATGAGAAGCATATCCGGTAGTTTCAAGAAAGAGTCCAGGAAGGAAAGAGGAAAGAGGCGTTTCCTAGCTCAACGTTTGCCTTCTTCACGCTACTCCCCACGTACATTACAACGCTTGATTGCTGTGTTAACTTTCGTGTACTTTTTCTTCGGTTTAAGTTTCTCTGAGCAAACCCTACGGTGCAAGTGATCCTTATACATGTTTTCATAGGCAGCGGCCGGATCAGCCTGATAGCCGCATGAAACGCATCTCCCTCTCTTCTTTTTTCATTATTACAACAACGACTCAGCTCATGAAAGCTGCAAGTCGCAAACACCCATCAAGAAAAAAAAAAAAACAATTAAGAGGGAGACAGTGGCATCAAGCGAAGAGCATCTCTCCTTCATCGTTATCGTCGTGTTGTGCGATTCGCAAGTTTTCTTTTTTGAGAATCAGACCATCTTGTTCGGAGGCGTCGCCGGCCCAAAAACAACGTTGCTGCGTGACTCTTCCTTGTCCGTCATCACCCGCCAATGCGGACTGGCCGTCTTTCTCACCCACTGAAAATCATCCACGTTCGTGTAGTTTTGCTCCGTGTGGGCGGTGTCTGCGATTTCGCCGACGCAGCGCACCCACTCCGCGTGTGTGGCGTACGTCGCGCCATCACTTGCGGTAGAGCGCAGAAGGCCCTCCCAGCAACAATAAGGACCAAAGCGCGTGTTCGAACACGTTTCGACGATGGGCGTGGAGGCGCACCAGACAAAGATGTCCGTGTCTCGGCAGTCCTTCAAACGCAGCTGATGGCACGCCACGTAGACGCGGCAGTTGGCGCAGCCGGAGAGAAAAACGGACCCTGCAATCGGCAGACAGAAGATGGAGCAGTCCGTGCATCGGTTGATGAAGACGCCCTTCGAGGAGGCAATGAAAAGGTCCGTGCCAGCCGACGGCCCGTAGGAGTTGCCAAAGCCGGCGGTGGAGCTGCCACGCCCGTCCGCGTGAGAAGCGGTGACATTTGTTATCTCGGCTCGCGCAGTCGTGGCAGCTGCGTTTCGTGATTCCGCTGAGGTGGTGGGTGAGCACGTCGAGGGGCTGCTGCTCGTTTTTGCTTTCAGCCGAGAAGAAAACTTGAACTTCTTCGGCCCTGTTTCGGCGCTCTTCGCCGCGTCCACTAGCTGCTGCAGCCGAGCAAGAATCGCGTTGGCTTTAGCCATGTCATGCGCAGTGAGAGAAACGGTATTGGACGTGTCCTGCACAAGCGTCCGCAGAGCATCGATGCGCTTCTGCGACTCTGTCACATTGTTCTCCTTCAAGAGCTGCGTCACTGCAGTTTCGAGTTGGTCTGCCTCGGCCTCGTACTGCTGCCGTTGGGCTGTGATTTCGACCCCATCCTGGGAGCGCTGCTGCCGCTGCTCCTCGCGCTCTTGACGTCCTTTGAGAAACTTCTCTTCCATCCGCAGTGAGGCGATGGAAAGAAAACAATGAGGCTGTATGGTTTGAAGGGGAGCCGCAGGAACAGAAAAAAAGGACCTTCGCAGCTGAATCGATCCGTTCAAGAGCAGCAACGGTAAACGGAGATGAGAAAAAGGGAAAGCAGAGTTGCAAAGAGGAGAGAAAGCTAGGCGACAACGATGAAGGGAGCCTCGTATACCGTCTTACTGCAACGAGGAAAAAACTTCCAACCTCAAGAACGATGAAACGCATGTTCTGCCTGTGTGTGTGTGTCCTGCGCGCTCTCACACGCAGGTCACTGTCGGCGGAAAAACACGCTATAGCAACCATCAGTCCTTCCCACTTCATTAAAACAAAACCAACCAACCAAAAAGAAAGGCGAAATACCAGAACAACGCGCATAGTACATAAACAGCTTGATGATCCGCAAACAGCAAGGGGAATAGCTTCGGGTTTGTTCGATGCAACGGTAGACATGCTTCAGCACACGCCAGCAGACAACCTTAAGCTTCTCCAATACGGAGACTGCCAATTAGTTATTACGAATGCGTTTCGATCAGCAATTAATAATAATAATAGTTTCACAGAATAAGCAAAGAGAACGAAGTAAAGGAAACTAAAAGAAGGCACACGTTGCAGTCCACTTCCCAGGTAGGAAGCATTGAGAGGATAAGCGCTTCAAAGAATATATGTTTTTCCCTCGCCAGTAGGTGAACCTTCGAGGGGCTTTTACCCCACACCACCGGCGGAGAAAGCAACAAAAAAGGAGGTTCTACGCCGAAGACTTCAGATGCTTCGAAAAGATACTCCTCAGTTTTTCTTCATCCAGCTTTTTCCCCAGCACGAGCGCGCGAGTGCAGCCGAAAGGAACACTTCGGCCCTCCATCCTGGTCACATCGAACAAGTCACCAATGCTCTGGAGCTGCAGGAGGCTGTATTCGCCCTTCTCGCAGCACCAGATCGCAGCCTTGCACCGTACCACCTCAAACCCGTACTCGTGCCCTTTGTACAAGAGTTCTTTGCAAATCGTGTCGACGTCACGCGGCGAGCTGACGGCGAGAGCGTGCTCGGCTTCAAAAAACTCGAGGGAGACCGCTGTGATGGAGGAGTGGTGGTGCTCGTGCAGGTGCTGCAGCTCCGGCGCCCTTCGCGTTGTGTCGATGAAGAGAATCTCGCGCAAGTTCGACACGCGCGAGTGGTCACTCTTGATGACCTCCGCAACGGGATTGATCTGCTGCACGCACGCCAATGCCACCTGCTGCTGCGCTGCAGACGCGATATCGCACTTGTTCAACACCACCTTATCTGCCATGAGAATCTGACGTGTGGCTTCCTTTTGGACATCGGGGTCCTGCAGGTACTTGTGGATGTTCACCGAGTCCACCAGGGTCACAATACCAGAGAGGTAGAGGGCGCCGCAGAGAGCCTTGTCTTGCCAAAACATGGACGCAATCGGGCCCGGGTCCGCCAGTCCTGAGGTTTCTACCAGAATTAAGTCGAAGGTACCCTTGCGTTGCATGAGCGACTCCAGCGCCTTCACGGTTTGTGTTTGCGCGGTGCAGCACATGCAGCCGTTGTTGAGCTCCAGCCACTCATCATCCGGCTTCTGGGAACTCTTCAACGTCAAACCTTTCTCGATCGTCTTTCCAAATTCAAACTCGTTCACAATCACCGCAATCCGCATGTGATGGTTGGCGGAGAGGATGTAGTGCAGCAGGGTTGTCTTGCCGCTCCCTAAAAATCCCGTGAGCACCGTCACGGGAACACGGGCCGAGATCAGCTCAGGGCACTCGTCGTCGCTGCTCATTGCTGTGGGGACCTACAGCTCAATGAAGTTGAGAAGCAAAGGAAAATTTTCTTTTTCTTTTTCCCACACGACAGCGCGGAAGCAATAATCGTAACAGTAATAATAGCTAGATAGCGTGAATACGAAGTTGTGTGCTCGAAACATGTGCCGATAATCTTTTCATGTTGTGCAGAAGAGCAGTACGTTGGTCACCTAATTCAACGAAGCGGACCATAAAGAAGTATTTATGAATGATGAAAGACAAGACGCAAACCAAAAGTCAACGAAGGGAAAAGTGAAGTTAAACAAATACAGAGCTTTGTCTGCCACGAAACCTTTTTGTTTTCGAGAGTCCACAACAGATTGCTGCGATCATGGTATCGAAGAAAGCACGCAGTGATGACAACTGCTCTGGGAGCAGGAAGCATAAGAGCATTTTCCCAAGCAGACCACAGCATTATGCAAGAAAGAGAAAAAAAAAGCATTGTTGCTCTCGCACCAAATGGGGCGGCTTCCCATCGAGACGTCTCCGCTGCGCTAACGCTCTTCTGAGCTTTTCCCGTTTCTTAACCTGTTTCTTGGGAAGACAAGAGCGTGGCAAAACATAATACACATCCACGGAGAAAAAGAGGACAAATAGAGAAATATTTAAGAAAAAAAAATAGTAAGCCTGATAAGACGCTGTTCTCCCCGAGGTGCTGAACATCAGGTAGGAGGAGGAAAACAACAACATGCGTGCCAACTTGTTGATCACACGTGCTACGTACCATTGATGGAAAAGGCATGCACACACGCACGCATACAAAAAGTAAAGCACACAGCTTAAGGTAACGGTATTCCAGAAATCATCCCATAGCAATAAAATGATAGTAATAATAGAAGAAAACCTTCAACACCGGTTTGACGCCGGAAGGAAAACGTCAAACCTTTTTGAGAAAACGGATAGTGTACATCGCTTGATAGAGCAAGACGTGAAGTCACATGTGTTGGGGACTTGACTGATGAAGGAGGGTAAAAAAAAAAGAAAGAAAGAAAGTGAGAAAACACGAAGACACCAGGCAGTGAGAGAATGCATGAGGAGAACAACAGAACAGCAACAACAATGAAAGCAGCTTTCGGTAGGGCTTTGCTGGCGTTGCATTTTCATTTTCTATCGAAAGATCAAACCCAAAGCTTTTCATGCAGGAAGTGAAGAAAAAAAGATTGGAAACACCAAAGGTGTAGGACTGCTTAAAAGGTGCAGAGAACCCCGCAATAAGTTCAGGAACAAAAAAAACCCGTAACAAATATATTAAAGTCGAAAAAAAGAAAGGAAAAGAAGGACATTATTTACACCGTTGATATGCAACTCGGAGCCCACCGTCAGCACACTCCATCTACTGAGTTCAAAGCGCGAAGGTGAAAAAAAGTATTTGTGTGCGGGCGTCTCTGTGTGTGTGTGTGAGAGAGAAACAATAGCCTGAGAAAAGGAGAACGTTCACCTCATCCCAAGGAATCTCATCGAAGACGTCACAGGAGAGAACGAACCCGATGCGACTCCGGCGTTTACGTTTTAAACGCAGGAATACAGGAACAGAAACCACTCAATCCAAAATAGTAGAGAACCAGAATAGAAGAAAAAAACTTGTTACCGTTATCATTGTCTCAATACACTGTGGGAAAGTGCTTCTTGGTACGAAAAAAAGAGGGCCTAATGACGCTGGCGCATAGCCCGCGAAAAAGAAAAGTGAGATGCCGTGAATAAAACCGGTGACGCCGTTCGCGAAGGGCACACGCAAATGCGCACCTCGCCGAAGCTATTGCCATCAACACACGCGCGCACACACTACTGCCAACACTGCGTGAACAGAGAGGAGGAGAAACTAGCAGCTTTCTTCAACTCTTTGAAGAGTTAGTCGTCATCCTCAGCTAACGTCGCACTGTAGCGTGTGCTGTACCCATTCACCTTGCCAGTCAGAAGGATCTCCGTTGCAAGGGGCGCTACAAGAAGCTCACCCTCATAGCAGTTTGTCGCCGGTACGTAACGCACCGCATCGACCACACGAGGTCCCCACTGCACCACGCTCGACACGTCCAAGGAGAAGTGCACGTGCATGACGAAGTCCTTCGTGTCGTTGTAGAACGCCCAGCGCCCCGCAGTCGTGTCCATCACGCGGAACAGCATCCCGTTCACCTCCTCGAAGCACGTGCTGATCCTGTTGCCGTTGACGGCGGGCTTGCCATTTAGGTACTGTGGCTCTGCCACGTCAGCGGCATCGCAAGGACTGCCCACCGGGTCTTTCTGTGCTGCCTTCACCGGCCCATCCGTTTCACACGTGTCCCAACCACCATCCTGCATACGCAGCACACTGCTGTCTAAGAGGAATCCAACGGTGTCATTGGTGCTGTGGGCGCACGAATTGCCCATCATCCATCTACGGTCGGCGTTCCATTCCCACCCTGCCGGAGTGGTGGCACCGCTTGCACACGCCTCCTCTGCGTTGGTGCCCACGACATCCAGCAAAGGACCGATCGCGTCAGACTCCTGCAGCCGGTGCTTGAAGTCGATCACGGCGGACGTGCGTGCGGAAACGAGTTGGATGAGCGCGTTCAGGTACGCATCGTCGGAGGCGAAAGACTTGCGCAGCAGCTTCGGCAGGGAGAAATACTTGCAGTTGCGCTGCAGCAGCTTGATCTTCTGCCGGTCGCTGTGCGCGCTAAAGTACACATTCAGCACTTCCTCCACCTGGCCCAGGTTGCTAGGCGCGTGAGAGGCCGCATCGTCGTCGTCGTCATCATCGCTGTTCACCATCGGGTTGTCGGCGCCGGCCACGCCACCTGCATCGCCGAGCGCGACCAGCGGGTTGGTGTACGCGGCGCTGGACGAGAACACGCGGCCCTCCACCACGCGCAGCTCGTACATCTCCACAAGCTCCGGCACGCCGCGCAGGCGGTACGAGCCACAGGCGATCAGATCCACGATGCCGCGCTGCTCCGCCGTGAGCGCCTCCACCACGCTCGACGTGCACAGCACCTGGCCGCCGCGTCCGGCGCTCTCCGTGCGCGCCGCCGTGTTCGCGGTTTCGCCGTAGTAATCGTAGCCTTTGGTCACCTCGTCCAGCCGCACCTCCGCCATCCCGCGGTGCACGCCGATGCGCACGCGCAGCCCGTTCCACGCCCTCGGCGCCGCACCGCCGCCACCGCACGCACCCGCCTTGCCCAGCGCCGCGTACGTGTCGTCGATGGTGGTGCTGCCCCAGTCCGCGTTCAAAAAGTTCAGCTGCACGTCGCGCGCCAGCTGCACCGCCGCGAAGGGGTCGGCGCACGCGATCATGAAGGAGTCGCCGATGGTCTTGACCTCGTAGCACTTGTAGCGCACGATGAGCTCGCGCATCATGCTGTGGTGCATCACCATGGCGGCCGCCATCGCTTGCGGCGCCATCGCCCACAGCGCCGTGCTGCTCTCGATGTCGGTGAACATCAACGTCACCGGCTGTGACGCGTCCTTCGGCGCGTTGCCGTTGTCGCGACTGTCGCCGCGGCAGCACAGCCACAGCAGCACCGCCACGACGACGAGCACCAGCACGTACGCGCACACCACCACCACGATGATCGTGGTGTTCCTGGAGCTGTTCGAGCCCCCGTGGTCGTGCGGCGCCACGGATGTTGTGGTGGTGTTCGTTGAATCCTCTGATGATGAGGACGATGACGACGACGAGGTCGATGTGGGCGACGATGGCGATGAGGACGAAGCGGACGGTGATGTCGACGAGGACAGTGCGGCGGAGTTTGCATTGTCTGTGGCGGAATTAGCCTCTCCAGGGCTCGCTGCTTCATTCGGGAGTTTTCGGAAGGACAGTGGCAGATAAGGCCCGCCCATTACAGGAGTGGAGGGGTCCCTCACGCGCTCGTACGACCACACGTACAACGCGGCGGCACCCGCATTTAGGAATTCGTGGCAGGTGAAAGAGTCGAGGGTGGTGCTGTAATCGCAGTTGGTGAGTTGGAAAGGTCCCAGCTGCAGGCCGTCCACGTTCAGGATCTGCTTTTGGTACAACACGTTTCGGAGTGCGCTGCTCGACGGCACCGACACGCTGCTGCTCAGCTGCTGCAGCACGCGCGACGCGAGGTAGGCACGCAGTGCGGCGGGGGTCTGCTGGGCTGAATCTGGGACCGCTGCCACGAACGACTCCGTCAACGCTGGCACGGTCGCTGACCGACTGCTTCCTCCTCCGCGCCAGTGCGACAGGTTCGTCACGAACAGCAATCGGCTTGTGGACGAAAGCTTAGTTGCCGGAAAGTGCGTTTGGAAATCACTGTAGAGAGCTGTGAACTCGTCAAACAAAATCACCGCGTACAACTTTTTCGAAGACTGCATATGAGCTGCCAAAGACGGCATGTCGGATGCCGTGAGTCCGCTCAGCACCATCACCCCGTTGATTGGGAAACGGAATTGTCCTTCAGTTGTTTCGAAGATAGTGACGTTCGCCAACCCAGCGTAGTCAAGTACTGTCTTTGCCACCGCATTCACGCTGCTGCCGCTCGCACTCCTAGTTGTTCGAGTCAGAAAATGCAAAGGGCGAAGTGAGGGCAGATCCGCCAACATCGCGGCGATGGCACCCCACTGCTGCTCGTTGGTCGGCGTCAGGTAGACAACGTTGCTGTCGCGCTGCCACAGCGCCGTGCTGGTGAACACGGGCTCGATGAGAAGCAGCGAGGACGCAGACGTGTTCTTCAGCGGCATCGGAATCGGACCCGTCAGCGCCGCCACAGGATCAGCCGCGACTGCGGCGGCAACCGCCGCGTCGTCATCCGCGCTCATCGGCAGGGAGCGCCAGTAGAAGCTGACCGGTGTGTTTGCCTGCCCGCCTTTCACAGCCTGACGGGAAAGATAGTTTCCGGTGCCGCTGACCGACGTCGCAAAATCCAGCAGGCCCACCTGCACGAGACGGCTGGCGTCGAGCTTCACGTCTGCTGCGCGGCACTCCGTGGGCTTCAGCAGCATATCCGCGTCTGTGATGGTGTCCAGACCGTAGTAGACCTTATTGGTGGCCTTGTCCACTTTGGCGGCCAAAGAGTGCACCAGCACCATGCGGCCACCAACGTTGCACGTATTGGTGAAGGGACCCAAAAGAAGATCGCCGCCCACCGTGTACCTGCGCAGCGTAAACAGAGACGTTTGGTATGTCGTTTGATACACGTAGGGGGATAGGAGAGAACTGGGGAGAAGGGACATCGCGGCAAGTTTTCCTGCAATCCAGCCGGCGACGGCCTGCACCCCGGTAGCAGTGTAGGCTCCGTAACTTACCAAGGCGGATGCACCGACGTCGTGTGCAAATGTACTCATCGCGGCCCACCGTGAGTCCTGCGGGTGTGGGTTACTGGAAGACATCACGATGAAGGAGGGGGATTTCAAATGAGGGGTGTTGCGCGAACTGAGTTCGGTGTAAATGCGAATACCCATCTCCATCAGCCACGATGGCATCATAATGGTTGCATTGACGTTGCTGTCGGTGATCAGCGCTTCGAAAACAGCGGCGGTGCCGCCGCCGTACGGGGTGAATAAAAAGACGCAGGAGCGAGCGCTGCTCTTGAGGACTTCGACGAATGCTGGGAATGCCTCATTGTCGAGTTTGTCCGTCACGAGGTTGTACGCCACGACATCGCTCGAGCGCGACAGCCCGTTCATGCGGAGCACAAATTCGTTATAAACGGCGGTGCTGACTGCGTTGTTGACGAGGCTGCTGAACACGAAGCCGATTTTGAGCGGATTCAGCGTGCGCAGTGCGTACGTCAGCAACGCCAGCATCTCCGTGGCGGGTTCGCTGCTGGTGAAGTAGGTGCTGGTCGTGTTACTCGCGAACATGGTCGTGCCATCTGTAAAAGGGATCATGACGGTGAAACTGTTGTTTTTGGACGTGACGGCGGTGACGTAGGTGCTGAGTTGCGCGTCTGAGCCGGTGGCCACCAGTGCCACGGGGTATCTGTTCGAGGTAAGGTAGTTCGAGGGATCGCTGCTGGTGATGTCGGTGGGGGCGCATGTCACACCCAATGACGCAGCCCCAACGCGAATGCTGTCGTACAGAAATCTAGTCCCGTTTTCGGCTACGTAGCATTGCGTCTCCGCCGCGCCTTCTGCGCACCGAGGCACGATAACTGCTACACAGAGAAGAACAGTGAGGAAATAGATTCGAGGAAGGCGTGCGCCATGCCCAGGGCACATGGTGCGCAAAGCGCGCTTCATATTTAGTGAGCCTTATCGTTTGGAAGAGAAACACAAGGAAAAAACGATGAGGAAAACTATTCTACAAAATAGAATGGAAGGGGGAAGGAAGGAAAGAAAGAACCGCTACGGATTCCAGTGCAAAGGGTTCCAGGAAAAGAAGGAAAATGAGAAAAACTAAGAAATAAATCAAAAAAAAAGTCATCAGCGGGGTCGGGAGAGGAGATAACGGGGTGGGTGGGAGCTGCGTGACTCGATTGGCGTGCGAGCGTGGAGGTAATGAGGGGATAGCCAAGCGAAAGACGTATAATTCTCCCCACTTAGGTGTGAAGTTTTAGTCAGCTACCAAATCAAAATGCAAAATAATGATAATAATCATCACAAAACACAGAGAGAAGAGAACGACGAGGGGAAGGACGGGTAGTTTGGATTTCGACCGCGACCCATACTTTTTGCGTAGCGATGGCGAGACGCGGCGAATCGCTGACGTCTAACCAAAACAGAAAACAGATTTCGCTCTCTTTTTTTGGCACGCAAGAAAGGAGTGCTGCCAGCACTCACCTAACGAGATCGAGTTTGCTTGGCGGAGTACTTCACGGCACCGTAAGCGACGACACGCAACTGCGCTACAAATATAACTAATGGAGACTCTCAGAGCATTCCATCCGTAGGGGCAAAACCACCACAGCTCTGGTCCAAATTAAAAAGAAAAAAGAGAAAAGAAAGTGAAAGTGAGCAGTGAAGTGAATGCAAAGAGAGACAGACGGGTGAGTAAGAAAAGAAGAAGAAAAAAACCCAGCAAGTTCCACTGCTATAGAAATAAGCGCAGTGTCTCCATCCACAATCGAGAAGACGAAAATGCGAGACCGTCGCCGAGAAACTGACACACAGAGAGAAAAGCTATACCGCGCACTCACAAACAAAGAAGAGGAGGAGAGAAGAGAGCATCACAGAGAGGCAGCATACTGATTCATGTGTGCGCGCTACAAGCCTGGGGTACCGTCTTCAATCCGTCTCAGCAGCTGTGCGTAACGCTCTTCCAAGTTAAGCTCTTCCCACCCCACGGCTGTCGGGTCGCCGTGCGCAGAGGCTTCACGGACATCCGTCACCGTTGATGATGATTTTGTGTCGGATGGCGCGGGGAAGTTGGTGCGCACGAATTCAACGTTGGCGGGCGAGTCTGGTGTGGTGAGTACACGATACGGCGACAGCATAGAAGAAAAGCTGTGTGCTTGGGATTGCAGAGCCGGTTGTTGCTGTGGGGGTGTCTGCTGAAGGTATTGGCGCACTTGAGCGCAGGTGTCGTAATACTGTTGCGGGACTGCGTTCATGGCGCGCACGCAGGCTGAGGTAACGGAGGCACCAACAACACAAAAAGATTTGAGTATCGACAGCGACCACTTAAAAAGAAGGAGAGACACACAAGGAAAGACACAAAGAGTACTGAAAAGAGAAGAGCGAGAGCACGGGGGTTTGCTTCTTCGCCTCTCAGGACGGAATTCTTTCATCACGCATGGAAATCCGGCAACGGCAAAAAAGTTAGACCGCACTGGAAGTAGACGCCGCACAGACAACTCTGATGAGATACGTACGTAATCGATATCTGCACGAACAGTAATGAAGCGCGCGAACCGCTCGTTCAGGTCCAGGCATGGGTATTTGCATCCGCTGGTCTTTCATGCACCAGTAGTGCTGAAACGCGCGGCATCGGCAGGCCAGGAAAGGAAAAGACAGATTCAAAAAAAGAACTCTTTTCTTTCGACGTCGTAAATCAGGAAAAAGAAAAAAGGAAAACCAACACACACATGTGGAAAACACAATTACCATATACTTGCCAATTACAGAAAAAATAGGAACAAAAATTCAAGGAAAAACAAAACAAAAGAGGAAGGAAAAACGTAAAAATTAACGTATAATGTCTTTGTGCATTTTGATGCGTCACCTCACAATCGTGCCTTTTTCTTTTCTTTTGGGGGGAATTGAAGTTTCCCATCGTTTGCGGCCCGCACAACTTTTGGGGGGCTTATCAGGATAGACGAAAAGCAAGCATTTATAAATAGCCACTTCACTTCACCTCCATACACGCACACACACACACACACACACACACACACACGTGGAAAGAGAAGTAACCGTAAAAAAAAAGAGTTCGAAAACACTAACGCAATCATATATAATCTTGCGATTAGCGATACAAGGCAAACTCATAAAAACAAAAAGAGGACGACTCCACCTGCCTCAACTCTATCAAGCGGAGCGAAAGACCTCAGAGGTTGCGAACTCGATGGTTCGTTCCGCTTCTGTGTGGGAGGGACGGTCGAGCAAGATACGGGGTAAAAAGTCTGCCAGATCCTGATGCTGCCCGTACAGCTTCGACATGGAGTCCGATGTCCCACACACGCGCACCGGTGGGCATTCAGCGTGCTGGTGAGTGGTGTGGCGCAGCCCGTTGCAGTACTGCACCGCAGGGTAGACGTCAGCATCTCCACACAGCAGCACCACCTGCTGGAACTGACGGTGATCTTGGAAGAGCCTAATCACGCACGTCGCCGTGGCCACGTCAACGCCGGTCTGCACCCACACGTGCCCAGGCCCGTCCTCCGTGTACCCCCGCTGGCGCTTCATGCCTCCGACCAGCTTCGCCACGACGTTCGGCAGCGACCGGCCGCTATTCATCTCATCTGTCAGGTAGAGCTTGCGGGCTGTTGTCTCGCGGAACGCGCGCTCGCGGTGGGCGAGCGGCATGGACGTCTCAATGAACTCCGTGAAGGCGGTGGTGTCCGTGTCAAACCAGTAAGCGAAGGGCTCTCGCTGGAAAATGTCGCCAAGGAAGTCGATGGTGTGCCGCAGGGCGTCGGCGATGTGGCGGTAGTAGTCGGCGTCGCCGCGGTTACGCCGGAGCGTGACGCAGCGCTCGAAGTAGGCGCCGTCGATCACCACCGCCACCCGTCCCTCGCGCTTGACGATCGCTTGCGTAACGTAGGGCGGGATCACCTGCGTTGCGGCCACAGTAGACTTGTTCGCCTTGTCGCCCCCGTTCATCGCCACGGTGGACGGCGTTTCGCAGTCATTCGAGCTGTCCGAGTCGTCACCGTTGTTGCTTCCGGGGGTGTCTTCGTCCGGTGAGTGCTCGTCAGAGAGGCGGTCGTGTGCCATCTGCGGCACGTATGGCTGCGGGCAATGCACCGTCCCATGCATGCCGCCGCAGTTGTCGCAGTGGTTCTTCTCACACACGCCGGCAGTATGGCCTTTCTCGTGGCAGACGTCGCACATCACTTCCGGGCAGTGGGCGACGAGGTGACCTGGTTGGTGGCACATGCGACACAGTTGTCCCTGGGGGCAGTTCGCTGCCTCGTGACCCGGCTCGTTGCACTGATAACACACGCGGCCCTTGGAGCGCATCGGGCACTCTGACGAGCGGTGCCCAGAGTGGGAGCAGTGGAAGCAGTGCGGCTTGCTGTGGCAAACCTGGGAGCTGTGGCCGAAGGTGCCGCAGTTAAAGCAGCGCGTCTGCGGGCAGGTGGTCATCATGTGACCCCGCTGGTGGCATTGATAGCACTCCAGGGCTTGAAAGCGGACAGGGCACTGAGCTTGGATATGCCGGGAGGAGCCACAGCTGCGGCAGACGGCCCAGCGATGGTCCAGCTCATTCGCAGCCTCGTCGACAGAGCGAAGCCGCTTCGCGGGATCCTGCGGGCAGTCACGGCGGAAGTGACCGCGACGGCCACACAGGTTGCACTTGATCTTTGGGCAGTTGCGACGCAGGTGACCGCTGGCGCTGCAGTTGTCGCACAACAGCGACTTGGTGTTGCCGCCTCCGTTTCCGGTGGACGCTGCGACGCCTTCCAAATTCATGGTGGGCTGTGTGGTGACGGGGGGCTCCTCCACCGGCAGGAGCGCCGGGGGCGGCGCAGGCAGCTGCGCTGCCGTCGATTGTGACTCAGTTGACATAGCGGAAAACAAGAGAAAAAGGGAACGCGCAACTACAACAAAGAGAGAAAAGAGTTGCGCAAATACAGAGGTTTAACAGGAATACTCGGATCAAATACTAATAATAGGGCTAGTAGCAAGAAAAAAAAGACGAGACTTTTTAGGGAGCAATAGTCAAGAAGTCACGAAGAGCAGCAGCGATGTGCCTGACCTCGACAAACGCCGACAACAACGAAAGGAAAGAAAGAAAGCAGAAATGGATTTTCATCCTGAGACAGCGTTGAGAGTCCAGCGGAATGAGAAGAGAACACAAGAAGCACACATAAAATACAACGGGCTGGCCAACCACGTGAGCACTACAAATGCAGCGCTTCGCAGCGTAATACACGTGCTTGCGGCATCACGGGAAAGAGAGATACATTTCGATGAGTTCGTCGTTGGAACGCTTCGTGGCCGGACGTGAAATCGCAGAAGTCGCTGTGCGTTACGTCGTGTTAGTGTATGATTCTTGTGTTGAAGAGTAACGCAAATAGCTGAAGGGGAGGTTGCATGCGGATACGCTTGCGTTTCACATCCACACAAACACAGATAACAAGAAACAAGTGATCAGAAAAAAAAAAACCACGAAGCTTCCCAATGCTCGGGAGCTTCAGCAAGCTTCGCACAAACCACCAGCACAAACACACATACATGGCGCTCCTTAGCAGTTCAGTCTAGCCACTGAAAGAAACCACACTGTCGGTTGGCGCAGGTTAAGAAGCGCTTGCCTTTCGATGCCTCCTTGCGAGACACCAGCTGCTTCGCCGGCACCCCGCACCCGCACATCGCACCTGCGCCATCACCCGATTTGTTCACGGAAGCAGCAGCACCGGCACTGCTCTTCTTACCGCCGCCACCCCCGCGTCGACCGGAGGCCGCGGCGGCGACAACGGAGGGCAGCGTGTATGCGGCGTTGGACGGGCCGCCGTTGCTGCCGTTACCGTTGCCTCCCGCCCCAGCCGAGTTGCTGCCCGCAGCGGGAAAGCCCTTGACGGAGATGTAGTCTTTGATGCGTGCGTCACAGCTCACGCAGATGGTATCCACCGTATTCAGACCCGGCACACCCTGCACCCCACGAAAATCAAAGGTGAGGAGGACTGCGTTGCACGAGGGACACCGCTGCGTGGGACAGGGTTTCACTGCGGTGGCCGCAGGGAGCGACACGAGCAGGCTGCAGCTCGGGTAGCCTTTGCAGGAGAGGAAGTAGCCGTTGGAGCTCGCGCGCAGCCGCAGTTCGTTCTGCCGACACGCGATACACGGCGTAATGCCAATCGACTCGAGACCCTTCGCCAGTGGACAGTCTGCCATGCACTGGAAGCAGCGAAACTCAGCGGTCGCCTCCATGTCCGGCACTACGCCGCTCGTCGACCCCGCGGTGGGCGGGTGCGTGAAGCAGTAGGGGCAGACGGTGTAGGAGGTCTGCTTGTCGCGGTTTGTCACACGCAACACCGCGAACCCGCAAAGCGGGCACCGGTGCGGCGGCGTCACCGGTTCCAGTGTGTTGAGACGACCGTTTGGCACGCGATACGACTTGCTGCACCCATCACACCGCACCGCCCACACCTCGCGCTCGCCGTGGCACTCCACGAGGTCCATCCGGCGGTCACATGACCCACAACCACTCAGGCCGGCGGCTACCACCGTCGCCGGTCCGGTTACGGCTGCTGTTGCATCTGCAAGTGTGGCGTCACGATAATCGCCGCCGGCAGCTGCAGCGGGCCCAAGATGACGCTTCAGCTCTTCATAGAAGGCCGCCGTGCTGGCAGAAAGACGACTAAAGATCTCCTCGTAGAGCTGCACGGCGGCCGCCACCACCTGCTCCTTTGTCGCCCCGCCGTTGGCGATGTCGCCCATGGCCAGCTCCATCTGGGCACGCAGCTGCGGCTGGAGGAGACTGCCGAGGCCTAGTGCCTCGTAGGCGGACGCCAGTGCGATGCCGAGCCGCGTCGGCACCAGCGCCTGTCCCTCACGCCTCACGTATTCTCGGTCGAGGACGGTCTTGATGTGCTGGGCGATGGTGGCATCCGTGCCGATGCCGTTGCTGTCCATCAGGGAAATGAGGTTTGTCTCGCTCAGGTGCGGTGGGGCCGCGGTGCAGCCTTTGCTGAGGTGGACCGCAGACGGCTCAAAAGCCTCGCCAGCTTGGTAGTTTGGGATGAGGGTGTTGTTCCACCGCTCGTAGGGGAAAACATCCAACCACCCGCGCTGGACGATGGTGGTGCCGCCGGCGCTGAAGACTTCACCGCCGAACTCGGCCGACACGCGCGTCGTTGCTGCCACGGCGTCGGGCGACAGGGAGGCGAGGAAGTGGCGCACAATTAAGTTGTACAGCTTCCCGCGATCCTCCTGCGTCGCATTCCACGCCTTGGTGGGGTGTATCGGCGGGTGGGCCTTGTCGTTGTGACCGCCGCGTAGCGGGGGACGCACACGGGTAGCCGTGTCCGCCAACATCGCATGGACGAAGTCCGCCACGTCGGCGTTCGATGTCTGCGCGCGCACCAAATCGAGTAGTTCGTTTTGTTGGAAGGTGTACGAGTCCGTCTCCGTGCGGGGGTAGGAAATGAGACCTTCTTGGTAGAGCGACTCGGCCAGTGTCATGCACCGCTCAGATGAGATGCGCAAGTGCGTGGCGGCGAGTTTCTGCATCACCACCGTGGCGAGCGGAACGGGCGGTCGTCGATGACTTGGGCGCTGCTGCACGTCTGTAATGCGGCCCGTGTGGCCTTCCTCTGCAGCCGTCTGCAACATGCTTTCGTAGACGAGCGTCGCCGCCACCTGATCGTACATGGAGCCACGACTGCTGTGGAACTTTGTGTCGCCGTGCTGGACGCTCAGCGTGAAGAACTCCTCAGGTACAAAACCCTGCTGTTGCCAGTGCCGCCGCACGATGAAGCCTAGCGTCGGGAACTGGCAGGGGCCGAAGCTTAACACCCCAGGGATCTCCTCAAACAGGTGGCGGAACTTGACGGTTTGGTAGCGCGTAAAAGCCGCCCCTATGCGCAGGTCCATCTCTTGACGCGCCTCCACCGCCTCCGAAAGGCGCTTATTGGGGGCCTGCAAGTTGTGCACGGCGTGCAGCAGATCGCGGGAGGTGAGGGCGGAGAAGTGAGCTCGCTTCACCTGCACACGGGGCCTTTTGCTCTGCACGACTTGCATCACCTCAAAGCAGATGTTTTCGCCTTCGCGATCGCAGTCCAGCCACAGGACGAGGGTGTCAGCTCGACTTGCAAGAGCCTCCAGGTTCTTCTTGACCGGCTCGAGGTCGGCGCGTACGTACTTGGTGATCTTTGCGCTGAAGAGACCCTGAAATGGGTACGAGGCCCAGTTCTTGGTGTTGGGCGGAAACTGGTCCTCCATGAGATGGCCGGAGACGGAGGTGACCAACATCGTTTTGCCTTCAAAGCTGAACTCGAATACAGGGTTAAAGCGGGACAAGGAGGCAATGGTGTGGCAGTTTCCGCCACAAAGGCTGTGCGCCAACTCCTTCGCAACGCTTGGCTTTTCAGCCACACTCAGCCACGTCGGCATTCTGCGGTATTGCCTGCGCTTAGGAGACTACGTAATCGTTTACGAGTATTATAGGGATTAATTTAGAGAAGAGCAGGCAGTGTTTGTTCCTTTAAACGAAGTTGGCTTGATCTGCATTAATGTCAATCTGCGGAAATGTCTCTATGCTTCTGTGAGCGTGATAAGTTCTATGCGATAATAATAGGCGAGAGACAAAAGGTAAGTCGTAAGGACTAAAATGGCAAATCGTGATGGATCGCTCTTCTATTTCTTCTTTGTGGCGTGCATGCGTGTATGTACAGAGAGGTGATTATAAAACTTAGGTGCTCTCAGCTTCTCCAAATTGAGCTTTTCCATTCTTGCTTGTTGGCACGTTTTTGGTGGTCCCCGAGTGTGTGATCTCCCTTGAGAAGGGGGGGGGGGTAGAGACGAATGGATTGCGCTCACCACTAGTAGAATAGCAAAGGGAGAAAAAAAGAAACGAAGGAGTGAGAGGGGGGCGAACTTGGGCTGCGCGCGTCGTGCGGGAAGGCGATCCGCAACCGCGATTTAGCAAATTAACAGCTTTAGGTGCTCTCCCCTTTCTTTCAAAGCGAGCAAAAAAAAAAAAGAAAACATCGAACAGCAGCAACACAAACGCACACAACATCGTTACACTCCACGCGGTAGAAGTGAAACGATGCGGAGAACGCGCGCGCCGAGCCAACAACAGACCGCAACAGGAAACAAACAAAAAAGCACAGTAGCACCGACAAAGAACTCCGCATGCATACGCACCTGCCATATCAACAAGACAGTCGCGCCATCGCAACGTTGGAGAAGTGTCCGGAAGCGATGAATGCCAAAGAAAAGAGGTGCTCTTCGATTCACCGCACCGCTACTGTGCAGAGCAGTCCACATCTGCGCGAACACCGCTGCTGAAGAACAGCGCGCTTTTTGATTACCGCTTACACACTGTTTCATTGTCTTTCTCTTTCTTTTGGCATATCAGAGACAAAAAAAGGTAGGATAAAACATCAGTCACACGTCCCGCTTCACGACTGGGATACACAATGCACAGGAGACAAACACCGAAAGAATCAGGATGGTACAGTCGATTATTGCTATCTCGGCCTACGCGAGAGAGAGAGAGACCGTGTGTGGCCGCCCGTGAATATGAAATCGTCTATACAACCTCCGTACCTTCTAGCATTCTGTCCTTTCTACGTCAAACATCGGAGCTAGTCCTTTTCTTTGCAGTTAAACCCTTTCCCCTCCATTCGTTTCTCTCTTCTTTTTTTTAAGCAGCACCGTCTATTTTCCTTTTTGGATGATTTCTTACCTAAGAATTGGCCACGGGTAAATCAAAAGTTAAAAAGCAGCGGAGAAAGCGCGCAAGTGCTTGCGTGCGTTTCCGCATAATGCTGAAATGCTCCCTTTTTAATTCCTTTTTCTTTTTTTTTACATTTTGCAGCTTTGTCGTAGCGTCACTTCTCATTTTCCTCTTCAAAGAACGATCTTACAGAGAGTGAAAAAAGCCATCACGCCACAAAGGAGAAGAGAGATAAATCACGGTGTTGCAGGAGCGAAAAGAGAGATATGGGAGTTTTTCAAAAACACCCATGAAAAGGGGGGAGGGGGAGGAGGGGAAGGAGAAGAGAAGAACACCCACGTTGCCATTTAGTCTCCATAAAGATTTTCCTTGTTTGCTGCAGCCGTCTGAAGTCGTCACCCACCATCGATGTCTCTTCTCTACCCATCACCTATTCCGTCACATCTAAAAAGAAACACAAAATTATAAGAAAATCGCAAATCAGCGAGGAGACGCAGTCAAAAACACAAAAGGACAGCTTTCTAACCTAATAAACATAATCGTAAAAATCTGCCTCTTTCTCCATTGTGTGATCACTTTCTCAGAGCTTTAATGTATGATGAAAAAAAGAAAGAAAATATTTATTTTGCACCAACGAAAGAAGAGAGGGTGTGCAATATGAAGTTGAGCATCCTCTCTTCGATTCGCTGCGGACCGGCGCTTCCTCTTCTCTCAGTTTCTTTGCCACACCAGTGGCGGGGATCTCCTCAAAACGAGATCATCATTGCCATTTGCTTCTGCATTTCTAATGGTAGTCCTTCTCGTCCCACACAAAACAAAAGCACAAAAGGAAAAAAAAACATATAGAGGTTGGCGCCTGAGCGCGCGTGTGTGTTTGCGAATAATGAACAAGCACACAGGTAAAAATAATAACTCAAGAAAAAAAAAACCACGGAACGAAGATAAACGTAGCTCGGTAAAGGCGCTCGATAAAAAGGGTGCGGCACTGTTTGACGTGCGACACTCTGCCACAAAACGGAGAAAAAGAAAGAAAGCGAGTGCTGGCAATCGATGTCGCGTAGAGAAACGCCAAGCTCACAAACGCATGTGTTGTCCATTCGTCGTGTTATCATCGCCGTGTTCCTCACGCAAGAACACCGGCGCTTATACTCCTCCTTCATACGAACGCAGGCCGAGGTGCCCATCGAAACGGGTAGGAAGGCGAGCGTGCGAAAGAGGAGCGTTATACTTCATTGCGAGCACGGAGCAAAGAACAAGAGGTGGTAGAGCTAGAGAAGGAAGGAGGAGACCGAAAGCGAGAACGGCGTCATCAAGACAACACCCAGGAAGTCAAAGTAGCGCGCGCCGCACTTTTTTCTTCAAAGGTTCTTTTCTTTTTGGCTGCCTTTAGAGCTGGTCGTCGGTCCACAGGTTGAGGTTCTCGCGGAGGAGACGCACGATCGTGTTCGACTCGTGGTAGGCCTCGTCGTCGAGCGTCTCCAGCTCCGTCACGGCCTCGTCGTAGGCCTGGCGAGCCAGCTGGAAGCCTTTCTCGTGCTCCTTCATGATCTCGTAGTAGAAGACGGAGAAATTCAGCGCCAGACCGAGACGAATGGGGTGCGTCGGAGCAAGGGACGAGTTGGCCACATCCGTCGCCTTCTGGTAGGCGTCGAGGGCAGCCAGCTTCTGGCCATCACCGGAGTCGATCTCGGCGTAGTAGCGGTGGTAGTCGCCCTTCATCTTGAGGTAGAACACCTTCGCCTCACCACCCTGCGCCGCGGGGATCAGGTAGGTGTCGAGCAGACTGAGCAGGTCGTCGCACAGCGGGGACAGCTCCGCCTCTAACTCCTTGCGCATGTTCACCACCAGCGGGATCGTCGCGGTGTTCTCCTTGGCGTTCTCACGGCTCTCGATCGTTGTGATCACGCGCCACGCGTTACGGCGCGGTGTGATGACGTTCTTGTAGGCCACCGAGAGCAGGTTGCGCTCCTCCGTGTCGAGCTCGCTGTTCAGCTTCACGTACTTGCGGATGCACAGTAGCATCTCATCGAAGCGCTCCGCCTCCTCCGCGAGCTTCGCCATGTAGATGAGCTCCGCGAGGTCATCGGGCAGCTTGATCTCGCTTTGCTTCGGGACGACCTCGTCCTGAATCGTCGCGTTCTTCCACTTGATGGTCTCCGTCATTATGGAAAGATGAGAAAAGGAACGTGAAGGGCGAGGTTTTTTTTTTGAATAATAAGCGTGTAAGAGGAATAGAGAAGAATATGGTAAATACTAACTGGAAACCAATACGTCAACAGGTGAAGAAGCGGGGCGTTGTGTGCGTAAGAGACGGACGCAAAATGAGTAAGGAGGAGTGACGGTGGAGAAGAGGAGGAGAACAAAGAAGACGAAGAAGAGAAATGAAATGGTTCCGCATGTGCATCTTATTAGCCCTGAAAAAAAAGTAAAACAAAAGAAAAGAAAAGAGAGAAAAGCGACAGGTTAAGTCAAAACCATGTTCGTCTACATCCTTAAAAAATTTAAAAAAGAGCTTGAAAGGTAGCCATTTTTCTTTTTCTTCTGGAGCTGAGATGGTGTGACACCGGGAACGGCGTCGGGGGCACTGACGCAGTGTTGCACAAACTCCATGGGGGAAAAAAAGTTCTTTCTTTCTTGAGCTTTTAATGCATGGAGGGAAAGGATGAGAGGCGTGGGCGCACAGCAAGCGCAAGCAATAAAACGTACTGCTATCACCATTTGTAAAGCGGCACGTCAATGCAGAAAGCCGCAGACACATCATTAGAACGCTTGTATGCCCACCCATTCCATAGACACAACAAACCTCACCACGGTTTTATGGTTCAATCTAATGACACACATCGTTGTCTATTCAGTAGTCCCCCCAAAAAAGAAGGATATCTAACAAATGAAGCCATCTACGTTGTGCACGTAACGCGTCAGTGATTAATAGCAGCTAAAGCAAGAAGCAGAAGACGGTAGCCAAACGCTCAGCGCGCCAGCTGGACAAGACGGGCATGCAAGGCCTCCGTCTGCTCCGTTTGACTGCGCAACATGCCGATTACGTCGTAGCCACCTCCGTACGGAGAGCTGCTGCTCGTAGGGGCTGGCACCGTCACCGGCGGCTCGCCCGCGCCCGGCAACGTAATGCACCGCCCAGCACTCGCGCGTGATGCTTGATAGACTTCCGCTTCCTTCTCTACCAGCGCCGTCATCAGCTTGCGACGCAGACTGTCAGCGCGCGCGGCTTCGCTGGTACACTGCTTCTTGTACGCCTTCAATTCCTTGCGGAGGACGCGCACCTGCCGCGCCGCCGCCTCCTCCATGTCGTGCAATTTCGACTCGCACTGCAGCACGGCCCGGCGGCTGCACAGGGCGTCCTCGGTCGCGTTGTCCAGTCGCACCGTCAGCTGCTGCACCTGCAAGGTGACTTCGTCGTGGTGGACGAGCGCCTTTGTGAGATCGTCGATTTGCTGCCGCGCCGCGGTGAGCTGGTCCGTCACGGAGCCCTTCTCTACAGTGAGCCACGCTTCCTGCTGCGCCGCCACGTCCAACTGTCGCTGCAACTCTTTCACCCTTGCGGCGAGTGCGTCGTAGCGCTCCTGCGCTGCCGCGAGAAATTGATCCTTTTCGCGCAGGTCGTTGTTGCCCTTCTCCACGTGCCAGCGCAGACGCGTGTTCTCCTCCTTGAGAATCGTCTGCGCACGACGGAGCGCGCTCATCTCCGTCAGCGTCGACTCCCGCACGCGCTGCACCTGCTGCTCCCCGCTGGACTGCAGCTTGCGTGCGCGCGCCTTCTCCTCGGCGAGGCTGCTTTGTGCAGCGGCGACGTCGCTCGTGAGGGCGGCGACGCGCTCGCTCAGTATGTGGCGCTCCTCGACAACCTCCAGTTCTCTTTGGTCTAACTGCGCTTGGTGGTCTTGTTTGAGCTGCGCAAGTCGGCGGCGGGTGTCCTCGACATCTGTGCGGAGTTCCTCTACTTGGTGCTGCGCCACTGACGCCGCCGTCGCGTAGCGCTCTTTGAGAAGCGCTGCTTCGTTCTGCAGTTCGGTTGACCGCCGCACCGCCGCGCGCATCTCTGCCACCTCCGCCTCCATTGCACGATAGCGCTGCTCCAGCTCTAAGTTGCGACTTTGCTGCTCGCGTAACGCGTTGTGCGCTGTCAGCAGCTGCTGGCTGTGCCGCTCTCGCTCTTCAAGCAGCTGCGCGTTGACGGTGGCGGCGCGCGCCTCCAGCTCTACGACCTGCCTCTGCGACTCGCGCAGCCGCTGCCCGTCGGCAGCCGTCTCCACCCGCTTCATCATGTCCTCCAGCTGCTGCTTCAGCTGCTCCACTTCCTGGCTGTGTTCCAAAAGCGCATCGGCAGTGCCTTGGCGAGCAGCGGCTACCTGGGCTTTGAGATGCTCGACGGTGGCCGACGCCGCGCGGTACCTGTCGCGAAATCCATCTGCTTCTTCGAGCTCTCTCTTCAACGCTGTCAAATGTTGATGCTGTTTCGCTTCCCGTTCTGCTGCCTCCGTCAGCTGCTGCTGCCGAAGCTCACACACGGCCTTGGTGTTCTTCGTCTCGAGCGCGAGTGCGTTGTACTTGCCCGTGAGGGCGGCAAAGTTCTCCTGAAACTCCGAACATGTTTGCAGCAACTCCGCGTAGGACGCCATTACACAATAAGAAAGAAAACGAAAAAAAAATGGAGGAGATCTAGAAGAACAAACAAACCAGATATATCAAGAAACGACCGCTAAATCCCCCAAGAGGCGACGGGACGCTTCCGGCAGTGTGAAAATCTGTACAGCCGTTTTTCTATGCCTCAACAAAAGGAAAGAGCCGCAGTTGTAGAGAGCTGTCTATGTGTAAAAGTAAGAAGTGTGCGTGCAAGAAAGAGAAGAGCGGAGTCGAAGCGTCCACCCTATGTATCGTTGTATTAAAAATAGTTCAGCGTAGTTTTGCAGAGTCTATGTATGAGGGGAACAAATAATGTGCTTTATGGTTGCGTGCTGGAGGTGTGCAGAGAGTCGGCCGTGCACCGGACTGGAAAGGGAGTAAGCACGATGCAGAAAACCGACGAGATTTGCGCTACGTACCTCCGCGCGTGCGTCGTGTGTTCGGAAGGAGCTCCGGAGAAAAGAAAGGGCTCTTTCTCAATTTTTGTTAAAGAGAGATAAAGCAGTTGCACGCCAAACAGAAACGTGCGCACAAGTCCAAGGCAGAGACGAGAAAAGGTGAGAGCTAAAAGCGGAAGAGCAAGAATTGAAACAAGAACAATACTAATAAAAACATGAGAAAGTACAACCCGTGAAGAAGCGGCGGTACCTGTGGCATGAAAACAACCAAAAATTGGCCGTGCACCACCCTGCAGCATAAAACCCAAGGATTGTTTCCTCTGCATTAACGTCCGTCTAAAGCCGTGTTCACGGCTCTTCTTTTTCCCCTTTTTAACGTGGGTGTCGTGAGTGAAACTCTTTGGTGTGTTTTCTGAGCTGCTCTGGCAACGAAAGTAGCAGTAGTTTCGTGCCCGTCTGTAAGACGCGACTCCATCATACGTGACCACCAAAAGGCGGCCAACACAATGGTCAGGGGAGATTAGCTCTCGATAAACGACGCGACGCGAGTGCCAATAGCGCTGCCCACCGTCGAACTACTCGCCACCGTCGGCGCCGGCACCACGCTGCTGTCTGCCACGTAAAGCCCATCAACGCCCTTCACACGCAGCTTTGCGTCCACGACAGAGTTGATCGCACAGGTGCCGAAGAGGTCCCCTCCGCTCTGCACCGCCTCCGCCAGGAAGGCTGCCGTGTCACGCTGCGTCGCCAGCGCGGTACGCGGCCGATGCAGCGTCGCGTTGTAGGACCAAAAGGGGCCCACGTTTTCTTCACGCTCATTCACGTGGTAGACGGAGCGCAGAGTGCCGTCCCGCGAGGTGAGCAACCCAACCCATTGGACGCCTTCGTCCATCGCCAGCACATCTTCCTTCGTCGCCAAAAGACCGCTTCGAAGCACCACAGCTGTGGCAGCGGACCCAGTGCCTTTCCTTTGCTGCTGCTGCTGCTGCGACGCGCCGTAGCGGACCTCGCCGCGGCTAGACGGGTAGTGGTGTGTGACGCGCATCGTGAAGCCGTCGAGCGGCCAGCACGACGCCCCGTCCGCCGTACCCATCTGCGGGGTGCGGAAGAACTGCAGAGACAGGTCAGGGTGGTCGCGTTGCGGCTGCGAACGCACGTACGCGACGCCCTCCAGGAAAGAGGTGAAGATCCCAGTGCGCTCCTCTGTGTACTCGCGCCATTGCTGGACCAGGTAGGTCACGTTGCGCCAGCTGATCGATTTGCTGAACACGTTGGCCGGGTTGCCGATGCGGAAGATGAGGTCGACAGTGGTCGTCGTGATGAGGTTTTGACCCACCGAGGGGAGATCCACCACGGCGCCCTCTGCGCCAACGCCGCTGCGCTGCAGCAGCAGGGGACTGCGCAACGCACCGGCGCATACCACAACATGCGACGCCGCCAACTCTTGTGCTGCTCCCTTGTGCACGACCTCCACTCCACGCACTTTACCAGCCGCGCAGCAGATCTTCTCGACAGCGGTTTCGGTCAAAAGGTCGAGCCCGCGAGTGCGGTGCTTCGACTCCTCCACGAGCGCGTCAAACACCCCCACCCGTGAGCCGTGCTTGATGTAGCTCTGCATCGCAGAGAAGCCGTCTGTGCTGCCGGCGTTGAAGTCGTCGGTGGCAGGCACGCCGGCCGCCTCGCACGCCTCAAAGAAGCGCACGTTCATGCTGGCGTCGAGGTTGCTGCGCTGCACGTCGGAGATCGGCAGCGGGCCGTTCGCGCCGTGCACCGCCGACCCGCCGCGAGCGTTGCTCTCTAAAGATTTGTAGAAGGGTAGAAGCGTCTCAAAGGTCCACGCTGGGTCCTTCCATTGCTCAAAGTCGTGCCGCGTTCCGCGCATGTACTTCATGTCGTTGCACAAGCTGCTTCCACCAAGGCCGCAGCCAACACAGTAGGCCAGCGAGCGTCCAGCTAAGTTTTTCTCCGGCACGCAATAAAAGGTCCGCAGAAACGGCCTGGCCTTACGGGCAGAGGTAATGAAGGGTTGCACGGATGGAACGCGCATCACTGGCGGCATGGAGGCGCGAGTGCCCTGTTCCACCAGCGCGATGGAGGCGCCGGGGTGTCGAAGCGCGCACGCACGAGCGGCGGCGCACCCGGCAGCACCGGCGCCGACGACGACGATGTCGTATGCTCGCTTCATCCTCGACGCGTGACCGCTATTGCGGCTGATTGAAACAAGCAAGGACGTGTTCCACTCCCACAGGAGGAGGAGATGCGAGGCCCTGCAACTTGTGCTTTAATGTGTCTTTCTCTGCTGGACTTTGGCGTTTGAGGTCCCTCTCGAATAACACGCGTCGCCGCAGATGTGAGGACAATGGGCGCGCTATTCCCCATACCTGTGCAGAAAGCAGCAGCAGCAGCAGTTCACACGGCAAACAACAGCAAAACGCGAGAGAAATAGAGAGAAATGACGCATGCTTTAAAAAAAAGAAGTCGTCACACCTGAGTTTGCAACGCATACGCCAATCCTAGCGATTCATGGGCTTGCAATGAACTGGTTTGACAGGAAGAAACAACACGCTCGTGTGTGTCGACTGCTCCCCTGTCACATCTGTCCCTCGGCTGTGCGCAGCAACGGGGGGAAAAAAAGTGCGCCGTTGGCTTCTTTAAACGCATGCTTGCCACAAGAGAGTGCATCTTTCTTTTTTTGGAGATAAGAATGGAACATGTGAACGATCAGCATCATAACAGCACCACAAACCAAGTGAGCAAACAACTGCATCCCCCTCCCCCAAAATCGGCAAGCCACCAGAAGAAAAAGAACGTTAAAAAAGAGGACGATTGGACGGGACCAGGACGCTCTTCACTGCGAGCGGTGCGGATAAAAACACAAACAGACCCGTACAACACTCCTTCATGACTTCGTTTCCACCTTCTTCTCGCTTGTTTGCGACTCCGTCACAAGCGGCGGGCGTTCTGTGACTTTGGTGCGATCGGAGGCGAGCAGCACAAGACCGTGGGGCTCCTCATACCCGTTTGGGTCCTCGCGAAGATGCCTGTGGATGTCGCAGAGATGCCCGGCGGTCCACTTACGAATAATCCGCACCTCGTCCATGTCCGTCTCCAACAACTTGCATTGCATTTCAACATTCTTCTTGAAGCGTTGGACGTGCTCCTCTGGCGGAGGCGGCATGCCGGGCTGCTGCGGCAGCTTCTGCTCCCGCAGTTCGTCAATCTGATGTAACGTGTACGTGTTCACGTCCTCGAGGCAGTCCACGCACTTCAGTCGGTTTAGTGCCTTCTTGTGGCTGTTCTGCGCCTGCACGATGCCGATGCCAAGTCCTCTGACGCCCTGGCGGGCAATGACTGTCGTGAGAAGGCCCGTCATGAAGCTGACGGCGACGCAGCCGATGGGGTGCCGCCGCATCCAGCCGAACCTCTTGCGGCCGAAGGAGAGCAGCGTGAAGCCCGTCGCGGCGCCCATGGCAAGGGTGACGTTCATGGTCATAAAATCGTACCTCCAGCGGCCGCCCTCCTTGGCCCGTACCGCGCTGGTCAGCAGAGCGTAGCGCAGCATGCCGTAGCTCGTTGCCATCGACATCACCTTCTCTTCGTCAATGAGCACGTAGCCGCCGTGGATGTCCAGCGGCACGGTCTTGCCTAAGTACCCACTCATCATGGGAACGTTCCAGTAAGTGAACTTGTGTGGCTTCAACCCCACCGCCACGAGGGCGTCCGTGCTGAGTAGCTTGTAGCCTTCGGACATATCCTCGTGGTAGAGCGAGATGTGGGTGGCGAGCTGGTGGAACTGCGCCTTGCCGATGAAGTAGAGACTGTCCATTTTCACAAACCGCGCGCTCTAGAGTTACCGTCTTTTTAATGGGAGAAACAAAACGAAGAGGTTGTATTCCAGAAACCCGAGCGGCCCACCTGTGAAGCAGGCGCAACCACGGGACGTCTCTCTCACACAATCTTTTGCTTTTTTGATCCGTGTTGGACTGGTGGTTGCGGTTCCAGAGAGTCGCTCCGCCGAGTTAGTAGCGAGAAGACGCATAGAGAAAGAGCGAGAGAGAGACGTTAAAGGGAGAAATAGCAGTAGTGATACGAGAGGCACAAACTCAAAGATAGCTCAGAGGAGATGCGGTATTACTATTATCGCACGGGTCAAACCGCCTTAAAAAAAAGGCTGCGTAAAGACTAAGAATTCGTTTTCATCATGGTAGAAGCTGCAAGCCGAAGTAGCGAGACACTTATTGTTATTATTTTTATGGGGTTCGTGTCAGTGTCTGCGTTTCTTGTGCGCTCTACGCGGTGACATACTTGGTGCCTGACCCAGCAGGAAAGATCAGAGAAGAGGAGAGAAAACCAAACAAGCAGACCACAACACTCGTAAGGATGACCGTTGTGAGGTGCAAGAATTTCAAACAGAAACACAAATGCGCGAATTGCTTCTCTCGTCGTGTGTGCACTTCATTATTCCTCATGGAAGGCGTGCGCAGCAGCAACAAAGCCAAAAAAAAACTACAAAGACGGAAACAACACCTGCGGGGTCTGTCAACAACATCATCACTCCACCACAACTATTCAGGAAGGCAACTCGAATATAATAGAGGGGAAAAACAAAGAAAGAGGTGCAGGCGCCAAACATCACGAATCAAACAATAGCAACCACCACCACCACAACAACAACAGCAACAACAACAACCGATAGTTTGGAGTGCTCTATTCACTATACCTCAACAACAAAAAAGAATGAGCGTCTTGACGAGTCTACTTCTTGCCGAGCTTGCTGCACCCGAGAATGAGGAGGTTTAGAAAGTAGAGAAGCAAGATGCCACTCACGTAGAGAAACAGTTCCACCGTCTGGCTCAGCGGCAGGAGGCGGATCGCATCGGTGGCACCCTCCACCACGGGCGTCGGCAGGTAGCGCTGCAGCGCCGTCTCGCCCGGCATCACCTCGATTACGCCCCACTGCCCCAGCACCACCTGGTAGTTCACGAGCGTCCCGTCCATATGAAAGGACAGCGACCTCTCCCACGAGTTGCCTGCCATAGTGTACACCGCTGCCGAAATCTTGTTGAAGTCGCTATAGGGCGTGCTCAGCGCCGGGTACACCTCCCTCACGGCGGAGGAGTGGGTGCTGGAGGCGAGGAAGATGCCGGCGTTACGGCGGTCAATCAAGTAGAGCGCCGCGGTCCCGGCGTGCTGGTTCACCTTCAGCGACTGCATCATCCACGTCGCGGTGGTGTCGAGGATAACCGCACGAGACACGAGTCCTCTGCTGTTGTGCGTGCTGGGGTAGACGTAGCTGACAGCCAAAAAGACCTCACCGGTGACGGTGTCGTTGCTGACGTACGGCACCGTCCAAAAGCCCGCCGTGACGTTGGTGCCGTCGATGTTGTGTTTCGTGAAGCTGCTGCGCCGCGACGTCGTGAAGTCCTGCGTCTTTGTTTCGTTGGCCGGCGACTCGGACAACACGGGACCGTTGAAGATCGTTTCCAGCTGGTTCGAGTCGGTGTAGAAACAGGTAGTGTCGCTCGAGGAAGAGGAAGAAAAGGTGCAGCCGCACACACCCCACTTGCGTACCGCCGCCGCTGCCGAGGAAGACGAAGAGGAAGAGGTGGTGTTGCTGTCGGCTGCGCTTGCAGCCAACGTGCTGGCACGACGCGCGTGCGACGAAATAACCTGTTTTACCAACACCGAGTCTGACTGAACGATCCCAGAGGAGTCCGCAGGTGTGGGCGTCGTCGTTGTTGTTGTTGTCGGTTCTGCAGTGGTGGAGGAGGTAGATGAAGACGTGGTGGACCCCAGCGAAGAAGATTCTTTCGTTGATGCACTGCTACTGCTCCTGCTCCTGCTACTGCTGCTGTTCCTGGTGCTGCTACTGCTACTGCTACCTTGCGGGCTTGCACCATTGAGGGCGTAAGACATGTAGAGGGAATGGAGTTGCGTACCGAAGGCGTGCTCAATCTGCGCAAAAGCCTCCACAGACATGCTATCCGACTTGGTGTTTGCAGCCGCTTCGCAGTTTCGGTAGAGGCTTGCCGCTGTCTTGGCAACGCTCTGACTCTCCTTCACGATCGAGCCAAGCGAGGCCACCACCTCCGCCACGGACAGCGCCAGCGGCGAGCTTGCGATGAGGGTCCAGTGATCCATCATGGTCAGTGACTGGTAGATGAGGCCGTTCTGATAAAACGACGCGTTGGTGGCAAGCGTGATACCATTGTTGCGGAAGACCGGCTCCGCCAAGGCGTTGACGCGCGGAACCGGCGTGTTGCGCACTCCGTACGGCGTTGCCCAGAAGAGGGTCTCGTTAAAGGAGTCGTAGACAAACTGTCCACCTTCGCTGGTGTTGTAGCGGTTGTCGACGACGACGAGCTCCATGTTCGGTGTGGCGGCGCCGTTCACCGTGTCCATCAGCTGCTCCACACTCACGTCCACACCGGCGAGGGCGGTGGGGTAGCCCGCCGTGCTGAAAGCGATCGGGAGTAGGTAGCTGATGGTGCGCACCCGCACGTCGGAGAAGATGCGCTGCGTCATGGACGGGCGGGTCCACACCCCGGTCGCTGCCAGCGCGCTGCCTTTCTTCGCCGTCGACACCACGTTCAGCAACTCCGGCATGCGCTGCTCCACGTAAACGCCCGCGGCGGTTTCGTTGCCCCCGTCGTCGGGGGTCGTGCCCGAGTCGCCGGATGACACGACCCACTCACTCGCCACGCTGCCCGCGGTGACGTAGTAGCACATGGGGTTCCTTTTGCTCTCCGTGGCGCACCCAATCTGGCCCCAGTGCGCCGTCAGCGGCGACGACGTCGCGCTGGGCAACGCGTACACGACGTAGGTTCGCGTGTTCGACGTGAAGGTGGACTGAAAGCTGTTGACGAGGGCGAAAAAAGTGGTGTTCACGGCGGTGTGGATGTCGTAGCCGAGCACGCCGTCCCGGTTGTATGACCACCCCACCGTCTGCGCCACCCGCTCCAGCGCACGCAGCTCCTCCGTGAAGGAGACGACGGCGCTGCGGAGTGTGTCGGTCGGCTCCAGACCGGGGTGCGCCTTCACCGCCGCGTTGACCACCTTGACGACTTGCTGCTGCGAGTACTTGAAGAAGAGAAGAATAATTGCGGTGGTGAAGAGGAGTCCCATCACTTTTGGGTTGCGCACAAAGTACTGGAAGATGCCGTTGATGTAGCGAATAAAGAGCGCACCGCAGTCCCAGGCAGTCAGCGCGATTTCCTCCTCGCACTCGTCATCGGAGTAGATCGTGTTCTTCATGATCGGGTAGACCTCTCCCATTGTGCGGCGGCGCTGTCGGCTGCGATTGCGCACATCGAAGGGGTCCGCGGTGTCGGGGGAAACAGTCACGATGGTGTCCATTTCTGCGTGCGACGCGCCGTCACCGTTGTTGTGATGATGCGTGTCATTGTTATCGTTGCTGGCGGCTTCCACCACAACATCTTCTGCCCGCTTGTTGCGCGGCGCACATTGCGCTTCCGCACGTTGGCTCTCCTCTGTGCTCGTCAGAGGCACCGGAGAAGGAGTGTACGACACCGCGCCTCCCTCAGGCGGGTTGGGTGCGTTGTTCGACAGCATCTTGTTGAAGATCCAAAGATAAAAGATCACTCTTACAGGATGCGTGCTTGCTTCATATAGAAGGCAACTTGCGTAAGAAGAAAAACTGCAAACGTAGGCGTGCTCGCATCCACGCGCAGCCCTAAAATATATAAATATGATGTCGACGTACCGGTGCGCAGGTAGAAAAAGAAAAGACCAGAAGAATGCGTTGAGTGTGTATAGAGACGTACTTCGCTCCGGGGCCGTGGTGCGCAGAGAGGGAGACGCAACGACGTAGAGGAAAGAAGAAGAGCAGGTTGCAGCAACGACACTCTCTGCCTAACACAAACAAAACAGACTGACACGGCGAGACAATTCAGAGCCCGCCAAATAAGAAAATAAAAAACGCGCACTTCGTTTCACGTCTTCTGCTTAGTGCAGGTTGCAGGAGCAGCTGAGCTTTCTTGGGGTTGCTTGAGAGGAGGATATATAAGTTTTTCGCTTGATGTGTGTGCGAGTACAGAGTGAGACCGCCACAGCAACACAAAAACGGAGACGAGCCGCCAATGTATTTCGTATACGAAAGTCGGGGAGACCCCCCCCCCCCGTGCACTACAGCGGCAGCAAAAGAGCGCGCTTTGCGTCATGAGAGAGCAGCCGGATGCTCACCGGCGACCGCCACGCCAGCACCGCTACCGTGGAACCCGCAAAGCGCAAATAGATCCAAATGGAGCACCAACGCGTCCAGCACCCCCACACCCCATCGCCCGACGACGAGGCGGCCATGGTCAGTTTGGTGGAGTGGATAATCGTGCGGATGTGATCGATGAGCCCAGGCCACACCTTCACCAGCGAAGTGCCCTCCACAACACCACCGACAAGTCGAAGTCGAAGGACCAAAACGTTGGGGGACGCGTCAGAAGTTGGCGACAGCGACGCCGCTGCGGTTGTGTACTGTGCTTCGTGTCGCGTGATGTCGCAGGTGGAAAGCCAGTACTCGTCTCTCTCGGTCGGGGTTGCTAAGCCAGCAGTTGTGCGCACCAGCAGATGGCGCACCTCGATGCCAATGGCGCTAGCGCATTGCAGAAGGGATGCGGAGAACGAGGAGGCGGACGGAGGAGGAGGCGTCGCAGCTGCACCAGGAGCATCTGTGCTGTTCATGAGTGTCGGCTCGGCGGGCGAAGACAGACCCGCTGCTTGGCACCGCTGCGCTTCTAGTATGACCACCAATAAGTTTTCCTCCCTCCACACCGCCACGTCGCACGGTCCTGCACCGGGCAAATGACACCGAAAAGAGGAGTTGGCGATGGGGGCGTACAAAACCAGATAGAACTTGACTGCCTGCAACACCCTGCAGGAGAGACGGCTGTCGGCCATAAGGACGTACAAGGAGGGTAGACAGAACACACAGCAACGCGGCAGCTCGTCGGGTTCGGGACGAAGGGCGTCTACCCGCGCGCACGCCCACGCCCGCGGCCGCAGCACACGGTGTACGGCGTCCTCCACACCGCCTAGCTGCCGTCGAGGAAGCTGGCGTGCGTTCACGTGGTGCAATGGGAAGCCCAAGATGGCCTCCCCACAGAGGAACTGAGCCCACTGCGTGGACGTCATAGAGGGGGAAGGAGGGCACGACATCGCCGTCGTGCCCGTCAGCGTCCGCTGCTGTGCAGCGAGCACATCAGAAATGAAGTAGGCGCACTTGGTGAAGAAGGACTGCAGACGTGCACGCCCCTCGTTGACGTCGCCTACGTGAGAGGTAGTCGAACCCGATGCTTCATCAAAAGGCCCTTCAACGGCTTCTGTGGCGCATGGTAGTTCAGTCAGTAAGCGAAGCAGCGTGCGTCCGTAAAGCAGCTCGAATAGGGCAAAGCTCAGCTGCAGCAGCTGGTGCGTCGTCTCCGCCTCGCTGTAGCCGCCGCGCACGTGCGCACTTGCCCAGAGATCAGCAACGGGGCTGCACAGACACACACTGCTGCGTTGCTTACGAATGGTCTGACGATTGCTGAAGCGGACCCCGAAGCGCCCAGCCAGGGAGCTCATAGCAATGCAGAAGCCCACCTGGTTCATCTGTTTGCTGGGATTGGTGTGCGGTGGAAAGAAGAAGAGGATGTTGTCTTGTGCTCGTTCCTCCTTGTCCTGGGACAACAGCGGGCAGTATACGGCGAGGCTGATGAGTGGTGCCGCGCTCAACGAAGAGGAGAGCGACATTTTTGAATGTTTTTCTACACAAAGAGAGTTATTGATAAAAATAGAATGGTAAAACACGAGTAATGTTTCAAGCTGTGTGCTTTAGTTTCCGTTTGCGAGCTGCCGTTTTCAACATTCCTCTTTTGTCAAATACATCAGCTTCTGTGTGCGAGGGTGCAGATAAAACCGCAACGGCAGCATTCGAAAAAAAAAGAAGAAGAGCGTTTAGTTGTCCAAAAGGTCCAGAGGAGGAGACAGAGAGAGAGAGAGCTTAGAAGAAATTCATGGGCTGCTTTGAACCACTTTGCCCACTTCACGGAGATGGTCTGTCTTTGATATTACCTTGCTCTTCACTTCAGCTGCTCACATCACCCATCACACGGTTTTGCACTTGCTTGTAGAGCGTACCATTCAAAAAGTAGCGTCAGTTGAGCGACTACTAACTTCTTCTTTTTCTTCGAACATGTATGTGAAACACCAGCATTCACTTGTACCTGTGCAACAACGAAATAAGCATCAGCACAACGCAGCTTGAAGACCCGCATGCACTATCACCACCTCACCCTCCTTTCACTTATGTTCGTTGCGAGCACCCGCTCCAACATCGTACTCCTTCCATGCATCCATCCACGCCTGCATTGTCTTCGGCCCTTCACGCTGCAACTTCTCCGAGTGACTTGCACGTAGCATGCGCTCTACGCCCTCCTTCAACTCCCTCGTCGCGGCGGGGTGCGCCGTCTTTCCATCCTCTGCGCGCTTCGCGTACGCTTCTGCCGGCACCTGCGCTGTGACGGGCGGCGGCGGCGGCGGCACACGCGAGGCACAGAGCTCCATGACAGCCCTAAAAGCCAGCGGCTCGTAAAGGGCAAGCTGCTGCTGCGTCTTGGGCAACAACATCAGGTTTTGGCGCGCCAGGTCGTTCCGAAGGTGCTTCCAGCCGCTGCCATGTTCGTGGGCGGCGCTGTCCACGTTTTTGCGCACGATGGCGCGCTCCCAGTGCGACTTCTGCTCCACGCGGTATCGCGTTTGCGTGCGCATGAGGAAGGTGATGCGCTTCAATCCCACTTTCTTTTCCAGCCGCGCCCGTCCCCGCAGGAGTCCGCGCAGGCGGTCGAGCTCCGTCGTGGCGCGCCAGTAACGGGAGACGTTCGTGGAGCGAAGCATGGTGCGGCGCCCTTCAAAGTTCAACCCTGTTCAAGAAGGTATCCTACGCACAGCCTTTATGAGGCTTTCTTCTCATGGCATTATACGAGCATTTCCGAACGGAGCAACAGAGATGGTTGGACGGAGCAGCGATTGAGAGATGAGAGCAGGTGCGAGAAAGAAGAGAAGGCGATGTCGTATCCTAAGAGAAAGGAATGTGAACGAGGCATACTCGGGAAGCCAACACACTGCGTAGGCAATTGCTCCCGCATTAATATGGATCTAAACAAAGACAAGGTAGGCAACATAAGGGAATCCAACTTCTCCAGCTGGGCAACGTCCTTTGTTTCCTCTGTTAGCGGATGAAACAAGAAGTGCCCAGTTAATTTTCCCCTCGTTGCTTAACAAAACGAGGCGGGGAGAAGAGCACATACGAAAGCCTCAAGGCAGAAACGAGAGTGCTACGGAGTTGCTGCAAGTCGTTGTCCAACGCGCTCTGATAGAATGTACGTGTTTTTTTTTTTTGGTTACAAAGATGAGGGCTGGAGTGGCGCTTTCAAACGGCCACCGCATCCCACCATCCAGCAAAAGCACAAATCAGTAAAAGAGAATAGCGTGTTACCCGTCACACACTAATACAACCACAGCGAAGAGTGAGAGGAATCATCGTGCCCGCCCCCTCCGCCTCCTTTCGGCCTGCCGTTGCCTAAGGCAACACAAATGACACAAAGTGAAAGTAGATGGGGACCTAGAAAGCGGAGGGCGGACTCGAATGCACAGCTTCCTTATTCCTCCTGGTCCTGGATGTTGAAGTACTTGAGCTTGTACGTCTCCTTGCCGGTGGCGAGGATGCGGATCCAATCGCGCAGGTCCTTCTTCTTCAGGAACTTCTTCGTCAGGTACTTGAGGTACTTCTTGCGGTACGCCATCGTGGTGGTGATGGTGAGCACGTTGTCGTTCATGGACAGGCGGACCTTCTCGGACAGCTTGCCCTTGCGGCCGTTCAGCTTCATGTTGTCCTGGAAGAACTGCTCGAAGCCGCTCAGCACATCCTCGCTGAAGATGCCATCGGCAGCAGGGATGGTGCAGTCGATCTTGAAGACCTTCTTGCCCTTGGCCAGCTGCTTCTGGCGGACGTAGCTGCGGGAGCCAACCTTAGCGCGGACAGCGACCATCTTGAAATGCTCCGAAACGAAGTAGGGGAGGTGATGTGTATGTGTGTGTACGTGGAGGTACAAGAGAACACGCTGTTTTGTTGTGTTTTTGGTGCGATGGGTGATAAATCGAGTTGAGGAGGAGGAAGCACGCCAGGTGTGTTTGGAAGTGTGCGTGGTACAAAGAGGAGTGAGAGGAGGCAACAAGGAGGTTACGTGAGAGGTAGGATGTCCGGTCGAGGGGAGGCACTTACGCTTCTGGCCAACACAACGTGTACGGCCAAATTGTCTTGCCTGCGAGTCTGCGAAGCAGCGAACACACACGTACACACACACATATATATCTTTCGAGAGAGAGAGAGAGGTTAAAGGCGGCTACGAAGAAAAGCAACGCGTGTTGTCTTTACCGCACACACCTCCTTCCCGGCATTTGACCTAGCTACGATTAAAAGCGCGAGATTTCGGAGAAAAGACTACGCAAAGTAAGCCCCACATGTGCTCATGGGGCTGCTCCATTAAGTTCGTCTTGTCGAGGCGTCTCGAGGGAGAAGAGAACAGGCTCCCCTTCAACGTCCATAACAGCAAGAAGAAATGTGATGTCGCACGTAAACGACGCAACAGACGGCGCCACATCCGCACAAACATGAAAAGTGCTTCCGACAAGAATCAACGCTTTCACGAACAAACACCCGCGTCGCCATCCGCCTATGCAGAGCTGCATCGCTGAGGGAGAATTATAGTGAGACACGAGAAACGTGCAATGAACAGCGCGAGCGAAGAGAGAAAAGATCAACATCGAAAACAGAAAAGAGAAATGTGAAGAACGGCGAGCAGCTACACCTTCCAAAAGTCTAGAAAACCAACAACAGCAGCACGCGGCACCTAAAGAAGACGCTACTTGCTGGCAAGAACACACTCGCGAAACGTCCTGCGAATCACGACTCCTCGGTGCCGTCCTCGGGCGTGTCCTCCGCTTCAGCCGCTGGTGCAACAAACTCGGCGTTCTCGGCAGCGTCAACGGTGGAGCGGGCGCCGCTCAGCAGCTGATTGAGAAACACCTCCAGCTCTCTATCCACTGCGCCATTGCTACTGGCACCTTTACGCCCGCGCAGCAAACCAGACGGGTTCGGGTTGTGACCGGGTTGAATAAACCAGCGATAGTACTCGTCGTCGTAAATCTTCTCCTGCTGCGTCGCGATCTCTGTCTTGTTCTCCAGTTTCCCCTCCACCGCCTTATTGCGCAGCTGACGCGCCCACATCTCCACCCCCCGTTCCGCGTCGCGCAGCTTGCTAAAGAAGCGCTCCTCGAGCAGTTCATTCCCTTCCTCGCCGGCCACGCTGTCCGTTGCGTCCTTCGACGGCCAGTAGTTCTGCTGCCCCCTGCCCGACTCATCGTAGACGGCCTTCTCCGCCTTTTTGTACTGCTGCTCAAAGTACTCCTTCGAACCTTCGGTGAAGCCGTCACGGCGCCACGAGGAGGCCGTGTCCTCCCAGGGGTGCCGCGCCATCTCGTAGAAGTTCACGTTCGTCGGCACGTGCGCGTCGCTCCTCAGCGGCGCAACTTTGAGCGTGCCGTCGCTGCTCACCTCACCCAGACCCGCCACCACCTCGTAGCCGCCGGCGTCGTCGACCATGCCAGCCATGCGGCTGCTCTTGTTCGCCTGCAGCACCACATCCAGCTCCACCGCACCATCCTTGTCAAAGTCAAGCGGTGCGGCGAGGGGGTCGAGGGAATCCGCCGTCACCTCCTGCACCGTCCGCGGCGACCAGCGCGGGCGCAGCTGAAACTTGTGCCCGTCCAGCTCCACGTTGCGCTCAAACACTGCCTCGTAGTCGGGCAGCGGCTGTACAGGCAGGTAGGCCTTGTGCACGTTGCGTGCTCGCTCCTCCTTGATGGTCGCCCACTCCTCCGCGGACTTGTCGACGTGCTGACCCACGCCGCAGAAGTCGTCGCGCTTCAGCAGACGAGTGACGTAGCGGTACTCCAAGGCGAGCGTGTCGGCGAGGGAGCGCACCGCTTCCGCGGAACCGTCACCGCGCACCTCCTCCAGCAGCTTCAGCGTAGCCTTAAGGGCGTAGGGAGATTGCAGGAGCAGCTGGTGCTTCACCGCGAACGCCCACTCCGACAGGTAGAGCGTGTTACGCTTCACGAGGAAGTAGATGGGCGGGTAGCGCAGCTTTTCGTTGGGGTCCTCGAGTCCCGGGTCGCTGTGCAGCAACTCCACCAGTTCCTCGTCGTTGTGCACCGGGCAGGTATCAAGGGTGGGCAGGTACCAGCACAGGTCGATGTCGCGATCCACCGGCATCTTCAACGCCGCCCGCACCGCGTGCTTGAGGCGATCTAGCGAGGCGGTGCTCTTCTCCGCGACACCCGTGCCCGTTGTTGGTTGCGTCCGCACTGCAGCAGCTGCCGCAGCATCGCCAACGGGATCGATGGTGAAGTCAAAGTCAATCAGCGTGCCTTCGCAGCCTTCCAGCTTCACGTAGACGTGGCGACGGTGCGGGGCGTTGCGCAAATTCGTGTAGGCCGCGTACTCGCGCTCGCGCTGCTCTCGCCACGTCTGGACCTTGTGCTGGTCCCGGTGCACCACCAGATTCAAATCACCGCGGCGCTCCAGTACGTAGGAGGTGAAGACCTCCGCGGCTTGGCGGACGGCGACCTCCTCCTCCGGCGGTGTCACGTCCCACGGCGAGAGGGTGTAGCGCAGGCGCGACGCCTCCAGCTTGTGCACGCCCTCCGCCACGCTGGACAGAGTGTACGGTGTAGCGTAGGACGGATCACAGGTGTTGTGGCGGTCCGAGTAGGGCAGTTTCTCCATCGCACTCAGCGTTGCCAATATGTCCTCAACGGATGGCTGATCCGCAAAGGCATCCTCAACCCAGCGGGCTCGAATTGGCGTCATGGCGCAGCGCTCCATCGCCGTCGAGTGGGCGTCGCCCTTCATCTGGAAGCACTTCTCCAGCAGGTGGCCCAGCTGCCAGGCCACGGCGTCGTTGTGCATGTGCTCCGTGCTGTCAAACCAGTCCTTGATGTGGTAGGTCATGTCGGGTAGCGTCGTGAACAGGTCCGACCAGCCCAGTCGCAGCGCATCTCCAGCAAACAAGGAGGTACCGGTCAGCATGACGAACTCCGCAAGGCCCGGGTACTTCAAGGAGGTCTCCGGCCGTGCCAGCAGCCGCGTCACGCCGCTGAAAGGAGTGAGACCGCAGTTGGGGCCGTCCACCACAAACTCACTCGCATCCATCAGCCCGGCGTACTTCGCGGCGAGCGCCAGCCCGCATCCGGTGCCGCGGCATTTGCCGTTCACCAGCGTCATGAGCGGCCGCGGACTTGTGTAGACGCGCCAGATCACGGCGGCGTTCTCGCGCAGCACGCTATCCGCGCGCTCCTCGTAGCGCCCCGCATCGCGCAACAGCTCCTGCACCTTCACCTCCGTTTTCTTGCCCGGTGCGCCGGTCTTGACCAGCTCTGCCGCTTGACTGCGCAGTAAGTTAGCCATGGTCAAATCCAAGCCCAACGCTTCCATGTCGGCCCCGCCGCAGAAGTAGTCTGTCCGACCCGACTGGGCGGACGTCAGCACCGTCAGCTTCGAGTAGAGCGCGTTGGTGGCCTTGTCCATCTCCTTGTTCAGGTCCCTGGCGAAGACGGCGGAGAGCACCTGATGACGCCTAGAGTCATTCAGGAAGATCGTCTTGGAGAAACGGCCGTCGTTGCCGGTAAGGGTGTGGCGGTGGTTCAGCGGGTAGGACATGGCCAGCATCATCTTGCGGTCGCGCTCACCTTTAAAAGGAGCATTGATGCCTGGCACGCGGCCGTGCGTCGGGCCCCGTGTTTCCATCTTGAAGTACGCCGTCTCTTGCGTGTCCGTCTGCGTCACCATGGGCCCCAGCAGGCTGTTGGATGGCACCACATTCAGTTTGATGTTGCCTTCACCTGGGCGACGCTTCGAGAACATCTTGTTCCAGTGCTCCGGGTCCGAGAAGACCTTCCTGTAGGGATCGAAGTCGTGCGAGATATCCATGTCAGGCCCCGTCGTCGGATCTTGACCAGCAAACCACTCGCTCGTGTCGCTCTCCGCTCGTGTGGGCTGCAGCGCATCGTCAAAGTCGAAGGCTACGCGCTGGTGGCGGTGCGGCAGACGAGCCTGACCCTGCTCCTTGCCCCAGTGCATATAATCAATAAAGTCCTTGTTCACGCGAAAGCGCTGGTGGGTGTTGTAGTGCGTCAAGAACTGGACTCCAGACTGACGGTTTGGGTGATTTGCGTAGCGTTGGTAAAAGCGGAACTCGATGGGGGTGCCCAGCGGGCGGTACTCGCGGACATCGAGCGCCTTGATGGCGCGTCGTTGCTGTCCGTCGAAGACGGGCGTCGCCCAGGACGAGGACGCAGACGTGCCCACGACGCTGACGAGGTACGCCGGAAGGCACACCCGACGTCGCAGCATTCTTTCACACACTTTCCCAGCTTCCCAATATGCGAAAAAAAAAAATACCGTACCAGTCAACGTTTCACACGTTCTACACGTGCACAATGGCCGTTCCCCTACTGATGCGGTCTTGGGTTTGTATCCTTTGAGCCACGTTCCCTCTTGGTTATTGTTTGGTACGTATGAAGTTGTGCCATACAGAAAGAAAAGGCGACCGTTGGGAAGTACATCCACGTTGAACACAGCAGCAACCATAATGAGAAAGACAGAGGAAGAATACAAAGATGACAGCGCCGTGAGGAGGAACAGGAGGCAGATGCGGCCCCCGCGAAATGCTGTGCTGCGCTACCATCACAACGAGAAGATATGCCGCATTTTTTTTCTTCTTCTTTGTACTGCTTGTTATGCCCATCGAACGTACTTGCAAGCGAGTCCGAGAGCGTTGAGATCCACTTTCCTCTACTTTGCTTTGATGGGCAAGGAAACACACAGTGAAGGAAAGCCCAATTTTTGTGAACAGACCTATCGCAACGGTCTATCGCCAAGCGCGGCTAGGCATAAATCCACCCATACAGCCACAACGACCTCCCAAGAACGAGGAGGTCCAACACCATCCGTCGACCGGACCACAACATCGACAGAAAAACAGAAAGGAAAAAAGAAAAGGAAAGAGTCCGCACACGATATCATCCGCGCCCCACCCCACCCCGTGTGAAACTCTCGCTGTAAATTGAGAGAGTATTCCTTTCTCTCCTCCCTCGTCACTAACGACGAGGTCCCACGGGCAGGTTCTCGAAGGCGTTGTTGAACATGTCCCATTCCCTGTTCATGAACACGCACAGCTCCATGTTCTTCTTGTCGCGCAGCACGTACTCCTTGTCAAAAATGTGCAGCTGCTCAAACGCCATGAGCAACGCAGAATGGGTAATGCCCGGAAGCTGGTTGTACAGCGGTCCGGCCTGGACGGCATCGGAGAGCGGCACCATGCGCAGCGTGTCGCACTCACTCCTCACAAATTCGTGGAGAAGGTTGCGGTAGGCGCGCGAGAGCTCAATCGCGGCCTCGCGCTCAGACCAGATGCCCTCGCGGAAGTCAGGCGCCGAGACGTGAATGACATTCTTCTCGCCCCCGTCGGTGCCCTCTGCCCCGTAGCGGTGCAGCTTCGCGTCGCACACCTTGTCCATCGCCATCACCACATCATTCGGAAACTCCTTCGTGAGACCGACCCACTTGTAGATGGCACCCGATGTGCCCGTGGCCTTCGCGGCGGAGGTGAAGACCTGCATGAGGTCGCACGGGTCGGTGATCACCATCGTCTCGTCTGGCTTGGGGCCTTCCTGCCGCAGAGAGCCCTGTAGCGTCATCTGCGTGCCCATCACGCCGTAGGGGCGAATCTTGATTTTGCGTATGAACTGCTCCTGCGGGGAGACGTAGGTCAGGCGGCGGTAGGCCATGTCTATCGCACCGGCCATCACGACGACGCCGAGACCCACACGTAACCATGGAAAAGGCTTGCGATAGTTGGCGCCGAAGAGATGACGCGGCGCGCGCTTGCGGCCATCTTTGGTCACTTGGCCCTCAAGGTAGGACACCATGGCAGCTCGATTCTCTTGCTATGTGAAGACGCCGTATGAGCCGTGGGGGGGGGGGACTCTTCCTTTGTTCTTTTCCTTTGCCACTGCGTTGCTTTTGCTTCCTCCTTAAATCGGAGCCGGCAGGCGACGGAAACGTCGTCGACAAAGAAACAGGCGAAGAGAGAAAAAGAAGAGTCGGAATTGGACGTCACAGAAGATGCAGCGTCTTCGCCATCAGCAAGCCAACAATAACAAGAAGAGATAGAGGCGCAAGCTCCCCTATCTTTTCGTTACTTCCTCACTGCAAAGTGAAAACGAGCGGAGTGACAGGTTGAAGAGCAGGCAGATTGGTTGCCACGCTACCTTTAAAGCAGCACGTCGGTAAACTCAAAGGTCATTGAATTGGTTTCACGTTCTGTTCGTCTGTATACACGAGAGAGAGAGAGGGAGAGAGAGAAAAAAAGAAAGCAAGTGCGTTTTACATACAGCACAACACAAAATAGAGAAGAGGCACTAAAATTACAGGCGTACGCTACTGCAAAATAAGGAAATTAAAAACAGCTTCGTTGAATCTCGTTGGCAAAGGTTCAGCGCGAGGTGCAACGCTCGCCGGGCAAAACGAAAGCAGAACGAAAAAAAAGTGTAAAGGACAGGCGCTCAAGGGAGTCACATCCACGGAGAGCTCCCTCCGCCTTGACCTCCCCGGCCTCCAAAGCCGCCTTGGCGGGGACCGAATTGACCTCCGCCTGGACCACCGAACGGCTCACCAGGACGACCGCCGGGAGGCAAAAAGATGTCGTCGTCCGGTTCGCCGGGCATGCGGGGGGCGGAACCGGGGCCGCCGCGGCCGCCACCGAACGAACCCCCCCTACCACCTCTTCCCTCAACAGGCACTTGACCAGGAAACATTGGATCGAAACGCGCGTACCCGTCTGCAGTGCCAAAGCCATCTCTATGCGCTGCAGAAGGGCCCTCCTGCAACCCTCTTCCAGGGACAGGAAAGTTGCGTTCATTCATCAGCATTCCTCCGCTGCCTTCGAGACTGCCGCCGGGAACCAAGTCCGCATCCCCGTAGCGCTGTCCATCTGGACGCAGCTGGACGCCCGCAAATCCGGAGGCGGACGAGGCGGACGCCGGGGCAGCAGGAGGAGCGTCCAGTGCCACGCGCCGCACCTCCGCCGGCAACTCGCTGGGGAGTGTCGCGTCCCTCCTCGCGACGCCATCTCTGTCGGTGTGATTGCCGTTCATGATGATAACTCAAAAGCGCGCACACAGACACGAACACGCATGTGCACGTTAATGCTACACTTCGCGTTCTCCTTTGAATTTCAGCAAATACACTATAGCCGCTCTTCGCAAACGTTAGCCCGCGTGAGACTAATGCGTGGGAGTGTTTCGCTGTTGAAGTGTAGAAAAAAAAAGGACGGTAGTATTATATTACAAGAGAGAGAGTAAGAGACGAGATTTCGATAAGGAGAACAATAGTAGATAGAGCTGCTTCGTGTCACACTCCGACAGAGACGTTTCCCTTTTTTCTCCTCCGCGGCAATAACAATAATAATAACAGCAGTAACTTTGTCAACAGTGATCTCGAGAAGGAAAGAAAAAAAGAAACGCGTGGATTAATAATGAAGCCAATTTCGATTGTTATTCGATGAAGCGACGGATATCGGCTGCGGTTGAACGCGGCTTGCTGTACTACTATATTCCAAAAGCGGCTTCTTTTTAGTGTTCAATGAGGTAGTAAGATACGATTATGCATACATCAGAGATTCGAAAGTACGAAGATGATAGTAGTAATAATAAACACAAGAATAATACATTGTAGAGCCAAAGAGGATGTCGCCTGCGGCGGTGGCCGCGTTTGCTGCCACTCATTATTTTCCCTGAAAATAGATTGATCTAAAAGAAGGAAAAAAAGAAGAGCAAAAGAAAGAACCTGCTTCGCGGAAGCTACAGCGGATTGCATGCTAACTGTTGCTTCAGTGATTCACGTTCCTCGCGCAGCTTCTCGCGATCCCGCATGGCTTGTTCGCAAATCAGCGTTCTTTGCCGCGTGACGGCGTTTGCCGCTTTTCGCTTCTCCAGCAGATCTACCACCGTGCGCAGCTTATTGAACTCCGCCACGCGGTGTAGCTGCAACACGGTGTTGGCCTTTTCTTCCTGCTCCTCCTGCTCCGCCTCGCGCCGCCACGCGATGTCGGCCAGCTGCCGCGCTCGTGTGTCTTGGTAGCGCTCCTCATGACGCTGGAGCTTTTCTTGGATCGATGCCTTGAACTTCTCCTCCTTCGCGGCGGACTCTGCGCGAGCCTCCTCGATGCGTTTTTGGTGCTCTGACTCCGCCATCGCCCGCTGTGCCGCCTCGTCTCGGCGGCGGGCGTAGAAGTCCTGCAGACGCGCCTGCGCCTGCGCCTGCCGCTCCAGCGCAGCCACCCTCACCGCCTCCTCGGCCTCCGCGGCGCGCTGCCGGGCCTCGTCTCGTTGCTGCGCCGCCCGCAGCTGCTTCTCCACTTGTAGTCGGTGCTCCTCCGCCAGGCGCGTTTCTCGCATCAGACGCAGCTCCTCCAACTTCTTTTCCTTCTCGAGCCGCTTCTGCTCCAGCAGCGCTGCCTGCTCCTCCAGCGCGGTCGTGTTGCGCTCCATACGCCGGGCCCGCTCCGCTGCCTGTGCCTCCCTCTCCTGATGGAACGCCTTCTGCTGTCGCTCCCGCGCCGCCACGCGCTCGGCGTTGCGGGCCTCGACCTTCGTCATGCGAGACTGCAGTTCCAGCCGCACCGCCTCCTCCCGTTGCTCCCGCTCCGCACGGCGGGCCTCGAGGCGCTCCTGCTGGAGTCTGCGGGCCGCGACCTCCTCGGCCGCCTTCTGGCGGCGCACCTCCGCCGCATCCGCCTCCGCCTGCTGCTGGCGACGCTCAGCTATCGTCTGGTGCTCGTGCATCTCCTTGGCCTGCTGCACCTGCCGCAGCATGCGCATCTTGTTCGTCTCAAAGACGCGGCGCTGCCGCTCCTGCCGCTGCAGCACCACCGTGGACAGCGAGGCCTTCTCTTCGTCGCCGAGGTCGGCATCGGTGTGTGCGTTGGCACTACGCACCTGTCGGTAGCACGTTAAAAGCTCCTGCAAAGGCGCGAGTGCGCAGAGGGATTGGTAGCTGCTCTCCAGCTCCTCGCGCACCGCCTTCTGCCGAGCGAGGACGCGAGCGACACGGTGCTGCTGCAGCTCCGCCTGCAGACGCGGACTCTGTCCTGCAGACGGCGGCGGCGACCGCGCGCCGGCACTTCCCGCCGTGCTGCTGTCAGTGCTGCCGCCGGCCCAATCCTTGAGCGAGACGCCGTGCTCGAGAAGTGTGATGACGGAGCGGGGTGAGTTGATCTTCGCCGGGTGGGTGTCCGCCCCGGGCGCGTCATTGTAGTTGGAGATGGTAGTCCGGTGACGTGGAGGCACAGCACCCAAACGCAGCCACTCAAGATCGAAGCAGGAGAGGTCGAGGTCCAGCGACGTCACGTACTGCGTTGGCGGCTCCAACAGCACGCAGAGTACACGCGCGGTTTCGGCCGCGGAGGCGGCGTCTTTGACTGCCGCGGACGGCAGTGGTGGTACGGAGGGATCGGTGCGCGTCCACCGGACAAAGTTGCTGCGCGGAGGAGTCATGCTCCGTTGCGCGGGGGCAGCGGCATTAGCGGTGGCCGTGGTGGTCTTGGTGAGAGGTGGCGCGCTGCGCATGCGTGACAGACTCGTCATCTGTGCCTTTCCATCCGGCGCACGCGTCTCGAGCAAGGAACGCTGAGAAGGGGGCGTGGGGAATCGAGGCTCAGGAGGGGTCAACGGCTGTCCTGCGTCCACCGCTGCCGCGTCCGCTGAGGCCGCCGCCTCCGTTGCCGTCGCCGTCTCTGCCGCTTCGGTGAGCTGCACCGCCGTGATAAACGACGGCCGCTGCTTGGATGCACTGGGAAGTCGTCCCTCGAATAAAGACTCTCGTGCGCTGGAGAGACGGCCCTCCATGGTGCCTCTTTTCGCTGCCAGGGCTGACATGGCGTTGTTGCTGGTGGCGGGTCGAGAGGCAGCAGCAGCGGCGAATGCTGTGAGCTTGGCTCCCCCATCTACTGATTTCTTGGCGCTGCGAGCGCGGGTGGAATGCTGTCGCGCGAACTCAATCTCCGCCTTCGTCGGCTCTGAAATCGACGGCACCGTGCGGTCGAAGTCGGCGGGTACGTCTTTCAGACCGAGGGTGTTTGTCGTTTCGGGCGTTCCGATGTGGTGTCGTCGCAGCTCTGGCTCGAACTTTTCGTACTCGCTAATATACTTGGAGCGACTCTTCTCATCCGTGGTGAGGCGCGGGATGTTGGGGAGCTGCATTGCGTTGAACACAGACTTTGAGACAGCGGCGCTTGCCGTGCTGACACGGGACATGTTTCAGACTGTAGCTACAGATTCCGCCGCGCGGGAGCGTTTAGGAGATGGGCGGTCTCGGAATGAGGGCAAGGGGAAAAAAAGAAAAAAATAAATGTTTATGCAGGTATGGGTGTTTTACAAGGAATGCTGCTAATGCCTGATCACGTATGTGTCTTGTATGAGCAGCGCCGTTATTTAATAGCAAATATACATCAAAGAAAAGAAAGAAACAGGCCCAACACAGAATTAGGCAACTAATGAAAAACCAGAAAGAGAATCTGTCAAGAGAAGAGGGTTTTCATGCGCACTCGCTCTTGTTTCGAACTGGTCGTGTTCTCGAAGCAATCCACGAGTAGAAGAAGAATGAACTCTGAGATCCGTAGATGGGCCAGATCCATAAGAATAGCAAACAAAGAAGGGAGAAGGTGAATCTTTCAGCGGAATTGAAGAGTGCAGCGATGGGAAGTGCGCGGGCGCGCCACGCAGACAGAGGGGTGGGGATAAAACGATCACACGATGCATTAAACACCAAATTTCAGAACCAAAAGAACGTCAGCATTTGCTAAGTAAAAAACATATTTTGCAGCATCCGACACAGTTGCGCCGGATTGCTTTGCAATCGAAAGCCTTTTTTTTTGGAGAACTATGGCGGTTCTGGTTACCACATAAGTGACAAAAGGAAGAGCAGCGCCCGCCTTTGAAAAAGAAAGAAGAAAAGCTACTGTACATAAGAGATTCTCGCTTCCTTTACCAACTCCACTTCATGAACGCATAGCGATGAAAAGGTGGATCTTTTCCCGTGGCAAATTAATGGCTGCGGTGAAGACACGGGAAAGCCTTCAGACTTAAGCCCAAGTCGCTCTTTTGTTCACAGCACACGCCACGTGTAGTGACAACAAGACTTTACATATCGCAGCTCATACGTCAACCGTGAAAAAAAGAGAAGAGAAAGAAAAACGCGAGGCAGCAACTGGGAAGCAGAGACAAACGTAAGCTGAAGGAAAATAAAGCATCGCTTTTCTTTCTACTTCCATCTCTCCAGTCGTTATTGGGTGTACAAGTGCACAGCACCGCACCCCTGCTCGTGATAGGCAGCCTTCGACAGGCAGGTGCTGGGAAACACAGAACTGCAGCCCCAAATGGATGCGCCAATCCAGGGAGCAAGACCGCGCTCCGCAAACGCCACGCACGAAGCCTGCACCCCCGTCGGCGCCATTGCCACAATCTCGCGCTGAACGCGCTGCTCGACGCCCTTGAAAAGCGTGTTGCCGCCGCCAAGGACGACGTTTTCGTAGAGCGTCTTCTCTAAATACCGCGGTGCCGCCCCTGCCGCATCACGCAGCATGTCCGTCCATCCTAACAGCATCTTCTCCGATGTGGGGTTGGCGCGTGCATAACCGGTAGGCGTGAAGGGCAGCATGCTTGCTTGTGACGCTTGATCCGCCGTGTACGTGAGTAACCGCCAGTCGAACAGTATCTCCGGCACCTTGTAGGCGTGATCGAGCAAGAAGAGCCGTTGCTGGTCAGGCAGAACGAAGCCGTCGTCCGCAGATGGGGTGACAAAGTCGTCGTCTTCTGCCTGTGTCGGCTCGGCCGTCACGTCCGCCGACACGCGACCCAGGGCCTCCTTCGCCGCCTCCACAAGGTCGCGATCAGCCGAGGTGGAAAGCGGGTAGCCCTCTGCGCGCAACGCGGCGAAGAGCTCATCCGTTAAGACGTCCCCGGCAACGCTGGACAGACGAATCGAGTGGGCGAGGGTGTAGCCCTCCTCAACCGCCGCCATGCAGGTGCGGCCGGCACCACTATCGATGGCTAGTCCGCTCGTGCGGCCGGAGGCGTAAAGCGTGGCGGCGGTGTTCGTCAAGAAACCCACCAGCGGCATGTTGAAGGACTCGTAGAGCAGCTCGCAAAGGCGCTCGCGGTCGCGCCGTGACTGATCGGCGGATTCTAAGAACAGAAAAGGATTCGCTTCAGGGCATACCCGGGCCTCGTCCACGAAAGCACTGAAGAGGAGCTTCTCCAGGCCCTCGTAGTCGCACACGTGCCCATGTTGTATGGGCCAGGTGAGGGCCAACAATCCGCCATCTTCGTACGCCTCATCACCCGCGACGACGTCGAGGCGGTGCTGCAACAGCGTCGGCCGAGGTCGTTGGTCACGGGGCAGACCGACGCAGCTGCGCTGCACCACGCGCGGCGACTCCTCTCCGCTGAACCCGACGCGGGTGTTGCGGGAGCCGATATCAACCACCACACTCTGCATCGTTGCCGATGAACTACTCATCCGCGGACTGAGGGGGGAGGAGAGAGAGAAGTTGAAGGTGAAGGAGAAGGATTACTTGGCAACGCACACGGTGAAACGGGGGGTCATACGTTACGTCTGTGCTGAGATGAGGAGAGAGGAAAGCGGCGACGGGTACTGCGCGCTAAACTAAAGGAAAGATACATAACAAAGGAAAAATGCGTTGGATGAGGGAGGGGGGGGGGGAGGAGAACAAGTAAGAGAGGTATCAGAGCAAAGCAAAACACACACAGAGCAAAAAAAAACGTAGCGAGAATTGCTGCAACGGGCATGTTCACTGTCGGCAAAAATGTACTAAACAAAACACTTTTGATACATTTCCGATGGCGTTATTGTTATCACTGACAATCCGAATAAGGGTTTGCAAAGGGCTTGGCTGCATCGGGGCAGCGTCCCCACGAAAGCTCCGTTACTGAAAAACGGCAACGACATTGCATTCACGCTTCATAGTAGTTCAACGTCAGCTTCACAGCGTGAATGGCAAACCAACTGTATTATTGTCTTCTTCTTCCTTTTACGATATGATGCGTTGCAGAAAGAAAACCTGGAGTGCATTGCAGAAAAGAGGAATAGTGGGAAAAGGACAAGCAGGAAGATGAAAGAGTCACGTACAAACGAATGGGTAGAAAAGTAAAAGGATCTCCACTAAGAGGCACTGCGTTGACCCTGCCGTGATGGGTCGTGTACGTCACACTCTCTCCCTGTTTCGAAAATGACGCCCTTCTTGGTTTCTTCTTCTCTTACGAGTACACGCCCGACGGACTCTCGTAACCCTGAGGGGCGCGAAGCACCTCCGGCCGCTCAATCTCCCTACGTGTGTTGTCCACCGCCTCCTTGTGCATATCAAAAATCTTACCCATTTCGTCGTTGCGCTCGTACTGCTCATGCTGATTCAAACCACCGCTCATCCAGCGGTTTTTGGGCATATTCACCGAGTACGGCTGCTGACGCAGCGCCAAAATGATGGCAATCATGGCGGTCACCATCACGACGCCGAACGCCATAGTTTGGTCCGGGATGGTCAGCATCATGAGCTGTTGGCGCTCCCGCGGTGTGCGCTGCGCCTCTTGAATCGTCGCGACGCGTGCGTGTGCGTTCATGTAGTTGTTGCGGTACAGCATACCCTTCTCAGACGGCCTGCTACCGGGAGAGAGGATGTGCAGGAACGGCTTCATGCGCCGACCTTTGGTGAGGCGAAACATGATGCTCCTATTCGCAGGTGCTTGTGCGGTAGAAGTGCCTTTCCTTTTGATGTGTATTGGCGGCTACGATTGTATGATTAGGGTGACAGAGAAACGGATACTAGTACTACTCGGAGTTCTAAGCGTTTTCCTACGTGAAGAATCAAACGGCTAAATATGGAAGCGGCAACAATGCGGCCTCCTTCTTTGCTATGGCGTTATCCCTTTTGTTGTTGCTCTACTTTCGAGTATTGCGTGGCAAGTTGCGTCGACAGCCTCTTCTACCGACGAGTGTGGGTAACAGTGGTTCTTTTCTTTTCGAGGTTTCTCTCGGATCGAAACGATAGCTACTTGAGATGCAGCACAACACACACACAAGCAAAGGATACACGAAGAAGAGACGGCAAAAGACAAAAGGAGAATGTTGAGCGAAAGACCCTTCGAAGGGACAGCAAAGACACACTTGCTTCCGAGACTCCTCCCCCTCCCTCCCCCTCCCCTCAAAAGATGAGTGGCAAAATGGCATATTATTATCGGGCACCACGCGGCTGATGCAGATGCGGTGATGCTGCCGCTTCTTGTGCGCCGGCGCACTTCACAGCGTTGGAGCGAACACAGAAATGCCCACGTCCTTTACGCCTGTAGCGCGAAACGGAGTAGCTACCTCCTTCGACGAAAGTGGAAGCATACATTCTTTCCTACTAACCTCCTTGGCCTCCTTTACAATTTTTTTCAAATCAATGCGTGCGAAATGCCGTTTATTCTAATAGTATTTGCATTGATAACGCGACTGCTGCCTACAGGATCGACCCCAAGGGGACACCATAAAACAGCAGAAACTCAGAACTCTGTACATGAAGTTGACTAAAAGAGTACTAATAAACATAAAGCGGTGTTCGAACGCGAAAGCCTAAAGACCTCAAAAACAAAAACGGGCTCAACAACAGATAATGTACATGTCAGGCAACAAAGAAAACAAAGATGATTCTGCACTTCAAGACCTCTCAAGAAAGATAATAAACAGTATGATGCATACTTAAGTCACCTCCTTTCTGTGTGCCTTTTGTCCCCCACGTGTCTCGAGCACGCTACAAACAGGAGGTTCTTGGAAATAGAAAGAAACGCCGAGTAAGCACTGACACAGTTAGCGTAGAATATGTATGCTCCTCTTCTCTTCTCTTTTTCCTTTTTGTCTGCATTACATTAAGCCCTTCACTCGCGCCTGGTTCTTGAACTCCTCGATGCTACACTTGCCATCCTTGCTCATCTCATTGAAGACGGCGTCGATGTCGGCGTCCGTCAAGCCAAAGTCGCACTTATGGCACAGCTGCCGAATGTCGTCTAAAGTACGTCCCCCCGCAAAGTACTTCGACTCCACGCCGAGCGACACGTAGTGGCAGGGGTAGAGCAATTGGTGTGCACGAACATCGTCCTCTAAGTTGCCGAGCTTGTTTTTAGAAGGCTGCGCCGAACTCTGCTCGACAGCACAAGTTTTCTCTCCGTCGCTAACGCTCGCTTCATCTGCCGACTGCGCCGCCGTCGCCGAGGACGTAGCGGCGGCCCAGGAGGAGAGCACCTCCTGCACCGTCGGCTGCTCCGTCTGGAAGTGGCTCGCCGCCTTCCCGCTTGCCCCGGGCTGCGCCACCCGGCCTCGCTTCGTCGCATCCCATTCAGCCGGGTCGTCGAAGCCGTAACTCTTTGACTTGCCCAGTTCGTGTGCGACGGTGCTCTGGTAGTCGTTCGCCAGCTTCGACCGCAGCTGTGTCGCACTCTCGCAGCGCACCGCCGCAGCGGTAGAACCGTTTGAGTTCTCCGACGGGCGGCCAAACCGGTGCTGCGTCGGGTCGATGCCGTGCGCATCCCAGTTGTAATTGCGCGACACCTGCTCCCCCGCAGGGTGGATAACGTCCACGGCACGGTAGCCGGCCAGGACAGATTGTGTGGACTCCCCCTTTTCATGGGTAATGCCAAAACCGTGCAGCGGCACCGGCACGGGGTTTTCCGGCACAGGCGCGTGGCCGAGGGGCTTGCGGCGGTTGCTGAGGTACTGCGTCTCGCGCTGCGCGTCCAGCAGCGCCGTCATCTTGTCCGCATACTCCTCCGGACGCAGGCACGCTTCGGCACCGCCAGACGCCGTCTCCCCTTTCACACCGTGGCGCATGTTTGGATCAACTGGTGAGTCCTTCGAGCGGCTCCACGAGCGTGTCGCCTCACCCACGCCGGCGCCGCGATGCTGGAAGGCGCGGATGTGATCGGGGGTGACGAGGCCGTCCGGGTTGAAGCTCGAGAGCAGCTCGGCGACGGTGGCCTCACTGAAGTCGCCGTGGACACCGGCGGGGCGCAGCTGCGGGGCGATGCGCTGGAGCCGCGACTGCGTGTTGCTGTAGGAGGACATCTTCAACGATGAAAACGCTGATGGCCGTGCACGTACTTTTCTTCTTTACTATTATCTCAAATGTGTGTATATATTATGCACTACAATAGGCGAGCCGTTGTCAGCAATAATGATGTACTCCCCCTGATAATGCACCTTCTAACACTTACTCCGTAGTCTAACGGATCACTAAACGCGAAAAAGAGGGATAAATAAATAATAACAATGGTAGAAGTGGAACAGGAAAGAGTGTTTCCCCGCTCGTGACCGTGCGGAACGGGGGCAAACCACATTTCAGTGCTCTAGATTGCGGCATTGCAGCTGTTACCTTTCAATGAAGCCTTTGCTTGATTTAAGAAAGATAAGGAGAAGCGTAAGCCTACACAAACACACTCACACGGAGATAGAGAGAGAGCACAAGGTGGCAGTGTCGGGCAGCCACATCCTGTTACGCTTTTCGAAGCGGTGATGGGAAGACGCAACCGTCGAACCGAGCCAAAGTGGACACGTTTACCGGATTAAACCTGCAGAGCAGCAAAAGCACACGAATCCGGTTTTTTTTTTAAAGAAGTCTCAAAGAGAGAAAGAAGGCAGAAACAAAAGCGGACGACGACAACGAAGCATCCTTCACCGCTGCCACAGCTTCCACCTCAAATTCTTTTTCTTCCCTCGTCAAATGGCAGCAGTAGCGCCGCTGCTCTCCGGACTCCTGCGAGCTCTGCGACGGCGCACCAGTCCGAGGTGAAATCCGTCATCTTGGTCCGCATCCTGGTACATGCTGCGCAACGACCCGGTGATCTCAAAGAGCCGCTCCGGCGATCGCAGCATGTCGACCAGCTCGAGGTAAATGGTGTGCTCCAGCCGCAGATCGCCGTATTCGCGCGCTATCCCAGTGCAGCGCACCATGTTCTCCAGAACCGCCGGGTTGGCCATGTTCTCAAAGACAAGGGTGCCCATCTTGTTTGCCAACACCGACCGCAGCAGTCGTCCAAGCGCCAGCACAAAGGTGGTGTAGAGCGCAACAATACTGAGTCCCTTGAGAAAGGAGATGCCCGATACAACGAAGTCGGACAAGACGACCACGTAAATCGGCACTCGCAGCGGTGCGTTTTGTGTCGATGGCGTCCTCCACGGCGCAGCTCGCACCGCCTCGTTGACGTCTTCGTAGTTGAAGTCGTCGCAGCCCTCACCGGTGGTCAGGCAATGCCACTCCGCGGCGCTGGACGTGTTGGCGGTTGGAACGTTGCCTGCCGGAAACAGCGGCGCGCAGTGCAGGCACCAGTACCGAACCGACGTATTCAACGCAACGTCGCGCTCGTGGTTCAGCTCTAAGCTGCAATGCTGGCGATTGCGATGAGGGAAGTGGGCGTCGGTCGGCAGAACATCCAGGCGGCTTGCGCGATTGAAAGAGAAAGGATTGTAAAAGAAAGGAAGTACGGCAGAGGCGGTGTCGCTATCGCTGCTGGCACTGTCGCTCGCACTGCTGCTGATGTTGTTGTTGTCAGGCGGTGCCGTCGTGCTGGCGCCGGTCTCCCTTTCGAGAATGCGCACCATAGCCTGCGCCGTCTTCTTTGGAATCGGCCAGCGATGGACAAGAGAAACAGATGTGGTACTGGTCGCACTACTAGTGTTGCGCACCATCTCCATCGATTGCAGGATGTACGCCGCGGTTGTGGCGTCCTCCTCCTTCCCGCTGTCCATCCCGTTACTCGAGGAACCAGCGGCAGCACGCAGACCCGCCAGAACTTGCCGCATAGCCTGCGGGCTCGCCATCCACTGGCTGCCACTGCACGACGTAAACTCCATCAGCTGTACCGTCTGCTCCGTGGCGGTCTGCCCGTACAGGGCCACCGTGGGTCGCGTCCGCGCCAGCCACGACCACCACCCGTCCGGTACGGAGGCGTTGTCGTGCACCGTCGTGGCGAAAAAGTCGTGCGCGCCGAAGAAGGAAAGCTGCAGGTTCAGCTGAACAGCCCGGTTCACCACGGCGGACGGGTTGTAGGTGGAGTAGTACAGCAAGGGGCCCAGGAGCGCCAGCAGGATCAGCGCGAGGCGACTTACGCCAAAGAGCCACTTCGCCGAGCGTGGGACGACGTCGCCGACTTTGGTGCGCTCGTTGCGCTTCCCTTCGTACCGCTCACGGCAGTGATGCACGTAAACGTGAATGTCCTCCAGTGTCAGGTACTCCTGCAGCGTGAGGGCGGTGTGCTGCACGGTCCAATCGATCAGGGTGCGCATCTCCCACACAAACGGAATGGCGCGGAAGACCATAAAACAGCTGTAGCGGAAGAGACTACCCGGGTGCGCCGTGAGGACGTCGCGGCGGTTGTGTAGCGGGTAGCCGCGGCAGACCTGGGCGGCAGACAGCACGAGCGCCACAATCTTTAAAGTGAAGTACGTGTTGCCCGCAGCGTGGGCCGAGACGGCGACGGTGTTGCGCCACCACCAGTAAAGCAGGCAGTAGACCAACGCACCGATCCAGTTCGCGGCTGCTTTGAGGTGCATGCAGCGCTGTACGTACAACATGCGATCCACGACGAGCTGTAAGACGCTCATGCAGAGCAGCAGAGCCATTGGGCCGGAAAGCTGATTGTTTTGCACATTGTCCTGCAGTGTCAGGTTCTCGTTAGTCGTCATGTGACTGTACGTCGCCACCAGCACGAACAGGGCGAAAAGGTCGACAGACGTGTAGGATAGATACCAGTCTTCACCAACGCCGGGAACGGACACGACGTTTGCGTAGTAGGAGAGAAGAGCGCGTCGTACTCCACAACCATCCGTGCCGTCCGGTGAAGGCGGTGCTGCATTGTGCGGAGAGCGATTTGTAGAGCCGGTTGACTCTGCTGTTGCTGCTGCCGTGCCGCAGTTGCCGTTGCCGCCATCTGTGGCAGCTGAAGGAGGTGGTGTGGCGTGAGACGGGGCTCCTGTGCGGCTGGCGCTACGCACTGTTCGTCTCCCAGCGTGGTCGTCCACGTAGACACCATAGATGACACAGACGCGCTCATGCAGAGCCACGACGCCCAGCGTCAATATATCCATCCACAACAAACAATAACGAAGGCTGCCGCGCGCCGCCGCGGCGCTGGACCACGGGTAAGGGCTACCTTTCTGGCGCGGCAGCAACGTCCCGACGGCGAAGGCGGGGATCGGGCCGACGGTGTCGAAGGTCACCCACAGCACTACCAGCTCTTTGAGAAGCACACCCGCCACTACGTAAAGCCCGAAGCACTGGTAAACAAGGCGCGGGGCGTGAGGGTGATAGGCGAGGGCAATTTGCACCACATAGCAGAGGCCCAGGAGTTCCCACAGGCAGCCCGTCAGAAGGGCGTTGACGAGTGCACACGTGAGCAGCGCGAGTGGGGTGTGGCGCAGCAATACCTGCAGCGCGACGAGAAGCAGGTGCGTGAAAAGCTGACGAAGAGAAAGAGCAGCGGGGCCACTTCTCGCTGTTGTCGACGCTGCTGCTGCTGCTGCTGCTGCTGCTGCTGCTGTGGCACACACGTGATACTCTGAAGGGTGGTAGGTGTGCGCGGCAAGCACGTTGCAGGCTCGACGCAGGCCGCTGTCACATCGCTGCCGCCACCACCGCGATGCTGACGAACACAGTGGGTTTGCTTCGCTGGACGCGTGTGATGCTGCCGCTGCTGTGGAGGAAAACGAAATCCCGCCTTCTGCGTTGGGGACCGTCACAACAGGAAAGAGAGACGACGGGGGCGGCGCCTCCGATGAGTCGCCTCTCCTCGCTCCGTTTTCCAAGTTGGTCGGTGATGGCCGTGGTGGTGGTCGCCGAAGGTACATTTCAGCGTCGAAGTCTTCTCCTGTTGCTCTTCCGTCTTCCTCCCTCTCCTCTCGCCCTGCTGCACTGCCACCTTCGCACTGCGCTTCGCTCGTTATGCTGATCTCCGCCACGTCTTCGCCAGCGCGCAGGCCGTCCAGATAGGCGCGTGTCTCGCGGTCTACCCGCGTCGCCTCCTCCGTCGCCCGTGCCACCCGTGCCTCCAGCTGCTGCTGCAGCGCGACGTGGCGCTTCGCCCCCAACTGCTTCTCTGTGTACTGCAGCCGCAGCAGCCGCACGCCCCACTGCGGGTTGTTGTAGAGACAGCTTTGCACCCAAAGGGCGAAGAACAGCACCACGTGACGCGCAGTGAAGCGAAGACCGTCACCGGAGACGAGCGGCGTCGCATCGTCCGAGAGTCCCACCACGAGGCCAACCCACGGCGGCAGCGCCACCACGACGGTGTATACGGGAGGGCAGCCGAGGAGAAGCGCGGTGAGCGGCAGCGCTGCGCATCCCACAAGCAACGACCGCCACCAACGCCAGAAGGACCACTGCAGACGAGCGTGGCGCAGCCCCATTACGAGGCCAATGAGCAAAAGAAAGATTGAGAGGAGGCAGGAGGACGAAGCCGCAGCGCCGACGGCGACAAAGCCGCAAGCGACGACAGGCACCAAACGTGCCACGTGCAGAACGGCGATGCTCCAGGTGTGTACGCCGCACAGAGCTGAAGGTGCAGCATCAACAGCGGCTGCGTGCACCAACAACGCCGTTGCGTTCTGCTGGTCTGCGTCTACTCTTCCCTCCTCTCCCTCCGCTGGATGCGCATTTCCCGACCCTTCAAGGAGTTCCGCGGCGTCGGCGAGAAACGCATCTCGCTGGCTCGGCGCGAAGTCAGCAATGGAGTTGGTTGCGCGAATGCCGTACGCGCCGCGGTGGCGCCCAATTCGCTGTCGCAGCCACGTGATAAAATTGGCACTGTGCGGGTGGCGGAGAAGGCGATCCGTGACCGTACTATTACTGTTGTCGTTGTTGCTCATCGCATCTGGATCGGCGCCGCTGCTCCACTGCAGGGCCACACACGCCGCCGCCGCTGTCCAGCAGGCAGTGGACAGCGACACCTCTTTGTCACTGCCCATAAGCCACGGAAACAGCTGATGGACGGACCAGTGGGGAAAGCACATGTGTATCCACAACAAGGCGTAGTTGGCCACCGCAAGACCCGCCGAGGCGGTGGCGCATAGCCGGTACAACCACCGAGGCCGCAGCAGCACCCCGCACTCCCGCAGGTCAGCGGCCTGCCACACCACAAGCAAAAGCACGGCGACGCCCCAGCCCATCACAAACCTCTGCGTGGAGTGCAGCAGACACAACAGCAGCAGCACGTAGAGGTGGGAGGCACACAGTCGTCGTAGCACCTGCCCGATCGGAGAGGTGAACAGGCGCTCCACGCTCCTGCTGTCCCCACTCCCACCGCCGCTGTCGTCCCCGCGGTTTGATACGGTGGTCGACATCGCGTATGACTGCAACGCCTGCAGCAGGCCAATCAACAGCGGCGCCGCCGCAACCTCCAGCGTAGACGGGATCGTGACATCGCTTTCTGGCACAGTCGCCGAGGCCGCTCGCCACAGCCCAATCAGCTCCGCAACCGGCGTGCCCCACAGCGTGTAGGCATCCAGCCACGGTGGAGAGAACCAGAACTGATAGGTGCACTGCAGGGCCGTGTGCAGCGCCGCGACGGCGAAGATCCAGGTGGGGTAGAGGCCCCACACCGGCCCAACGAGGTAGGCGGTGGTGAGGAGGCTGGGGGAGCACAGGGCGGCGTACGTCATCGCGAGCAGGAGCAGAACGGTCACCGCCGAGCACCGCAGCGGTGGCCACCACTCCGAACACGACGAGCGCCACCCTGTCAGTGCTTCGGCCACGGGCGGCGCCGGTGTAAGGGAAGGAGGGGTGGAGGCGGTAGAGGGAGACGAAGGGGGAGACGCCGCTGCTGCGAAGCCGGTGGGCAGCGCGTTCGGCGTCCCGACAGCCGTGGCCAGCACAATCACAAACCACCACGGCAGCGCCAGCGGTGTCAGCCACACAGCCGTGTCGGACGGCAGTCCCACGTCGCGGGCGCAGACGCCCTCTGATCCGACCGGGCAGCCGAGCGCGCGCAGGAAACTCCACAGTTTCGGCTGCATCGGCGCAAATTCTACGAGTAGCATCGCGAGCAGCACTACGCCGCAGTAGCCGACGAGGAGGAAGCGCCGCCACACGTAGGCGAGTCGATGCCACCGCCAGTGGTGGAGCAGAGCGGCACCAAAGAGGAGCAGCACAAACAGCGTCACGTTCGCCGATCGCGGCAGCGCGAGGACGATCCACACAAGCACCACAAAGCCGGCAGCGCGGCGCACGAAGCGCAGGAGCCGTGTCCAGCGACAACGAAAGATGAGACACTGACACACCTGCGACCAGTCAGCGAGGGGGTGCGGCTCGTATCGGTAGCACCACAACAACACGAACTGCACGGCGAGGTAGAGGACAACCTCCCTCCATTCCAAGGCTGAATTACCAACGTTGCTCCTCCCTTTCAGAAAGTTTGTGAACAGCAGTGGAGGGGAGTGCAACGACGAAGAAGCAGAAGACGGGCCAGCTCGGCCCACAACGAGCACGCGATAGCCCAGCTGCAGCCCCATGACAATGGCCACCCACACCGGCGGTATCATCCGAAGGTGAGGACAGAGCACCGCGCTACTGCCCACAACGCTGAAGAAGAGCGACAGTACTAGGCACGTCGCGTGCAGCAAGTCCATGGACGCGCTACTCGTTCCGAGAACAAAAAGACTGATGATGATGGTGTACGTGTACAGGGGACCCGAGAAAACACAATGAAACACCTTTGCGGTGTTGAGGTGACACGCGGAGGAAAAGGTGACAGGCGAGGACGACTGCGCAGACGTCACGAGACAATCGAGCTCCGCTCTGCGAGGCGGGCGCCCGACGGCCGTTTCAAAAACACGACCGAGCTCTTTGGGATTGCCCGCGGCGTTGCGGAGTTGCTCCAGCATCCAATTTCCTTGAGGTGAGTCGTCGTTGTCCTCCCTCTCGTCCGCTGCTGCTGGCCGCGGTGAAATTGTTTGCGCGGGAGGGGCAGCAGCGGACAAAGGCGCCTCTCCTCCCGCACTGCTACTGCAATCTGCGTGTAGAAGAGGGTCACCAGTTATCCCTCCGGTGCAAAGGTAGAGTTGGAGAAGCAGGACGAAGCTGTGTTCGCCGACGACCTGCGCCGCAACAACACCGTAGTCTTCGAAGTGGTAGGGAAGCGCCGGCTGCCACGCCCACGCTGCCGTGTCTGGGTTCACAAGCAGAACCAAACACACGTACTGTGCCACGATAGCACATGATAACGCCACAAGACACAACCCAAGCACCCAGAAAAGCGCCGCTGTTGGCTGCTGGGGTCGAACCACGAGACCACCGGCGCAGCAGCACGCATGCACGAGCCAAAGAGCTAAAGAGACGAGATTAGGAAAGAAGACAGCGTGAAGCAGCAGTGCCATGACGCAAGCAACGGCGACAAACTGGAAGAGGTGCTGAATCTGGCAAAGAGCAGGGTCTACATGTGTCCCTTCTGGAGCAACGCCACGCGGATGCGCAGGATCTAGTGAAGAGGCAGCGTTGCGCCCGTGATGCTGCTCTGCCCCTGTGCCTTCTTCCCCTTCGTCTTCTTCCTCCTCCACCGCTACCAGCAAATTTTGTCGTTCGGGCTGAGGCGCCACGCGAGACGGCACCACGTACGTGTCTACCATAGCCGTACCAGCAGCGAGGATGATCATACCCAGCAGCTGCACCGCACGACGCGCGCCCTCTCTGCTGCCCAGTGGCACGGGACCCACACCGAGCTGCGTGCAGAGAGCGTAGTTGACGTTGAAGATCGGCGTAAAAACGGCGTTGTGCGTGGCGCTCACAGCAACGATCAACACCGCAATCGTGGCGTAAAAAAACGTGCTGGCGACGGTTGTTGCTGCTGCTGCGGCGGTGGTGGTGGTGTCGCCGCTCATAGCACCGCTGACGGACCTGTGAGATGACAGCGTTCGGGTTTGTAATAGGGTACATGAAGCAGACCCCACAAACACAAAAGTCATCAGCTCCAGCCACAGCCCCACACAACTGGGAGATGCCACCCACGCCACCGCCCACGCCAGCGTGGCGAGAAGTGGTGCCGCAGCGAGACGGCACGCCGAGGATAGCCGAGGCCACCGCCCGCACAAGCTGTCGTGCTGTGCTGAAGCGCTTTCGACACCATCCCGCCGAATTCGCAGCTGCCACGTGTCTTGCTCTTTCATGTAAAGTACAGAAGACCCCCACACCACAGTCGCTATTGCCGGGAACAAAATCGTTTCTTGCCCCTCTGCTGCCTTCCATTGCTGGACGCCGACCACCTGCCAAAGGGGATTCAGTAGATGCCACACAACATGATGGACGTCATCCGACTGCACCAGCAGCGTGAGAACGTTCGCGCCAACACAGCAGACAGCTGACGTAAGAATGCAGCCCCACAAAACTTTCCAAAGCCATGAGGGGTAGGAGGAGCGTCCGGTGAGTGCGTCGCGGTGGAAGCCGCAGTAGACAAGCGTCAACAGAAGCCATAGAGGACTGCGCAGACCGAGGGTTGACACCGCGCTAAGAATGTAGAAGGACACGTGAAGAACCGCAAGGCGCCACGGCGAGACACTCACCCCCACGTCGTCGATCACGACTTCCTCCGCAAGCATGGCGCAAAACAACAAAATATTTGCATCTAACGTGCAAAGCAGTTAATAGAAGCAACAAAAGCCAAGATATGTATACACAAGGAGAAGTTGGAAGATGATATATATGTATATATGTACCAGTTTTCTGTGGTTGTACCGAAGCAGCGGGGAGCAGAGAGAGAAATCCAAAAGCACTACGAACGTAAAGAAGGCAATATGACTATTGAAAAAGAGACGATGTGCAGTCAAGAGAAATCCGCATCCGCTCAAACGCAGAATTCTGCTCCTTGAAGAGAGGGTAATCGGGACAATCATGCAACCGCCAACGTCTGCGCATCTCTTTACTACTTCGATGAGACTTTTTTGGAGCACCAAATGCGCTTCATGGCGTAGATGCGATATCGTACTTGGCCTGTTGTTGCCCTCGCGCGTCCATCAGATGTGCTTGGAACACAGATTCTTTTCCTACCTTCTCTTAACCTTTGCAGTCACGCTGCTATGTAAGTAATCAGGCCCCCGAATAACCTCTCACAGCTACCCGACACGCGCTCCCACACACGCACACGCACACACACGTTAACAGAACAACAAGAAAATGGTCACGCGCGCATGCGTCATTGGGGCTTAGTTGTTGTACAGCGTGCTGCGGCCACCCTTAACGTAATCGGGCGTACCCCAGCGTCGCTGCAGGTTGCCGTGCGACTTGATAATGTTCCACATGTGCGCCTTACGCCACTGACTAAGAGACGCGTTCTCTACCGTGTTGTCGGCGATGATGGCCTGGATGCGGGAATTCACGTACTCGTCCATCACCGTGTTGTTTGTCGCTTTGCCCTCCTCCGTCAGAACGCCCTGATTCCACCGCATGATCTGCGAGTGGGACGGGTGGGAGACAAGCACGCCGCCGTCCTCGAGAGCAAACATGCGAAATGTCGGTGACAGAGTGCGCGTCGTGGCGGTCAGTGCGCTGTTGTCGGCGAACACGTCTCGCTGCCTCGCCTCCGCGGTGGGCACCGGAGGCGGCGGCAACACCTTGAACCGTCGGTCTTTCTTCGGCGTGTACACGGACATGCCGAAGCCACCAAAGCCGTAACGAATGAATCCGCGGTTGTACACGCGGCCGTAGCGGGTGCCGGCGTTGGGGTGCTGTGCGCGCTTCTTCTGGTGCGACTGGACGCGCAGCAGGGACTGGGTGAAGCGAAGCATGATGAGCTAAACGGGCAGTGCCGTGAAAAAGGCGGCGTTACTAAGTAACTGAGGAAGACCTGCAAATATATATATGTGAAGGAAGAGAAGAGTAGACGTCGCACAAACACACAGACACACAGAAGCACGGACAGCTCTGCGTTATGTGCCTTCAGAAACTTCTCCCCTCGAAAAACTAAGGTGCTTTTAATACCTGCCTTGGACAGCGAGAAGCCGCTGAGCTCAATCAAGCGCAAAAATGCTTCTTTCAAAAGTCGTAGGCGAGAGGAGGAAATGAGAAAGAGGGAAAGTGCAAAGAAACATAAAGACCCGAAAAAGCAGATGGTAGCAGTGCTATCAGCATCAATGAGAAAAAGTGCTGTTGTCGCAGTGCACAGCAGTCAACCCCTTTAAAGGATCTCCCCTTCCTCTTTTCGTTTTTAAACGCAGCAGTTACGTTCCACAGGCAGGTTGTTTCTCCAAGCGAACTCTATCGTATTGCTTTTACTGCCCGGTATAAAGACACTCTGATTGCAAGAGAGTACGTGCGCACACGTGTAGCATCTAAAAGAAAAACAAAAGATATCTTCAACGAGTATGGAATGCATGAAAAGAAAGCAAAAGGAAATACTACCGTAACTTTTTCTGTTCTCCAGCAAAAGGTTGTCTCTCTTTTTCCTTGTAACGGGCGAAAGACGACCTTGGAGACGTTTGCTTATTCTTGCCGACGGCGGCGAATCGCCTCCACGCGTTGCGCAACAGGATCGTTGTCACCCTGCTCGGCTGCCGACGACTCCTGTGCTTCTGCGATGCGAGCGAGCAGTGAGTCCACCTCTTCTTGAAGTAGTCTTGAACGTTGCTGTGCAGCTGTCACGTCGCGCTGTACGTCCTCCTCGAGGTGCTGCAGAGAGGTGACTGGATCGACGGGCACCGGCATGTGAGACGGTGGCAGCCGCCGCGCAGAGGACGCCTCACCGGTTACAAACGGCGGAGGACTGCAGCTCACAACGTCCGTGTGCATCATCAAATAGCTAGTTTTTTTGGGGGAGCCGTTCTAATACTTTTTGGTTCTGTCGCTATGTATGTGCTAATCGATGAGCAGAGGTAAGGTTTTTTTTTAGGACAAAGAAGAAGGCTGCATTGGCCAGCGTTAGAGCATTCAACACCATTTTTTTCTGGTCTTGTAACGACAACGTGACCACACGACACGTGCCTCAACTGTGAGCTTCCTTGCACAAGTGCCTTTGCTAGGATAACCATATGGAGAAACACAAACACCTGTGGCTGGCCAGTTGGAAAAGAAACCAACTGACCGAGCCGTACATCACAACGTCAGACGACTGTTATCCGCATCTTTTTTGCCTTCTTCTTTCTGTGTTAATGAGATGCTCTCCGTGGAGCCTTCTATGCGGTGCAAGAGACTGCCCTTTGCGTGAAAGCCCCGACCGACCTTCACTGGAATGCAGTCGGCATGATGCATCCTTCTCCTCCTTACCCCCCCCCCCCCGGTCCAACGAAAGAGCAGAAAGGCTGCGCTCCACAACTTGTTACCCTTGTCCCTTCCCCTCTCACCAGGAGGCCCATACATGGATCTATCTGCTCGCTGCGGCGCACCGAAAGGAAGCCTATGACATCGCAGATAACCAACGGAATCAAACAAGGCAAAAGAGCAGTACTGGGCGAGCGGAGTCTCACTCCTTCCAAACTCCCACCGGCTTTTATCCCGCCTATCACGCTTAGCTGCGCGGGCGGGACTTGGAGTAGTTGTCCACAATGCGCTCCAGATTGCGGAAGTGCTTCCGCTTCAACATGTCAAAATTAACAGCACCAGTCTCGTCGATGGACGTGGGATCCTCGCGACGTAGGTACTCGGCAATGTTGTCAATGAGCTGCTGCTCCTGCATGGAGGCGATCACCTGGTAGAGGCGGTCCGCATCTTCCAACGTGACGCGCTGGTCGTCCTGGTAGTTGTGTCGGATACGTTCCAGCGCTGCCTTGCACTTGCTTGCCTCCGTGGCGAGGAGCGAGTTGGCGCCGTTGAAGGCGATGCTGTTCTTCCAAATCAGCTCCACGTCTTCCATCACTTGCGCCGCGGTGGAGTACGTGTCTCCTTTCACGATGTTGTCCAACACGTGCCGCAGACTCATCGGCGACTTGACCACATCGTAGTAGGTGAAGATCTCCTGCGCAAGCGCGTTGACCGGCTCCTGGAACCACACGGAGCTCTGCTCCTCACTATAGAGTTTGTAAAGACAGTGATACAGCTCTACCACCTCCGGAATCGTCTCTAACGATTGACGATACGCGTGCTTGCCACTGGGCAGCGGGCGCGGATGCTTGAGAGCGCAGTCGATGTACTGGATCCAGTAGTCGATCTTGCCCAACGCGTCTCCCGGCTGTGACGCCATGATGTGAGCTATAAAAAAAAGGTGTTCCTTGAAAATAAGGACGAGGAAACAAGAAAGAGATAGCTGGAATAATAATAATAATAAAACGAAGACTCAGTCCATTCATCGGAAAAGCAGCAAAAGCGCGCTGTGACCACCTCAATTACGACGAGCTAGCGAAGCAAAGCAGTCGCCTTTCTGTGTCGTAAATGAGGGAAAACGGTGACGCAATGAAATGAGTTGCCCATTGCAACGCTGCTAAACCACCAGCTTTCTCTTCGCTTTTCTTCGTTGATATAGGAACTGTTGCTGACTTTGAGTTTACTGTGAGCTACGATGTACACGCCATCTGCGGTACACACGTGTATAAAAGGAAAAAAAAACACACGAACCAAACGAACGGACGGACGGACGAAAGCAGTCAAACACCTTGAAAACAGCACGACGCTGCCTTAGCAAACACTTAGCAGAACTTCCTTGGTTTATCAGCGGAAATGTGTGGGAAAACCTGGCTCGTCCTGCCGGTCCGCCACGCGCACGCGAAACCCACGGAAGTTCATCTGGGTCGCTTGCTTCTTCAAGTTGGTCGCGACGGACCGCTGCCACGGCGGCAGCGCCGTGTCCGGCACGAAAACAACTCCTTCAGCATTCTTCGCCTCAAACTCCTCGAGGCGCCGACGGTTTTCAATCATCACTCGGTCGCACGTGACGGGCTTGTATGGCTCACGCCGCGGCAGGAAGAGCATCTGCTTGCTCGTGATCTTTGCCTGCTTTGCAAGACGCTTGAGACCCATGATAAAAATGGTGGTGTTGCACAGCGTGAATTAAATAATTTTCTCGTGCGCGTCGAAATCGCTGCTAACAACAACAAAGAGGAAAACAGAGAGAAACGTCGATGACGTGGTAGAGAACGCCAAAGGCGCATTTTGGCACGGCCCTGATGCCTGCCGCTGCGCAAAGCATGCGTGTGTAGAGTGAAACTCTGTCTCTGGCTACGCGGACTCTCGCAACCAAATCTGTCTCTCCCACAGCATTTCTCTCCGTCTTGTATACGATTTTCACATGCGCGAGCTCCAGCGCTCCACTTTCGTTTTGAGGTGTTGCGCAAAGAGAATAGGTGGATGCAGTATTTTTTCCCCTTTTTTTCTTCCTTCGTGACAGCTTAAACAACACTACTGTCATTTTGTTTCATCGTGGTTTTGTTTTTGTATGTTTTCGCAAACAACACGTTGTGATCGAGTTGGTACTAAATATGTAGCTATTCCCTACAGCAAAACAAAGCTTGGAAGACGACGACAGTGAATCCTAGACGCACGCAAACACACACACACAGACACATACAAACATATATATCAACAGCAGCAACTCAACTTCTTCTCAGCGCCAGGGGACGCCGGCTTTCCCCTCGCATCTGTCTTCTTTTGGAAACAACGCGGTCGCGAAACGGCACACCATGCGGGAATTGAAACGAGCATCGTAAACTCTCCCGCACGCCACCATGTACGCAGAGAAGCGCCACGCAAGAGAGGAATAAACGATGAGAGGCGCACTTAGAAGAGAAAACAAAAACAGATTGGAAGCGCTGGGTCGTTTCACGGTGTGCCTTTTTCCCCCTTTTCCCTTTCGGCCAGTTGTATCCGAGGCCGGTTCTTAGTGCTCATCCGCCTTTTCGCCGTCCTTCGTGGCGTTCTCCCCCGTCTCGGCAGCAGCTGCGGCAGCAACGGCCGCCGCCTCCTCCGCTCGCACATCTGCCTCCGTCATCACGACAGGTGCCGGCACGAGGCGTCGGCACGATCGGCGACCGATGCACATGGCGACGAAGAAGAGGAGAGGTAAGGCGATAAGGTGCAGGAGTAGCATCTGCGGCGGGGGAAAGCTACCAAACGGGTGCTTCAGAATGTACCGCGTCTCCACCCCGAGGCGGGCTACGCGGTACTTCAGCAGCTTTGACTGAATCAACAAAAAGTCGGAGCTAAGCATGCTGGCCATGTCGCTGTTTTCGGCTTTGCAGGCCGCAAGTGTCTCGTTGAAGCTCTTCGCCTTGCCTGGCTCCTCTAAAAAGACGCTGACAGAGCGTCGCAACACGTACGAGGAGCGGCGGAACATTTTCTCTCTCTGCGTGGGTGCTGTGCTTTTCCTTCTCCGTTTGGGGGCGTCACTTCTGCCGCACTAGCAACTTACGCACTTGGGAACTCTGAAGCTGACACTCAATGAAGCTTGATCGCACAGTGGGCCAACAAAGGCGTTATGAAAGGAATTGCACAAATTGAAAAAGGTCAAAGAGAGGGAGAGAGAAAGAGAGAGAACAAAGACAGCGTACATGTAAGATATCTATGTTTGAGGGGTAGATGCCGCAGTATGCAGTGAAAGCAGGAATGGTCTGAATGCCGACGCGTGAGATGGATCGTCGCATGACAATCGGGTTTGCAGGAAGACGAAACCGTGAGTTCCACAGAAAGGCACAGCTGGCTTTCTTGAACGAAGCCTCACCCTATCCAGGCAGTCTACCTCGTTTAAGCGCGGGTGGAACTCAACGCATCAGTGGGGAAGTCGTCTTGGAACATATCCACCGTGCACGAACGCTCCACTCAATTCTTTTTATCGACTTTTAGTTTGTCATGGAAATGAAGAATCAAATAATCACAGAAAAAAAAAAGGGGTTGGACATAGCTTATTCAACTCTGTTGCAGAGAAACCAGTGAGAGAAAATATGAAGATTCGAAAGAAGCAAAAGTTGCTTCGTCCAAGGCGACCCTCTTCTTCCCACCAACGCAGCGAGTGTTTCCACCTCGGATCTTAGTTCTTGGCGGCAAAGGCGGCGATGCGCTCGCGACGCTTCTGGATGGCGGCCTTCTGGTTGTGCTTGCGGACGCGGCGGGCGTTCACCAGCGCAGGGAGCCAGCTACCACGCTTGGAGTTATGGAGAAACAAGGGCATGGGGCCCTTGATCCCATTGCGGTGGTTCTTGCTCGACTGGTTGTGGTTTGTGTGGTTCTTCGACTTGGCCATGGTGGATAAACTAAAATCTGCGGTACGTTTCAAGTCAGCGACGAAGGTGAACGTTGTTTGGTTCGATTGCAAAGTATACGAGTCCCGAAATACATATATATAAGAGGAGTTGTGCAAAGAAATGCGTGAGACAGGGGAAGAAGAAAAGTCGGCAAGAAGAGAGGAGTGGCATTACATCACGGCCGTCGTTGGCATAGTAAGAGGAGAACAACATGCTGGAAGGTGCAAATTAGCTCGTTGAAACACCCCCAAAAAAGAACGCTGTGGGAAGCAAAGCGCACGCCATTCATGCAAACTTGCCCAATTGCCACCATCAAGACAGATGATGATACTTTCTACTGTTTATTTAGGTTGAGGTCGAAAAGGAAAAGAAGAAAAGAAAGAGAAAGGTGCCAAAGGGCAACAGTGTGGAGGCAAGAAGCGAGCAGTCGCCAAAGTGGGGGGAGAAGATGCATCGCGCCCACGAGGAAATTAGCTCTTTTGACCTTTTTGGCACCCCTCGCTGTTGCCCCTTCGACACCTCCCGTCAACACGAAACATGATACCCCGTGGCGCCACCGATGGTGGAAAAGGAAACAGGTGCGAGGAAGAGCGTCGTGTAAGAAGTGAGAAATGCAGGAATCGGTGGAGAGAAGAAGAGGCTCCATTTGCGCTGGATCGCAGCGCATGCACGGCGCTTTCATCTTTCTTCCCCTCCTGCATCTCGCCCTTTCTCCGTTACCCCACCGGGACGCCAACGTCACGATACGCGCAGGTCCTACAAATACACAGAGAAAGAACACATCACAACAGGCACTAGCAGAGTAACATCGGATCTTAGTTCTTGGCGGCAAAGGCGGCGATGCGCTCGCGACGCTTCTGGATGGCGGCCTTCTGGTTGTGCTTGCGGACGCGGCGGGCGTTCACCAGCGCAGGAAGCCAGCTACCACGCTTGGAGTTATGGAGAAACAAGGGCATGGGGCCCTTGATCCCATTGCGGTGGTTCTTGCTCGACTGGTTGTGGTTTGTGTGGTTCTTCGACTTGGCCATGGCTGCGACGCTGTATATGTATTGTGTGACTGCGTTCACCGACGTAGAGGGTTTGATGAAGACGTTTTTTTTTCAGTGAATATGAAAAGCGGATGCCACATTTCGGCGTGGGAAAAGCACGCAAACAAGAGGGAAGAATCGAAACAGTCAAGGGAGGTGTGCGGTTTAGAGAAAGGAAAAGAAAGATGACGTCAAGATTAAGAAAGCAACAGAAGCGTCTTCGATGGCCAGAAAAAAAAAAACAATAAGATTTGCGTGCTTCAAAACACACAAAAAACCTTCTCACCACTTGACGAAACGGACATGTTGTCGTCAATAAGTGGCTGTTTCTTTTCCTTCAACGAGTGGATCATTTCTTCTTTTTCCCCTGTGGGTGTGTGAGTGCATTTGTCGTCGATTGTTGGCAAAGAGCCAAATGCAAGCCGAGCAGACTTTCAAAACGGCTACCTCTCTTCCGTTATCGCCGAACTCGCGAGCGACAGCAACAAATATCACACCCGGTAAAGAAGCGAGGTGCAACAACGACCAAAGCGCCATTTCCTTCTCTCAGCAAGCAGGAGAAGAAAAAGGCCGCAGTAAAACAAAAGAGCTTTACTGCAACAATACCAGGGCGTATTTTTGTGGAAACTGACACGCTCTCCCTGCAGCATGGATGTACCCGGCTTTTGACGCTTAGAGCACCATCTTCTTTTTCTTTTAACCATAAATAAAATAAAAGCGTCGAAGCAGCGGACGATGTATGTGTGTTTGTGTGTCAGTTTAGCTAGTGATGTTCCAGCGATTTGAGACTCTTGCGCTTTGCCATCACATCCACAATACCCGTCAAAAAAGGCCGCAGGTGATAGCCCAGCTTGCCAGCCGTGGTCATGATCACCTCCGCATCGTTGCACAGCGCTCCGTTGACGCACTGACGCGCGCAGACCGCCGGTGACACGCCGCGGCGCTGGCTGCCGGCAAGCGGCTGCCCATCATTCGTCAGCACGCGACTGTGGAAGTCGGTGTCGACGTAGCCGGGGCAGCACAGCGTGATGCACACCGCCGTCTCCCCGCGCAACGCGTTCATGAAGCCCTGGACCGCGTGCTTCGACGCGGTGTACGCGCTACGCAGAATGGACGGCAGAACGCCCGCCAGCGACGACATGACAATGACACGACTCGGCGAGCTCGTGGAGTGTGTCTTGGACAGCATCGGCAAGAAGGTCTGCAGAAGGCGCACATTGGCAAAGTAGTTGATGTTCATCATATCCTCGCAGATCTTCTCAAAGGCCGGCTCGCTAGTAAAGGGGGTGATGGCGCCGGCACCGGCATTCAGCACCAGGTACTTCAACGGCGCGGCGCTGCTCGCGTACAGTCGCGTGTATTCGACACGGACACGGTTGGTGCCATCTGCGGTGCTGATGTCCGCTGCAATGTACTCCGCGCGCGGGGCACCAGCTTCCTTGCAGGTCTGCACCGCCATCTTGAGGGCGGCTTCATTGCGGCCGGCCAGCACGACTTCGCAGTGGGCGTTAGCAAAGAGTTTCGCGAGCTCCAAGCCGAGACCCGAACCGCCGCCGGTGATGAGGGCGACGGCGCCAGGCTGAAGACTTTGACGGTACCGGCGGCGGTATAGCACACGGCCGAGGAGCGCCAGCGCGAGCGCGATGGTGGCGGCGACGGTGAAGCGACTCATGATTCAAGTTCGGGGTCTTCGATGTTACAACGCACCGGAGAGTGCTGCGAGTAGTTTTCAGAGATCGTAACTGCAACTACCGTTGACCGTGTTAGGCGATCGGCGGTTCGCGAGACGCGTGCCAAAGGGAAAGAAGAGCAGCAGAGAAAAAAACGTTCAGCAATGTGAGAGTGGGAAAGAAGAGAAAGGCAGAGATGTGTGTGTGTGTGTGGTGGGGGGGGGGGGAGGGCGAGAAAACAGCATCAAGCAACGAAGCCCGCAGCTCGAAACAGCTTGTGATTAAATCACCTAATCTAAATTCATCGCGGCAGCTTCGAGTTGGTTTTCTTTTTAATGCTTAACGTGCATCAATCACGACAACGTATTGGAGAACCGTCATCGTGGCCTCGGGCAAAGCATAGTGCAACGTAGTTTCCTCTTATCACGGAAAAAAAAAAGAAAAACGTATCCCGAGTACGATAATCACTTTCATGGCCATAAACACGAAATAATAACAATGCGCATCTTCCGTTTTCTTTTCAGGCATGGCACAGAAATTGTCGTAGGAAGACATGCCACAATCCAGAGAGCAACGCAACACGTGAGTGAGTGAGAGAGAGAAGAGGCATCGGGGGCGGCAAAGGTCCTCCACCGCCACCAATGAGGCAACCAAATGATCAGGAAGACCACTTTAATAATCCAAAACACGATACGATCTCGCAATAAAGTGGAAGAAGGACGAGGAAGCAAAGGAAAGCCTGCAGATGATAAAAAAACACGCCCACACCTGAAGAAAACAGGAGACAAAAAAAAACCTCCTGTTCACTTCGTTTCAGCTTGCAACACTCCTGAGGGGGAGGAAGTGAGGGGTCGCTCCTGACCAGTGCGGCGGTAGAGCTGAATTTCCTGCTGCTTGAAGTAGCGTCTGCCCTCTTGACTCACCAGTACAAGATTCAAAAAGTAGCGAACGCTAAAGAAATCCTCTACGTTCTGGAACGTTGGGGTGAGGCGCGGGATGGATTTCAGATACAAGCGAATCGGCACCACCTCCCCTACAATCGGTGTGCCGTCCATCACCTCAAACTTCTGCAGCGTCTCCTGCTCTATCGACTCCTCTGCCTTACCCGGGTGCAACGCCTCCTTCCGCACTAACCCCACCTCGCCGAAGGCAATTTCCATGTCCGCAACCTTAAAGGTCACCTTGCCCAGCACCCGCTCCGTCATGTGAAAGACCTTCTTGTCGTAGCGGAACTCGATGTGCAGCACGTTGTCCACACCCACGTCCATCGCGATGGACTCCGGCCCAAAGCACGTCTCACGGAAGTAGTTCATGTGCGCCGACGCGTCGGGCTGGGCTTCGCTGAGGGCGTCATCCACGCGATGCACCCAAACTTCCTCCCTAATTCCCGCATCCTTGAAGCGCTGCTTGACGGTGGCCTTCACGTAGTAGGCGACTTTGGCGTAGATGCCCCGGTAGGACTCGTGCTCCTTCGGCGCTGAGAAGGTGAACTCAAACGGTGTGGGCTGCATGACCGTGTCCGGTTCAAAGTGGCGCTCCTGCTGCAAAAACACACTCTTCTCCTCCACATCACGAAATATGGTGACGACGCCGATCAGCTCCACTGTGACGCCGCGGTGCGCGAATGAGGTGCCGCTTGGAGTGAGCACCACGCGGCCCTTCACCGGCTCCTTCCAGGAGTACATGTGCAAGCGCTCGCTGACCTGGTCGTAGGTGTCCACCGCTTTAAACTTGTCTGCCTCCGCCTTTCCGTCGAGGACGATCTTCAGCTGACAGCCGTCGATGCTGCGCATCATACGCCCCAAAAAGGAAGAGGAGGCGGCGGACCGCCTCTTTTCCGGAAACTGCTCATCTTGAAGCATCGCGATGAGGTAAATAAGAGAGAGAAGAAAAATATATATGCTAAAAAAAAGGGGGACAAGCAGTTATTGCTGGAGTGAGCACCTGGTAGCCGCGTCCTCTTCGTTGTCCTTCCCTCTGCCCCTGTGCAGATGACTGCTGAAGTCGATCTCTCTTTGTGTCGTTGTTGTTCCTGGCGGCAGACAGCGGGCGGCAGTGCGGGCGAGGCAATACGGAGAGAGAGAGAGAGAGATGGGGAGAAGGGCAATGCAGTAAAATGAGATGTAAGTCGAAGGGAAAGGAGTCATGAATGTTGAAGCCAGAACTTTCACTTGTGGCGTAAAAGCAGGCGGGAGAATACGCCGTTGGTTTTTTCTTAAAACCAGTCCTCCCTTCTGCATATCAAAGGAAGCAGGAAAATATATATATATATATACTTAAGACCCAGTTGCTGAGATGAAGATGTCATTCCATAATTCTTTAGGTTTTTGTTTCCTCCCCCAAAAAAAGAGATACCTGCTTTTCTTTTCTACACTGTAAGTTGACTGCTTGCGCCAGAAGCGCTAAACCACAACAGTGAGAAAACTCACAGAAATAAAGAGCAGCAGAAGTATTTTTGGATCGAGCAACAGGTCAACAAGTTGCAGCAAAAATATATATAAGGACAATAATAATAATAATGTTTTCATAAAATATACCTACACACACGCGCTGCACTGCTTGGGCGAAAATGTATTTCGCTTTCAAGCAGTTAGATGCTCACTCTCATGAAGTGCTTTAACGAAGCGTGAAAGAGGGAAAACAACAGCAGCGAAGTTCACACCTCACTGTTCCTCACGCTCAGCCGCCCAGATGGGAATACACTTGAGGGAGAGAACCCGAGAGGGAGCGACAGAGCACGTAAAAGTCGGAAAACATTTTTCGAGGAAATATATAAAGGGAGTGGTACTTGAGCAAAAAGAAAAAGGTTTCTCCTGCCATTATTAGTCTTCACTATTTGATAGAAAAACTGTTAGAGCAAAAAAAAAACTAAGCTGCTTACTGATCATAAAGACGTTTTCGAGGCAAGCAGCTCAAGGTGCAGTCGGGTTCTTCAATTCCAAATTGTTCTCGCCTACCTTCTCCGTGTTTCCCTTCTCGACACCTCATTCCATGAGATCCTCGTCATCCGAAGCGTAGCGCTTCGTCTTCGATGTCGACTTGACCTTCAGGCCCTCTAGCTCTCCGCTCCACGACAGTGTAATCGCCACAGCCAGTGCAAACAAATCGGAGAGGGGGTTCTTCGTGAGGAGATGGTAAAAGTACACTGTTTGCCCTTTGTTTTCGGCCAGCAGCTGAGCCCCGCTACCGTTGCCGCTGTTCTCGGAGTTATCCGCGGCGGGTGCGACGTCTGCTCCTCGGTGTGTGGCACTCTTGGCCTTGCGCTTCGAGGGCGATGTGGCGGTGCCGCTCGTACTGGAGCGCATGGCGGCAAACATAGACGTGGCCCAGCCCGCATCCCTCTCCTTTTCTTTCTCCGCCCCGCTGCCACCCGATCCATCCGTCGCCGGGGCAGAGCTGCGCCGGGTTTTGGAGAAGAAGTTGCGAATGTGATGCCCCGGCGAGTGTTGCGTGACGTCCTCACCGTATAGCATCCAGTCCCCTCTCGAGTTCGCCGTTGGGTCGGTGTGGGCCACCACCACACCCAGCTTCGCCCGCTCGCCCTCCACGTAGTGGCGGCTGTTCTTCTCCGTCCGCACCGGCGCACCACCGACGACGTTAAACACGGTAAGCCGCGTGCGCAGCCGACTGCGACGCAGCAGATAGCGGGCGTTCCGCTGGCCGTCGCACACGATATAGAAATTGTGGATAGGGTGCCCGGCCTCATAGAGCAGCTCACCAGTGGCCGGGCTGCTTCGAATCGCACTGAGGAACTGCTGCTGCCGCTGTGGCTGTTGTCCACTTCCCCGGTCACTTTGGGTGTTGTCGTGGCCGGGTAAAGAGCCAGGGCTCGCCATGGAGGGCGAGGACGAAGGAGAGCCCGCGGAGTCGACGTCACGCTCCTTCGGTGACGCGTAGAGACGCCCATTGCGGAACTGCCCGACACACTCTGGCCCGTTGTACCCCGTGATGCTGCCATCGGCGCCGTAGGTCAGCGACATGGCCACGATCAGCCGATCCTCCTTCTGCGCGGTGCCCGAGCGGCCCGAATCCGTGAGCTGTAAAGGTTCGCCCGCGGATGGCAAAGGAGGAAGGCCAGCGGCCGCAGCGCGCGCCGGCGTACTCGCCGTGGCAACACGGCCGCCCTGCTGCGACGGCGAGGGCGGTGTGGGGGGCGTGGTGGGGATGGGGGCGGAAGCGGTATCGGGCTTTAACGGCGGTGTCTCGGGCGCGCTCCCGTCGGCGGCGCTCCTGCCCACGGCGTACTCGCTGGCGCTCGAGGCTACGCTGAGGGAGATGTCCAGCGCATCTTTTCGCGCACCCTCCTCGTCCATGTTCGCCATCCACGCAGACACCGCACGCGGCACGCCGATCACCATGCGGTCCGGCGTGGGGCTGATACCGCCAGAGGGGGGGTTCTGCTGACTGCTGTTGGGCGTCTGCGGCTCCGTGCCGGGGGTGGGACAGTAGAAGCTGTGGAGGGCGAGCGGGTCGACGTCGAAGAGGCTGCCGTTGTCGTACACGGCCGTGGAGGGCCCTCGGATGAGGGAGGCGGACTCGGACGGCGCCCCGCCCTCGGCCAGGCGGCGCACACGGCGCACCTCCGCCTCCACTAACGGTTCCAGAACGTTTTCCTTCCCTGTCCCGCCAAAGGCCGGGTGCACCTGGTCTGCATCCATGTACGGCTGCAGCGCGGTGAGGGTGGGGGCCCGGCTCTCGAATTTGATCTTGTCCTGCACCCGCACATCTACAAAGGGGCGCAGAACCTTCCACGCCGCCGACACTGTCCAGCCCGTGTTAAAGATGAGCAGACGGCGCATGATCTCCGGGTAGGCGACCTGCAGAATGTGCGTCACGCCTTTCAGAAAGCCCAACGTCGCCTTGTTGACGCTGGACATGGTGATGCCGCCGAGGTCAATCACGTAGGTGCAGCGGTCGACGCCGCGGGCACGGCACGCGAAGCGGCCGAGCTCGATGGTCCGCATCTGCCCCCGCAGGAGCTGCTCCCCGGTGAACAGCTTCATCGCCTCAATCAACTTCGCCGCATCGGGCGAGAGCCACAGAATGGGGAGCCCATCCTTGTCCAGCCCGTACATGGGGCACGGCGTGCCGTCGCTGTAGCAGGGAGAGAGCACCGCCCCGATGGTGGGGTGCAGCTGCTCGGCAAGGAGCCCGTCCAGGTGCTCCTTCGCGCGCAGCTCCATGTACTCACGCATCCCTTTATCCGCCAGGTTCACGTTCCAGTGCTTACCGATCAGGAAACGGTAGATGAGGTCACAATCGCTCGCCTTGTAAGCGTCTGCGAAGGGGAGAAGGTCGAAGATGCGGCTCAGCAGCTCCTTGTTCTTTTGGCGCTGCTCCTCAGTGAAGACGACCGGGCCAGAGTTTTTCTGAGCCGCAAAGTCCTTTTCGTACTGCGCCTCCCACCCACCAGCGGCGCTGGGCGGCTTTGCCACAGGCAGAGGGGTGTTATCCAACTCAAACATCTTGAGCTATAACTGCTGTCCGCTTCAAGTTCCTCTCTTCTTGTGCGACTCTGTTGATGTTAATCTTGGTTGGTGTTGCTAAACGGATGAGCAACGCCGATGAAGCAGGACGTATCGCAGTGCTTTTCTCCGGCTTCAAAAAGATTGCAGATATATTTTATATATAAAAAAGCTTTGTGCCGAGGAAAGCAGAGCAGGCACAGCAATCTCCAATATATATGTATATGTATTTGGCGGCCTACAAGAAGAGGCTCACCGGCATGCGGAGAGAAGAACACACACACACACACACACACAAAAATCTTTAAGAACAGAAAACGAATCGGAAAAGAAAATGAAAAGATGACAGGACGTGAGGGGTGACGATGGGCGGTGTGACGGACCGCAGTGAAGTAGGAACAGGCGTTTCTCTCTGCAGCTGCTATGGAGAGGAGGAGACAAACAAAAAAAGGAGAAGGAGGCAACAGTGAAAGGGGAGAGGGAAGTGCAGAAAAAAAAAAGGTTAGCATGCGAAGTAGGAACGAAAGGTTTTCAAGAACAGCATGGAAATATCTCAATTTCTCTGCATACGTCTTGCCTCTTTGGCAACATAATACAAGGCTTTTTAAGAAGCGCTGCTTCTTGAAATCTGTCATCGAAATGACTCTCCCTTTTCTCTCTTTTTTTCAGAGAATTCTCAGACGATGTGCTTCGTTCAGTCCACACGCAGGCGCGACAACATCAGTCGAGAGAGAACGTGCAAGCAACACACAAAAAATAATAATACGAAGGACAGAAACAGAAACGTTGTAAAGAATGAGAGAGAGAAAAGCAAAACAAGCTGGCCGGGCGGAAACTTCTACTCACGGATCCAGCAGCCAAAGCAAAAGCCGAGAAGAGACATACCCCGACAGCGCTGGTCAACACAGGCGGAAATACAACGGTAACGAAACAAAAGGGTGCGAGGGGAAACGAAAAGGGCAAACACGCGAAGTGCACGCATAAAGCAAGGAAAACACAACAAAAACATCGCAGGGAAGCGCGAAAGGAGAAGGATGAACGGGTTGAAAAAAAAATCTGGGTCGTGGCGCTTGCTCTCAGTCGGGAAGGGTGGTGATGGTGGTGGCAGCTGTCGCGAACGCACACGTCGCGCTCGAGCCGAGAACGTGCCGCCTCGCCAAACAGGCTTGCAAGTTGCAACAACGCGATACTGCCCGTATTTGTGTTCTTTTGCTTCTTCCTACGCGCTGCGCAACGCATTGAACTTTTGCATGAGTTCATCCTCCTCCTCGTCTGGCACCTCTTCCTCCTGCACTTGCTGCTGCTTCTGCGGCAGCTTCGATGTCCCGACACGGGCGCCGGACATCTGACCCTGCACCGTCTCCATCACCACCTTGTTCACTTCATCCTCCAGCTCCGTATCGCTAATGTCTTCGTCCAGCGCGTTATCGATGGATTCGTTCATTGTCTCCTCAATCAGACCCGCCTTGGCCATCTCACGGCTCATCGACATCATGGATTGCTGGATCTCCTTCACCTTGACGAGGTTGTTCATCTCCTTCATAATCTCCCCGCTCTTTTTAAGCGATCCCGTCATCTTCATCTGACTCACCTGGTTCTGCAGCTGCATCGCTACAGAGTTCATCTGCGCCTTTGAGGCGTACATGCGGTTGACCGCCTTGCGTGAACGAATCGTTTCCTTGGCAAGCATGCGCACCGCCACCTGATCGCCTTGCTTGGCGGCTTGCTTCATGGCCATCTTCGTCTTGGCCTCCTCACGGCGAATCTTGGTGACCTGCATTTCGATTTTGCGCTGCTCCGAGCGCAGGTTGCGCGTCCACTGCCGCACCTCCTCCTCCGGCGTCGGCTTATGAAAAAGTCCACCGAACACGGGCATATTGAATTCGCTGTCGTGGAGTGTGAAATATAGGTAAGAGAGACGAAGTTGAAAGCAAACAAATAAACACACAAACAAGCAAGCCGAAAGCAAAAACAATAGCGGAGCGAACAGCACAAGACGCAAAGGTTGAATGCGGTGTTTTCTTATGCTTTCGTTTATTCTTTTCAGCTTGCGAGCAGCATACAGAGCAAAGCGAAGAGGGAGGGAAGTAAAAACAGAAAGAAGCGAACATGAAGAATGTTGCCAATGTGCATTTCAACTCGGTACAACGTCACAATGCCAGCGAGGAGGCTTGCATCGCAGACAGCGCCGTTTGCTTTCGATTGACAACGCGTTTTTCTTTTGTCATTGGTCGCTGTTCGACTACGTGGATGCGCGGTTCGGATAATGAATAGGTTTTCTTTTAGTACTTTGTTTAAGCGGTTCTGTGAAGAGTGTAAAAAAAGGCGGAGTCTTGAGAGAGAGAGAGAGAGAGAGAGAGACAGAGACTCTTCGATACTTACACTACAATAGCAAAAGCAAAGATGATTTCTCATTACTGTACGCCTTGTTGAATGTCCGTTCCCAGGTGCGCGGACTGCCGCATAAGAGGTGGCTGAAGCGTGTAGCTCACAGGGTCCAACACGTACGGCACCGCACCTGGCGCAGACTGGGGCCCAGCTGGCAGTCCCACCTTCATAGTCATCATCGTGTCCAGCTGAAAGGTCAGGGGCACACACGTGGCGAGCAGACGCCGTGCGCCTTGCGGGCTAAGCAGATAAGCACTCGTGGTGCGGTGATACTGCGGGACGTGCGCCACGCCCTGCGCCACACGCGCCGAATTGCACTGCCCAGCCGTGTCGAGGCCACCGACGTACACCAGCTCCCAATTCGAAGGAACGCGTTCCATGCGGCGCCGCAGCTCTTCCAGAAAAGAACTGGCGGAGTTGTTTTCGCTTTCGACCAGCTCTGCGTCGTCTTCCAGGATCAGATAGCCCTCCTGCGGCGTGGTGGATGCTGGTGATGACGAGCAACGCAAGGAAGAGGCGGGGATATTGCCCACTTTGGACAGAGACGCAATGTAGCTCCACAACTGGATGTGGCTTAGCGCACACCCGAGGGCTCCTCGATTCAGGTCCATGCCCCAAATATGGTGAGTATTTGGTTCCCGCAGCCGCATTAGACCAAGACGAGACACAAAGCCGCAGTCATAACACGCATCCACGTCCACCAAAGAGCCGTCTACCGCCGCAACACGCGTTAGCAAGTCCGGTGCTAAGCCAGCGCGTGTGCACACCTGCGAGATGGACACCAAACGATCGGGCCGGCGATCCAAATTGATGACGAAAACACCCTTCAATGAGAAGGGCTCTACAGCAGGACCAAGTCGACAGAGGGAAGGACGCATGAGCACCGCCAAATTAGCTGTGATGCAAGCGTTTCAGTCTTAGAAAAAAAAAATGGAGCGCCAAGATAAGTTTTGTGTAGTCTTGGTTACGTATTTCGCATGACGAGGCAGAAGTGCCCGCCTATCCTCCCTTTTATTATTATTAGGGTTCAGATGTCACGGCGTAAAGATGAGCGCTTCTAGGAAATTGTAGACGAACAATCCACTTGAAATCGCAAACGCCGTTTTGTTGGCCACGCTTGCCATATGAAAAGAAAGAGGAAAAAAAAATGTGAACGAGAAGGGAGAACTTAGAGGGGAAACAGCAACAAAAGTAACGCATATAAACAAGCTTGAAGAACTAACTTATTACCTCGACAGGTAGCAACGGCAAAGAAAATGACGAGGTTGATTCCTTATTTGCTTTCCCTTTCCTTTTCCTAAAACACATCTGCAACAGAAGCGTCACACCCTCAACTCTGGTGTTCGCTCTCTCGCCCTCTCCTTCGGAGGTGGAATGAAGCAACAGCTCCCCTCCCCACTCCCGAACCCCCCCCCCCAAAAAAAAAAAACGAAAAACAAGCGTCGCATCGGACACAATCTCGCACGGCAACAGTGTGTCAAAGCAATCATGAAGGGCATTTGCTACCTGCTTTTTTCCGTTCTTTCCTTCTCTCCTTGTCACACTATTTTGCTAGAATATGATATTCGCTCGTTCGTGAAAAAAGGGGGGAGGAAAAACAAACACAGCATCGGCGGCAAGGAGGCCGGGGTGAGTGAAACAAACAAAGCACCATTGACAGATACGGCCGTGCGCTTCGCCTTCAGGAGTGGGTAAAAGCGAAGGGAGGGTGTGCAAGTGGGACAAGTACTTACGAAAACGAGAAATGAAAGAGGGGAAAACACACGTCATGCTTCGCGAACGTAAAAGTGAAGAAAGAAGCGAAACAAAATACGTTCTCCAGTAAGACGCACTTTCTAAGGTGCAATCCGCCCTTCAAATAATTTAAAAAAAGGGGATCGTCGCTTCTCGTTTTCTTCCAGCATTCAAGTGATGAATGTGCTCTTGTAGATGAGCACAAAAAGGCAAAAAAAAGGAAGAAGCTCTTCTCTTTCAGCTTTCAGCTCTTCAGGAAGTGTACTCCTGAACAGATCAAAACCCACGGACGTTCAGCACTACGTCTCGCCTCACCAGTCCCGTGCTAACCCACAAAACAAACGCCTAACACAGAACAACCATACCTGTCCCTACCAACATCAAGGGAGGAAGATCAGAGACAGAGAGCAACTATTGGATCAGAGAAATACCTCCCTCTTAACGCCAAAGGCAATTCATCGACGTTGACCAGCGCACCGGACCTAGCAGTTTTGAGCGGCAGCAAACCATCGGGTTCACGGGGATTACGTCATCCAGGTTGTGGCCCTTTACCAAATGCAAGTACTTCCCTTCGTCATCGCCCACAATGACTTGAAACGTCGCCGCCAGGATGGCGCTCGGCCCTGACAGCTCGATCTCCTTGTGCGGCGACATCTGCATAAGGTACTTGTAGCTCTTCGTACTTGCGTTGCCCTCGCGATGGAGGAGACGGAGCACCTGATTCGACTTGGATTCAATCAGCTCGTCGGTTGGCTTTGCGTAGGACCGCACCCACTCCTGATCGTTCTCCAGCTCCTTGTGGCACTCGTAGCGATGCTGCAAGTCGTCGTAACGCCAAATCTGCACGAACTGCCCGACACCGCCGAGCTGCACGGTCCAGTAACCCTGGCAGGCCCCGACGGTGGGACGCAGGGACATGTGCTTCATCGTGAGCTGGTTGAACGCGTCGTAGTTGTGCGGCGCGATGGTGTGAGTGCGCAGCTCGTACACGTGCGAGGGCTGCTTCGCGCCGCCTAGCCGCTTCGCGCACAAACGCAGCATTTGCACTTATTCGTTGTTGCTGCTGCTGCTGCTGCTGTGGTAACTGATAGTGATCTTGAGGAGGAGTGAGCGTGTTGCCGTTCTTCTTTTACTGCTACTAGTACTACCACTACTGCTATCTTGTGCGGTTGAGGAAAATCACCTGCAAGCGAGGTATTAGTCGTTGTTTTGTCGTATGTGTATGTGTGTGTGTATGTCACTGTAAGTGTTTGCCTGTACAACTAGAGAATCGTTGCGTGTTCTACTGCTGAGAGAACAATAAGAAGAGAGCGAAGGCAAAATAGGAGAGAGAAGGAGAAGCAGAACTGCAGCGTCGAGTTGGGTATGAGAGCCAATCTGCGCCGCTCTGCTGCCTCAACCGGCAACATTCGACAGCTGGTCTTATGCAAAAGACACACACACACAAACAAACACACGCCGACGGCTTCGCTGTGGTGTCAGCGGTCAGTGGAGTGACGCGTTCGTGCGCATCACTCTCAGCACTTCTAACAAAAAAAAAGAAGGAAGCCAACAGCGATAGCACAGGAAGCAAGCCCAGTTGATGGATTTCAATCGAAATTTAGCTTGATGAGCTGCTACGGCGAATCACAAACAGAAGAAAGAAACTCGGAACAACTTAAAACCTCAAAGATGTGTGTGTGTTTGCAGCAAATGTGGAAGTTCTTTTTTAACGGCATTTCGCTAGAGTGAAGAAAACAAGAAAAAAAAAATAGCTAACGGTGCTTGCGAAACAGCGTTTCTACTCGTTCACCAACGTAAACAAAGTAATGAAAAAATGAGAGAGAGGCGTGAAAAGGGAAGCAAGGCAGTGCGCACAACGTCTTTCGCACACTGCAGCACATCAACAAGACAAATACAGCGGCTGGTCGCAAAACAAAACAAACAAAACAACAATCGGTCTGGATCGTATCCTCTTCATGGGACAGAAAAAAAAAATGTCGACAATACAAAACAACGACACACACATACAAAGAAAAGGCTAGCGTGAAGGGGCACCCTTGTCGCTCCTACACACACGCACACGTGAAAGAAAGCGCCAACGGTGTCTTTTTGCGTGTGTTCGCTTGACTATGCACCATAAAATTGCCGCAGCAGCGGCACAGCACAGTCCGTCGATACCCCACAACGAGAACAGAAACCGGAAAAAGATACGCGTTCGGTAGAAAGGAAAAAAAAGGAGGAAGTAGATCATAACAGTGATAATAAACAATAAACAATAAGCTAGAAGTCATTTGTGAAATATGAATGAGCTTGGCAGCTGTCGTCTTACGCAGTGAAATAAGCAACAAGGAACAAAACCAAAGCTCGTAGGGTCGTTTTTTTTTATATATTTCGTCCTTCGCGTACGCATGGAAGTCAACAGCTAACACACGGCTCGCAAAGCCGTTTTCAACGTCATTATCGCTGAGCTCTATGAGAAAAAAATGGTCCTCTTACAAAGCCACGTGATGATGTGGATCTTTGTTTAGCTGAAGCACTTCTCGCAAATCAACTCCTGCTCCCTGTCGTGCTTGCTCTTGTAACCGGTAGAGGGGGCTGCAGAGATGGCGCGACCTACGTAGCGAAGCTGGCGCTGGCCCTTGGTGTACTCGTCAATGCGGGGCTCCACGTGATTCCAGGCACCCATGTTCTTGGGCTCTTCCTGCGCCCACGTCAGCTCGGCGCTGCTGTACTCCGCGAGCAGCTGCTGCACCTCCGCGACCGGGAAGGGCGAGAGCTCTTCGATGCGCACCAACGCCACATCCTTCACGCCCTTCGTCTCACGGTACTTGTTCAAGGTGTGGTAAAGCTGGCCGCTGCAGAGGACGAGGCGGCGGGCCTGGCGGGCCGGGACGGTGGGGTCGGGGATGACCGGCTGAAACTCGCCCTCCATCAGCTCCGACAGCGTTGACACGTTCGGCGCACGCAGGTACTGCTTCGAGAAGAAGACAACGAGGCAGTTGCGGAAGTCGCGCTTCACGTGGCGGCGCAGAAGGTGGAAGTACTGGGCCGGGGTGCTCGGGTACGTGATCTCCCAGTTTACCCGGTGCGCCCGCTCCTCCCTGCTGTACGCCGGCGTCGCGACGTCCTCGTTGCTCATCTGCAGGAAGCGCTCGAGGCGGCCGCTGCTGTGCTCCGCGCCCTTGCCATCGTAGCCGTGTGGCAGCGTCACGACACAGGACTGCTGCTGGTTCCACTTCGACTCCCCTGCGCTCAAAAACTGATCAAAGACGATCGTCCCCCCATTCGCAAAGTCCCCGTACTGCGCCTCCCAGATAACGAGCGTGTTCGGGTCGTAAAGAGAGTAGCCGGCGGCGTAGCCCAGCATGCCGTACTCGCTCAGCGGGCTGTTGTTGATGATCATCTTGCCCTGGCCATCGCTGATATGCTGCAACGGGACGTAGGTGCGCTCCTTCTTCTGATCGTGCACGACGGCGTGGCGATGGGCAAACGTGCCGCGCTCCACATCCTCGCCGGTCACGCGCACCTGGTGCCCTTCGAGCAGCAGCGAGCCAAAGGCGAGGGCTTCGGCGGTGCCCCAGTCGATGCCGGTGCCGGCCTCAATCGTCTCGTTGCGGCGATCCAGCACCGTCTTCAGTTTTGGGTGCACCTGGAAGTCCGGCGGGTACGTCTTGAGTGCCGTGACAACTTTGTCGACGGTGTCCTGCGTGATCTTCGTCGGCTGAAGAGTCACCTTGCCCATCTCGTCCGAGTACTTCATATTCTTCCACAGCGGCGGGATGCTTTTCTTGAGGTAGTCGGCGTAGTTCACTTGCGCTGCCGCGTCCTGGAAGGAGCCATAGCGGGCCTTCTCGTCAATCGCCTTCTGCGTCACCTCCTTCGCCGTTACGCTGCCGTCGGCGATGAGAACCTCCGAGTACTTGCTGAACACGTCGGGCATGCTGCGAATGCGCTCGTACATGAGGGGCTGCGTGATGCTCGGGTCATCGTTCTCATTGTGGCCGAAGCGGCGGTAGCAGACGAGGTCGATCACGACGGACTTGTGGAACTTCGCCCGGTACTCCGCAGCAAACTCGAAGACACGCACGACCTCCTCTGGGCAGTCGCCGTTGACGTGCAGAATAGGGCACCCATACACGCGGCCGAGGTCGGTGCAGTAGGCGCTGCTGCGGCTCGATTTCGGGTCAGTCGTAAAGCCGATCTGGTTGTTGCAAACCACGTGCACCGTGCCGCCGGTGTTCTGCTCGCCCACCTCGCTAATGCACATCGTCTCGAAAGCCACCCCCTGACCAGAGAAGGCGGCGTCACCGTGGATTTCAATCGGCAGCACCTTTTGCCAGCCCTCTTCACCGCGTGCGACCTGCATCGCACGCGTGTAGCCTTGCACGAAAGGGTTGACCGCCTCGAGGTGAGACGGGTTGCACAGCATCTCCGTCTGCAGCACCTTGCCCGAGAAGAGCTCGAGCTGCGCGCGGCAGCCAAGGTGATACTTCACATCCGACTGGATCTGGAAGGGGTGCAGCTCCTGCCCTGTCACGCCGATGAACTCCTTCAGGATGACCTCAAAGGGCTTACCGATGATGTGGCACAGCACGTTCAAACGGCCACGGTGCGCCATGCCCAGGTTGATCGTCTCCACGCCAAACTTCGACGACCTCTCCAGCAGCGCACGGAGGCCGACAATCATCGTCTCCGCCCCGTCGCAGCCGAAGCGCTTCTGCGTGGAGTGCTTGCGTTTGAAGTAGTCTTCGAAGAACACGGCGGATGCTACGATGTCCCAGATGCGCCGCTTCTCCTCCTTGTTGAGGACACGGTGCAGCGAGCTCGTCTCGTCCTCCACCTCGATTTGGTTGCGGATAAATCGCTTCGCCTCCGCGTCGACGAGGTGGACCAGCTCAAAGCCGATCTTACCGCAGTACCGCTTCGTGAGCAGGGTGTGGAGCTGCTTGATCGTCATGGGGGCAGAGGATGTGTCCCAGACACCGCCCACCTGGTCCTGGAAGCCGACCCGCACCACGCGATCGGCGTCCTTCTCGCTGAAGCCGAAGTAGGGGAGGTCGAGCCGGACCAACTCCCGGTAGCGTCGCGACGGTGTGCGCTGCGTGATGTCGGTTTCGTCGTAGTTGAGGGGGTCTGTCTGCGCCTTGAGGTGGCCGCGGTCCTCAAAAGCCTGAATCATCCACGTCAGGCGACCGCAATCCGCCAGCGACTGCTTCACCTCCATCGGGTCGCTGCTCTCTGTCGGAAGGACGCGGATCGGCGCGTCCAGCAGACCGTGTTCGTACTCACCAAGGTCGCTGCGCGAGAACAGCTGTGCCCACGACTCATCGACCGATTTCGGGTTCTTTTTCCATTGGTGGTACAGATCGTCGATGTACATCGCCGAGGAGCCGGTGAGGAAGCTATCGTTGTCATACAGCAGCTGACGCTCCGGCACGACATCCGCGGCGTGACGACGGCCCACCATCAGGGCCGTCGCTGCAGCGGGGGTTGCGGGGGCCTTGAACGCTGCCGCGGTGATGCCCGCCGACATGCACCAGGCAAAGCCGCGAGCCGGTACCAAACGGCGCATCATGGTTGTAGAAAACGTAAAGCAAAGGGGAAGGAAAGTAAAAACGTTGGAGTACAATGCGTTATATATATATATATATATATATATATATATATATATATATAGTAC